ACAAATTTCATTCCAGCCATTCTTATTTCCTGTGCCAGCCAAATTTTGACTTTGTACGCAAGTCCCTCCCTGCAGAAGGGCGTGCTTTGCGCACAGAAAACCTGACTGCAGGCAAGGGACTTGTGATAAGTTAGTATACCTAATATGTCTCATGGCCCCGCAGTGATCGCTCTACCTACAGACAACTTGCGCTTAATTGAGGTGTTCTTTTCCATGACCATGCCTCTGGTCACAAAATCAGCCTGAAATGTAAGCTTCTTGGTTATGGGTCTGGTTCCTTGACCTTAACCAAAGATAAGTTTTATTTCTTATCCAGCCAATTCAGAACAAAATAGCTTGATTGAGATACCATTGAGAGGAATTTAAGCAAGAGCAAATCATACAGAGGTTCCATAACCAAACTAGGAACAGAAGGTGATCCTGAGATGCAGAATATGGCCTTCAAACCACTGCACTGCCAAAATGATTAGCTAGTTTGAGTTTATCCCAGTTAAACTGGAATGCACTCAACCAATTTCAGGGCCTATACCGTAGGATCTTCTACACAACAATTGAAAGCAAGGGCAGAGATTTAGTATTGAAATTCTTCATTTTTGGGCTTATAAATGGCCTTTGGTGATGGTCAATTTTGATTATATGAGACTTTGAGGAGGATAAATTCTGATAAATTATAAAAAAAAATTGAAATTTCATTCCATATGGTACAGGCCATAAATTGGGTTTATGCCAACCAATCTACATATAACTAAAAAAATGGCCTCAGAGGGCCAAACAAACTGTCAGCCTTTGTATTGATTTCTCATGCGGCTTCTAACGCCGGCGTCGATGTTGCACATGTCAATGTCATTTAAGACTTTACAATCATAGCGACCTTTAAAAGCGAAGGACATACACACCATAGGACCTTCAAACAAGTAAAATACCCAACATCCGGGGCAAAAACAAGCAGCCTCCCCAAATTTGGGGGCATATACTAGTCAAATATAAACCAATTTGTATTTTGATGGTTAAGGTCAACCCATTTTGAATTGGTTTAGGCCCTGATTATAAACCAAGTTTTTGGATTTCGGCTTTTTTTATTTGAAAAGTATTTGAAAACAAAAAAGGAATCAAAAAGAAATCAAAAAGAAGTTCAAACACTTTTCAAAACCTACTCGAATAATTTCTGCACTTATAAACCCCCCAGGCTAGGGGGTCTGTATAACATCTGGGTACAATTACAAGAAACAGTAACAGCGTGAACTGTTACTTGTTTGATTTGTCAGCCTCAGCCTCTCAGGGGTGGGTCTGCACAAGGCAGACTTCACTGTTTTGATGCATCAAAATGGTCACTTTCTATGAGGATCGCTTCTTGTGTGAATGAGAAGAAATCCAGCAGTTTGTTTCTATGAAGTGGGTAATGATTCTATTACAGGCTTCTGTAATGGTCAAGATGTATGGTCAATAGGACCTCATGTACTACAAGCCTTGGCAATAGTTAAGACAACACTTGATACCATACAGCCCAATACTGACCCAACTTCTGTATTGTTTGCAAAAATGAAGTTTTTGAGATCTCAAACACCTCCAGAGGTGGTTTGAAAGTTTTTGAATGAAAAAAATCAATGAAAAAGAAATGAAAAAGAAGTTTGAATACTTTTGGAAAACTTTCAAATATATTTCAAAATATTGTTTATAATCAGGGCCTTAGTGCATCCCAGTTTAACTGGTATAAATTCTACCCAGCTAATTATGTTGGCAGTGCTGTTGTCTTTGAAATTGTGGTCAGGAAATGAATTTTTGTTTGCTGGAATGGGTGAGGACTGATGATTGGGTCAGCAGCAGAGGTGATTATTGCAATTTATGCCTGGATCTAACAACTTAAGATGACACTGGTTCATTGGTTACTCACCTGACAATGCCTTTGTAAATATCTATTTCTTGAATCATCAGGCCGAGGACTGATGATTGGGTCAGCAGCAGAGGTGATTATTGCAATTTATGCCTGGAACTAACAAAATCAAAATGACACTGGTTCATTGGTTACTCACCTGACAATGCCTTTGTAAATATCTATTTCTTGAATCATCAGGCCAATTGGGGGTATAAACTCTGCTCTTTGGCACATGCAAGGGTATTTTATCATAAAATAGGTTACCCTCAATGAACAGCTATGTCAATGAATATATCTCAGGCTTGGTTTGATTTAAAGACAACAAGGGTGCAACTTGTATTGTGGAGGGGCAAAAAGGGGGCTTCCTCAAATCCCTCTTGGCCTCAAGACGATACAGTCTCCATTGCCAGAAGAATACTTCCCAGGCCATCAATACTTGTACATACAAGTCTCAATGAAAGGAGGAATCTCTCCAGGCCATAAAAAAGAAGACCTGTTTTTGCACAGAAAGCTAGCTGTTGTTCATTGCATTCCACCTTTTCCCTTCTTTTGTATATGTCTTACTTGCTCAGGTTTTGGTGTTGTGACACTTCCAGCAATGGGTATCCAACTTCCAAGCCTTTCTTTGGACTGATAATGGTAGACCTTGGGAGTTTCCAAATTGCAATTAGGAATTTGCCACATGGGAATAATAAGTTGGCTAAGTGGGGTTTGGAATCAGCCCAGGATCCTTGGGGTTTTTTAGCCCAAATATGTCATGTGCTGGGCTTCCAGCATCACATACATCAAAGGAAGAAAAGCATTGGAAATGTGACCTGTGTAAGACTTTTTCAAACAAAACAAAGACTTGTAAAAGCTTCATTAGTTATATCCAGTAAGGGCTCAAGCTTTCCAGTAGAATTAATGGGCCTATCTCAACTTGTGGTGAAGATATGTCAAGTTTAGATCAATCTCTTTCCTTTTTTTTGATCTGCTCAACTTCATTTATTTTTTCCATCAGTGCTGCTTCACATTCAGTGGAAAATCTTAGCCTCATCTGTTCTAGTAGACAGGGATGAGTGTTAGAAGAAAAAATTCAGAGCGTGTGGATTGATGAACCAAAGCGAGTACCAAGAGGTGCTAAGATCAGCAGAGCCGTTTAGCATTTATCAAGCATACAAAATCTTAAATGCATTTCTGCATTTCTGGGACATCAAGGCTTAAGAGGATCACTGAGATAATGATGATACACATTCATGATTTTTTATGTACCGCGCTATTGGTAAACGACACTCAAGACTACAGCCTCGATCTTCAATCTGGTGACCTGGAAGCTGTGGCCACCTTAGTAGCCGTTGCTGTCGATGGCACCCTACAAGGCAAAAGGTTGATGAAGATAATGGAAAATTGCACGCCTGAGTGATCTAAAATGCAATTGTAGAAGATATGCTGAGAGCCTCAAGCTTACTTCGAGCCTTTCCCGGGCGTCTCGTTTCGCTCTTTCTCGGTCGATGTAGTCTAAGCCGTGAGTTTCAACCATGCGGTCTACAAAGGCACTGGTTAACGACTATTTGGTCAGCTTGAGATGTTTGTTGATCTGGGTTTTGTTATGATAAAATAGTGTAGAACGGACCCTGCCAAGCCCGCCGCGATCTCTTTTGCCTGACGTAAATGAGCAGAAACAGTGATTTTAGGAATAAGTTTTCTTTCAAAGAGATTCACAGGAAAGAGACAACAGACCTTGGCATGATCTTCCGGTTCGCCGTTTCTTTTTCTATATAAGGTACGCCGTCCGAATATGAGGGTTCGCAATCAATCAATAAGTACGGAGAGGTTAGATTCGCTTTAAAACTTAACTTGTGGTCCTCCCAAGATTTTGCAGCCTCGAAAGCAGCCGCGCCGCTAATCAGCTCATGGGAAATTCTGGTTGATTAGATCGGGTTCAAATCAGTCTTGAAACTTCGAGGCTCGGGACCAGAAGTGAATGAAGCGGAAACATGTAAAGCAGGCTGAAGGGAAAGGAAGAGATATGTCTGAATCCATACTCACTTGGATTTGTGCTCTCGTATCGGGGCAAAGTCGTTAAAATCGCTGTACTTTGGTGCGTAGTCAACCAATCGATAATAACCCAAAAGTCAATCTCCAGTTCCAATGCTTAAAGGAAAACGACGGGGTTGCTTGAAAGCGGTAACCAGAAAGCATAAAGTAGCCCACCTGCTTGGCCTCCTCGGATTCGTGATTAAAGAAACCTATACGGCAGCGAATGCAGATAATCAAGCATCATCATCATCAGGGACTTAGTCTTAGCACCCAAAACGGATTAACTCCTGCAATTGTACAACATCTAGCCAGAAACAGGAAAGCAAAGCTAGCGCCTACCCATTTTGATTTTTCGAATTCTCGCTGTATCTAATGTATCAACAATAACAGATGATTGGTTTTTGAGTCAGTGGGCAGATTCGTCCTGTCCTGAGGAAAACGAACACGGGCAAGTGGATTTATAGTGTGGCTGATGATGATGACGATGATCGGCTCGATTTCCCCACCAGTTTCATTGATTGCAGGGCCTGACCAGAGTCAGAATACCTCTGGCTTATGGCTCAATTAACCTTCAATTAACCGGTTCGGCTCGATCATAAATGGTCGACTGCTTAGTAATCCCGACCGGATTCACGCTCTCGGCCGCACCAGAAGTTTCAAGGGCCATCCAAACCTCTTCTTGAGTCTACCAACTTCACCCAGTCTCACATGAGGGTCGGTCGAGTGAAATCACGTTTGTGAGCTGGCGTCTGATCAATTGCGTCTTCGAATCAAACCGGGCAATCGCCGTTGGGTCAAATGATGAATGGGATATGCAGATGATCTTCGAGCGAGAGCTTTCAACTCAATGTTCGACCATTTCATCAAAGGTTCAAATTCAAGGCACATCACAGCACTTGGTAATTACAAACACCATAAACTGTAGTTTAAATCTTGTATTTTTCTCTATGGAACTGTCAATTCAGAAATTTACTTATGTATCCCCCCTATGATAAAACAAATTCATGAAACTTTGAGTTTCATGATTTTCCGAGGCCGCTGGCTAGCAAGGCCATGCCTTTTTTTGGAGTGCTCTTTTTTTCACAGCCCGTCTCTTTTTTTCCAATGTTCATGCCCAGTAAACCTTTCACATGCGTTCCGTTTCATACGAGGGTATGGCATTATCTCTCAACGGTCGATTGCCAAATTAAAAATTTAATTGGCTGATAGAGAAAACATTAACGGACCAAGAAACTTACAAGAATCGAATGTTTTCAAAAAAAGATAGAAAAATTACAATAGATACTGTGAGGAAACTGAATCGGCAGGATTCTGGACATCATACCAGCGCTCAGCTGGGATCAAACGATGAGAGTCATACAAAATTGAATGATTTTAAAATTGAAAACAAAAAATCCCTCCGCATATTCTTTACATAGCCTCATGCCGACTTGTGTCGGTCAGGCATAAGCCCCGCTTGCACCTCACGCCTACGGGTGCTCGCGGGCTTTGTTACGCTCGACAGGGATCATGTTCTCCATACCTCTTTTGTATTCGGCTTTGGCCACAAAGAAACCCTTTGGTTTTGATGACAATTATTTCTAAATATGCGTGTTGATTATATTATGACTGTTTTTGGCGGTTTTTCTACTACAAGAAATGATGATTGGTGATCAATCTTAAAATAGCATCTGATTTCCCACACCAAAGGCAAGGTGGCCGATTTTCTCAATGGTTGAGAGTTTTTCAGCTGCAGATGATCGAATGCATTGTGTTCAAGAAAAGGGTTATGTTTTGTTGACCTCCTCATATAGCTCCAATCTACGTATTCTGTTGTTTTTGTGCAGACTAGCGAGATTGAGAGTGCTGAAAGCCAAGAGGCATGCCTCTGATAAACGCGATGACAGCAGAAAAAAAAAGTTAAGTATGTAGTTGCTGATAATTGATTCAAATAATATGACAAGTTATTCATCAGAACAGAAAGATGTGAGTTGCTTGAAGGAATAACATCTTAACAAAAGTATCTGACGAGTTAGTCGATTGCGATAAAAGCATTACAAGGGGGTAATCTGATTGAATGGTTATGGTTATGCTTCTATCATCCCTTAGGGTATCTTATTCAAGTAAAGAAATTCAAGTCATCCAATTTTGAAATCGTCTGATTAATTTACGATCAATCGACTAGGCCTGCGAGCCATCAAGCGCGATCGAATTTGCCTTGTCTTTAAAAGAGTTGATAGTGGCCTTAGCCTTTCCAGACACCAAACTGTCTCTAGCTAATTTGACACCTTCCTTGAAATCGTCGGTCTTACCGGACAAGACGATAAGAGCTGCCGCATTCATGAGGACAAAATCCAGGATGGCCTCGTGCTTCTTAGTGCTGAAGTTGCCGTCAAGAAGGTCATGGAGCATCTGGAGGTTTTCTTGAGCGGACTCGCCGGTTAATAGGTCGAGAGAGTGACTCGGAAGACCGAAAGTTTGGGTGGGTGAGATTCGTTGGTGAATAATTGATCCGTCAGACTCGAGTTTCCAGAGGGAAGTCTCTCCTGCAGTGCTGATCTCGTCAAGACCTTCCTCACTACACACAACCCACGATCTAGAACTTCCGCAAAGCTGGAGGACTCTGCAAAAGATCGGCCCAAGTTCAGGTTTGGTGACTCCAATGATCAATCTATCCGGACGAACAGGATTGAGCAGAGGTCCAAGAAGATTGAAGATAGTTGGGAAGCCAAGCGATTTGCGGATGGGAGATAGACGGGCGAAGATCGGATAAAATTTGGCTGAAAACAAGAAGGCAAAATCTAATTCCGGATCTTGAATGAGTTGGGCGACTTGTGAGGGGTCAAGACGGTCGAGGGGTATTCCGAGAGCCATGAGCAAGTCGGCTGAACCTGAGGCAGAGGAAGAGGCCCGATTGCCGTGCTGAAAAGTCAATGATCGGAAAAAGCAAAAGAGAAAAAAAAAAACACCGATCCTCGTCAGTCACTCCCGGCAGATCCAGAACTCGAGGAGAATGACTTACTTTGCAAACTTTGACACCAGCACCGGCGGCCACAATGGCGGCGGTTGTGCTAACGTTGAACGTATTGAACCCGTCGCCACCAGTACCAACGATATCGCAGATGGGGTTGACAGAAGGATCGTGTTCCGGTGGTCGGCGGTCCACCAGACCTGCGCCCAGGTTCCATCGAGAAAGGATCTCCTGTACGAACGTCTTGATCACTCGTTCGTTTCTATCGAGACCAGAGACGGTGAGTGCGGTGAGCAGACCAGCGAATTGAATCGGTACGCTGGTCTTCTCGTCAGCAAGAATTTGGATCGTAGTCTGTAAGTCGGCCAAGATCGGCAGGTGGTCGTGCTTCAAGCCATTTTGGGCAGCATTTCCGTTCACTGGCTGGTTCTGATGGCCCTGAGACTGAGTGTACTGCTGACAAAACTCCACGATCTTCCGAAGAACCGGTTGGAAATCAGACGACATGGCGATGACTAAGAAGGATGGATTGAGGGAGATTGATGGTTAGTAAGTTCCTATTGAAATGGTGCTCTGTTGGAGACTGACCTGAAGCGCGGGATTCGGATAGTGGTGGTATGTAAGCCTGCCAACGGTTCGTGAATCAGGATCCAGAAGAAGGGACTGGGGTGAAACAGCACTCCTTTCCACCCGATCGGCTGATTTAAGAGTCGAGCGAACAGCGGGTCAATCGATCGAAGAGCGGATCAATCTAAGATGAAAAAAAAGCCAATTGGATTCGTAAGCGAGAAGAGCTGCCTGACTTGGCTTAGAGAGGATTAAGGAAACGGTTGAGGTTGTTTGTACTGACCAAGAACAGCACATGGCATCTTTAGTATGTACATCACTTCCGGCTGGGAGTGAGATTGCAAGTTTGAACCCACCTTGAGTCACATTGCAACGAACCTCGTCTCAGATCACTTGCAGCTGCTGTACAATGGCAGGTTCGACTGAAGGAGCTGGGGGTTGAGGGTGCCTCCCTCTCTATCAGAACAACCTGCACACTCGCTTGTGGTTTGTGAGCCGGAATCCAACTCTTCCTTTTTTGAGATCATGAGAGCCTTCCGAAGCAAGCTGCAGGCCGGATAAACAGCTGTGGACACAGACCTTGCAATCTCCTCATCAATCGAAAAAGAACACACCTGCCGACGATATTTTTTTCACAAGCACCTGTGCAAGCAGTTTGAGCTCTGCACAACATCACAAATGGAAGGACCTACAGTACTGTACAATCCCTTCAAATCCAGCAAGGCAAAACTTGACTCCATCAATACACATCTTGTAGAGTATCAAGGGACGTCCATACCTCGCACCAAAATAGGGATTACTTCGTTCAATTTTGTCCTCTTCTCTTTTTTTTGCCTTTCCACTTCAACATACACATACCAGTTTGCCAAGCATGAATCCTCTTGTATAGAAAAGACTCATTCTTGGCAACTGCATGCTGCATATTCACCAAGGGAGAATCCTCCAGCTTGGTAATATGAAACAAGTTGTGTCAAGCTACACAATGAGCCATTAACAAGCTCCCTGGGCACAGTCCAATCTACACTTGGCTACATGGGAGTTAAGATTGTGCCCAGACAGGCTTGATTTACCATATGAGTGGGGCTGCCAAGAAAAAAGGTGCACTATCAAAGAGACAAGTATTGGTAATGTAATTGTGGGTTTCATGTTCGATTTTTTGATGCCTGAAGTGACAATCCCCTGCCAGTGACCCTTACAAAAACTCCTAGCTTTGAAGCAGTGAGTGTAGCTAACAGGTGGAGGACTTCCTGTTGTGCAAATCCTTTGGTTTAGAATAGGATGCTATACTTCATTGACTGGTGGAAACTTGATCTTGATTTCCACAAGCAAATAAGGTTTAGGAATCCCTTAATATAAATTAACAAATTTAGGTGATGGGAAGTTGGCCTCCAGTGCCTGTGAATTCTTCAGTACAAAATCTAAAAGACCTACTAACTTGGTTTTTCCAGAAGCAATCTTAGCAAAAACAAGAACTACCTTAGCTTTCCAAGGCGCGGGAAAGCGGGGAAAAGTAGACCGAATGTGCAAGGTTCTGAAAAGCTTGCTGCGGGGAATCCGGGCACTGGCGGACACCGGGGTTCACGGCCGACTGCGGAACGGGGGTTCAGCGTATACTGCAGAGGGGCTACAAGGAGCGGGGAGCACCGAGGGGCGGAAGCGGGGTTCGGAGCGGACCAGAGGCGGAAGCGGCGGTGGGAGACCTGTCCATGAGCAGCCGGAGGAGTACCTGGACCAACAGGCGTCGGAGGGGTGACATGTGGAGTCCGAGGGAGTGACAGCGGAGGACATCGTGGGAAGCAGGAGGGAACTTGAGTGTGGGATAATTGGGAAGAGTGGATTTCGGAGCACAAGAGAGGGGGAGGAGGGGGGACTTATGGCTCAGAACATATCAGAAAAACAGAGTGACTTAGGAGTGAATCGTGTATTAGCCTAAAGAATTGTTAGAGAAAGAAGAGAGTTTGAGTGTTACCTACCAAAGACCAATAAAAGAATAGTTATTTTTACCTACCTACAAGACCATCAAGCAAGTTACCCTGGACAACAAATCGGAGTAGGATGTGTTGCGGAGCGGAGAAGTACAAGAATTCTCCTAAGGCGCGCCTTACTTTCCACAACGTCCTGGCCCCTGTTTACAGGCGGTCCTCACGACATCCCAAAAAATTGGAAGTTGGAACTCCAATTTTTGGGAGTCGGTTGACTAAGACCCATAATATATATATATTATGTGGGAGTCGGTTGACTAAGACCCATAACATATATATATCATGTGGGAGTCAGCTCCCAAAACCCCTGTAGGGGCATCCTGAGACAGTCCAGAGACAGTCCTCAAGATGTCCCTGGTTTTTGGGAGTTGAATCTCCAATCTTTGGGAGTCAATTAACCAAGCCCCTTAATTGAATTATCTCATCCTATTGTTGACCAAGTTTTGAGAGAATTGAGATCAATTTTGGCTGTATTGTAGCAGCGGTGGGCCGCTACGCTACACTACGCTACGGGCCCATGTAGCATTAGCGTAGCGGCGCCAATTTTTGTTTTTTTTCGTGTAGTGTTAGCGCGCCGCTACGGCCGCTGCGCTACGCTTATAATTTGTAGCGGCGCTAACACTAGCCTTTTTTTGGTGTAGTGTTAGCGCGCCGCTGGAGCCGCTACGCTACAGCGTTTTTAGCGGCAAAAAACGGCTAAAAACCGCTAAAAACGGCCGTAACGCAGCGTAGCGGGCAGTTTTTGGCGGCCTGTGCGTGTAGCGTTAGCGCAGATGGGGGGAATCGCGCTAACGCTACGCTAAACGTTAGCGCGCGTTTTCGCCCCATGCGCGTAGCGTTAGCGCAAAAAAAGAAACAAGCGCTGACGCTACGCTAAATTGTAGCGAAAAATGGCTACACTACGCTACGCTAACGCTACAGTTAGCGTAGCTGGCCCACCGTTGATTGTAGTGGGATGATGAGGATAAAACTGCAATTATTTGAGGTGGGAGGTTCAGATCTTGAACTGACTTGACAGTTGAGTAAGAGAATCTCCACCACAGTCCGTATTTTTTGGGTCCCTATCAATCAAAAATATGGACTCAGAAATGCCTGTAGGGACTCTGAACCCTGTTCTGCCACACCGGGCAGTCCTTAAATCACCAGTATTGGATCAGTGTTGACAAGCTGTCAAACTAGGTTCAAGTGTGATGTCCTGTGACATTCACATTGAGGTGTAGAATCCTTGGATCCAGGGTCTGGAGAGGGACCAATGATGAAAAACATAAAATACAGACCTGGATGGGGACCGCAGTGGACGGTGTTTTTTGGGCCGCGGTTCCTAAATGTGGGATAGGGACCCAATTCAGGGACCACGGTGGAGATGCTCTAAGATTTATTTTCCCACCTCAAGCTTAGAGAATCTCATAAAAATCAATGCCAGAATCAGCTTTCTCTGTAAATACATTTTCCTTCTGGTGAAATATTGTGTAATAGGTGAGGTGTTTTTGCAGTCAACATTTGTCAAACAGAAGCTTATTCCTGTGTTGATTTATCCAGACAGTGAAAGATTTCAAATCCATTGACTTGGTCAGCTCTGAGGTCCCAACTAAGCTCATGTTTTTACATTCAGATTTGTATGGTAACAAATTTTCTCTGGACAAATACTCTAGATACAACCTCTTCATCCTCAAGCTTTGCATCGGTTGTTATATTCTTGAAGTTCAGTTGTGACCTGCAGACCTTAAAAAAAGATAGTGATCTCAATCTCTTTGCCACTAATTTTTTTCCTGCTCAAGTACTCAATTCAGCTTGTTCTTGCTTCTAGCACAGTTGTTGTCAGGGGTTAAGCAATCTTAACCCCCTCATAAGAATTAAAAAAGAATAAATAAAAATAAATAAAGCGCGGGACGCTTGAATGAATAAAAGAATAATGAATAAAGAAGCGGCGCAGCAAGAAGTCAAGAATCAACGCGACGCGGCGACGCGACGCGTACCCATCCCCAACTGTTGAAAGAGCATCTACTAGTTCCATCCTGTTCCTTGAACACCAAGGAATAGGATGACCACAAACCCGCCAGCCGGTCCTACAATATTTAAGAGAACTGCTGGCCCAATCACTTCCCTTTTCCTTCTTCCTCAGACCAATATATAATCACGAAAGCTTAGATACTATCAGTACCCTAGTATACTCAGATCCAAGCCGACACTCTAGCACTCGTAAATTCTAAACGCTTGTGCGAATAGGATTTTCACTACCTAGACTCGAGGCTCCTGCCTACGACGTCTCCGATAGTACGAAGCTTAGTATTAGTATAGTCTCTACGCCTCACAACCTCCTACGCCTTACTACAACCTCCTACGATCCTCTGAAGCCCTCTACGAGTTACCTTTCAAGTGTTCCCCCGCTTGTTAACGTGAAGTGTTAACATTCCCAACTCTAGCCTACAGAGATTGGTTGCCCCGGTCGTCAGACTGCTGGAAGATTCGTGTAAGCCTCATCGAGTTATCTCTGAGCCGTGCTACCTCGAGACTCATCATTAACCTCCTTTCTTATCTCAACCAGACTTATAGTCCTAAACATCTAGTCAGGCTATAGTTACTACTAGAGATGGGCGGGGATAATCCGTTGCGGATATCCGCTATCCGCTGGCGGATATCCGCCAGGGCCAGCGGATACCCGCCAGGGGATGCGGATTTGGGTGCGGATGTCCCTTCCCCCCCAAATCCCGGCGGATATCCGGATATCCCCTGGGATACCCGAGACCAATGGCCGGCTGGAAGGGTTTCCTTCCAGCCGGCAAGGTCCTTCCAGTCGGCAAGGCATGTACCTCGTCGACTGGAAGGGTTGCCTTCCAGCCGGCGAGGCATGTACCTCGTGGGCCGCGTGATCGATCAGCTTCACTACCAACTTTTACGATCAATCGATAGTAGATCAGGCCGGCCGACATTTCCATCAATTTAACGATCTGGATTGAGATTTGGTTTGGATCGCTAGAATTCTCGCAGCCAGAATTCAACAATCTGTAGAAAATCTCCGCGCCTTTCTTGAGCTCCTTGGTCGTGTTTCGAGAGCATAACTCAGTCAGAATATCGGCTGCCTGATAGACTAACAAACCAGGCACGGTTTCCTCCTTGGCCTTCGCGATTGCTTCAATCGTGGTCATGTTAGAGTTTAGGACTAGAAGAGGAAGAGTAGAGCGAGCGGTCGAAGTGAGAAAGATTTCCAGGGAAATCCCGAGCAGGTCGGCAAATAGTGCGGATCCATAAGAGTCAAACTTGAGATCAATCAACATGAATTGACTCAATGATGGGAGATATCGATCCAATGAAGCATAGATTGATAAGCCAATTCTTCTGCTGAAAAATGACATCTAGCCGTCACAAAAAAAAAGAATCAGTTTAAAAAGGTGGTTGTCGCGGACCACAGTTGTTAAAGACTTACCTCAGTCTTTATAACACCAAGCAAATATGCGCATCTTCGACACATCTGTCTCAATAAGATGGTACAGATTTGATGACCAAGAGATTTATTGAGTTCGACGCAACCTTGATCTACCAATTCCAAGTCTGTGGCCCGTGTGAGCTCGAAGCAATGTACGATGCTGATGGCCAAAGTTTTCCAGCCGGCAAGGTACATGCCTCGCCGGCTGGAAGGCAACCTTTCCAGCCGGCGAGGATCTGCCTCGCCGGCCATTTAGAGGGCGGGTATCCGAGGATATCCGCTCGGATACCCGCTAAGGCGGGGGGATATCCGCCAGGGGATGCGGATGCAGGTGCGGATGCCGCTTTCCCCGGAAAAAGCAACCGGATATCCGCATCCGCGCGGATATCCGGATGCAACGCGACCATCTCTAGTTACTACCTCTCCGTCACACGTAAGTACCCCAAGCCTGACAGTTGTACCTGCTCTTGCTCAGCACAAAATTTCACCATCTGGAATTTGATATAACATTGTTTTTTTATTTACATAACCCTGCCTTGAGTTTACCAATTGGCGGAGAATTTTTGTTCATTGGTGGGATTGAATGGTATGATCACTGGTCATTTCCATGAAATCACTCCCTTCAAATCAATGACTTACCCCTTCCATAATCAAGATGTCTAGAAGGAAATCATATGGTGTGAAAGGTTGGTCAAGTTGGCTGAGTGGCAGAATTGAAAGAAGAAATATTTTAACAACTTAAGCAAACAAAATCAGCAGAGCCTAGAGGTATCTGGTAGTGATGAATTGCTTCAAACTTTGTGTGATCTATAACCAAATTTCTGGAAAAATCTTGCTAAATGAGCCAAACAAAATCCATTTTGTTCTTATTTCATTCTCTTCTTTACATGTTGATGTTGAGATGAACTCAGGTGACTGGAGACAGTAGTGTTGGAAAGGATAGTTGATTCATTTCAACATCGAGAAAGAGAGAGAGAAACAAAAGAAGAAAAGGACATACCTGGAGACAGTAGTGTTGGAAAGGATAAGGAAAGAAAGTCCTCACGAACACAACTGACTCCAGTATATGAACTGAAAGAAAAACAGGTGAATGTCACAGAGTGTGACATGAGAGAAGTGAAATCAGAAAGAAGCATACACTGAAATGAGAAGTGACAGGTATCTCAACAGTTGACACATTCCCTCCCCCTCTAAGAAAAAATTGTTCAGAAAATGGTTTCATTCAATAGCCACTGGGACCTTGTGCTAGCCCTGCTTTGGGCATTGCTCTCCTGTTATCAACACACCATGATTGAGCAAGAACAATATTCATTGGGAGGGTCACAATATTTCAACTTCAGGGCAATTTTTAAGGTTTATTTCATTGTGAGCAGCATGTTCCAGTGAAGCAAGTTGAGCAGAAGTAATGTCCACTGGCACAGCCCAACAAGATGTACAACTACATACTACATTTTCTTATCAGAAACACCTCAAAGTGACTCTAAAGTTTAATTGTGAACTCCCCCTTGGATATGATCAAGATAGATTTGTACACCACGGTATTCATCATTATAATTCATGAGGATTCAGCCTGAGGGTATCAACCTGTATGTATCCACTCGGGCTGAGCCAGATATGTAGGCAAATCGGATACAGTGGCTAAAACGGGACTCGGGAGTCAAGCCCAGATTGACACGTAAATATTTATGTACGCACTCGGCCGAAGTTTTCGGCATCATCGAATCGGACGGAGTCTGGATGAGTTGCAACCCTTACATAAATACTTGCCGACCTGGCAACCGGGTGGGTTTAACCAAGGGGATCCGGACATTCGACAATGGCTCATCCGTATCATTGGCTTTATGGTCACTCTAATGCCGCCCCTAAACATGGTTCACAACTCCGGAGATCATATTCGGTTTGCCAGCTGCGGGTAATCGGCCGAATGCCTTCGATAAGAAGCAGTCCATTAAAAGCCTTGAAACCGCTCAAGAACACTGCGCAAAAAAATCCCTCGAAGCTCACCGGAATAATCTCGGGCAATTTGAATTGTGGGTGGGTTTAGATTTGACGGGAGCTATTCTCCGCCCGTTCCTGTCGCCAGCTTGAAAGTGGATGTTGCCCAGATGATGTGTATATGGCTGATTATGTCAATCCATATCCTATTTTGTCCTTTTTTGCCTTTCATTCTCAGCGACACGTAGCTGACGCATCGCCTGCAGTAGCGCTAGCCATAGACACCCTCCCTTAAAGCCTTCCGAAACTTCCTGCCCCCGGTCAAGTGGGGTGGCCTTAAAGCCTAAATCTCTACCCGCATAGGATTTTTTCCATCATCAATTTTGTTGCCTCAGACCCGTGACCTTAATTATTATAACCTCACTATTTCCTTCCCCAGTTGATTCGATAATCCCACCATGCAATCGGCGGCCGATCAGTTTCTGGACTCATTGGAAGTTCCAACCCCCGATCAGTCAGCTTCAAGCCAAGCTTATTTCCATCTCTATTTTGCAAAAGCTTTCTCAAGTTGACTCCATTTTGCAAACCATTCACCACCACAGGATATTAATCCAGTTGAACGAATCCAAGGAGAAACTACGAGACACCGAATCAATCCTTAAAGTCTTGCAGGAAGCCATGGAAACTACCAAACAATTGCCAGAGGGCGGGGACAAAGAGGTTCTTATAAAAGAACTTCAGAGTAATATCAATCGACAGAAGCTCCTTCTCGAACGCGAATCGGTCAAGCTATCGGTTAAAGAAGAATACATGAAGAATGTGATGAAAATGGGAGGAAATGTAGGAAACTCAGCTGGCTCGCAAGACGAATGACATCCGAAGGACACTATATCACGATACCTATGCTGCACATCACTTTGACCTATTCCGAATCGCCGACCGAATAATTGAGACAACGCCACGCTCACCGCCAAACTGCAACACGCTCGAATCTTTCCTTTCCCACAGTTCTTGTTGATTTTGCTTGTAACTAGGAATCGCTGCCGTCCCATATCTTCCTTCAACAGCAGTATTGGCATCCAGCAGTCTTAAAATGCTTCTTCTATCATCCTCATTCCGTTATCTATGCAGTCTATCTTCAGTTTTTTTTTTTTTGATTTCTGTCTTACTCGTATCTAGCATCTCGCTCGTCTCTATACCACATTGTCTACTTATGAATTAGCTCTTGTGTAGCAATGTATTTCTAAGCTAAACTCGTACAGGCAGTGGAATACCTTATTGATATGATCAAGATTAGTGGCAACTCTTCTGTCAAGCTGGAAAACCTTCGAGATTCTGCATTCTCAAGTTTCGTTTTCAATATTTCCCGACTCTCAGAGATTCCTAAAACTTAATTTCCATCGTCCAATGTTGCTCTACATATTTACCAAAAAAAATAACTCCCTCACAGTGACTCAGCCGTCCATGAAGCACTCTTGTAACCTAACTTAACTAAGTCCCTCCGGCAGTTGATGCGGAGGGTCCCTGCGGGACGGCGTCCCCCCTCCCATAGAGGGACTTAGTTAAGTTAGTCTTGTAACACAATGCAAATCATGCAATTATTTACCAACATGATGGTTGTGGATATCTTGCAATTAACTTCAACCCAGATCCCATAACGGGACTGTTAAATTTGAGATCTACACATTCCCCAAATAAAAAGACTTGAAACCCTAAAACAAACAAAAACAATCTTGAACAAAGCTGTTGTAAGAAAATGAAATTGCTAGATTTTTGTCGTTCACTGTATACTGGATACATATGAATGTCATTTGAATTGATCTTCTGAGATTTGATTCCAGTTGAAGCAGTCCTCATTGTTCGTAAGACGTAAATAATTACATCGATATGTGTAATTTCCAGTCAGAAGATCCGTTCGTCATCATTCCTATCTTGAAAGAGTAAATCGAACTGATCGTTCTTGGACTTGCCCACCAAATTCCTCCACCTCCAATCAGAATTCCTGCTTTGCCTATTTCCTTGATCTGGCGTTTGGTGTCGTGTTTGCAATAGTTGGTCATTCGTTTTTGAGGTAACCAAGTTTCGAGAGACTCGTCCTGGATCGACTGTTTTCTCAGGTCTTTCTTTTGCTTCATCCTCTGATTCCGGCCTTTCTTGGCCGCCTTTCGTGTCCTCGTCGACTTCTTCTTTTCCTCTTGTTCGTGGTCTGCCGAGGGGGTTTTCCCCGGTTCCGGATTCCCATTCAGATCGTCCTCCTCGCTTGAAACCTGTTTAGTTTTTGAAAAATAAGAAAAATGTGAAAAAAATATAATTCAAATTTCAGCTTGGATTCAATTCGAGCGGTTCAAAGATCAGATAATACATGAGCCAGACTGCACATACGCCCATGAGATCTAGCCAAGTTTTCCGGCTTGACAAAAAGCTCCAAGTCTGGTGTCGTATCATGTAATTTGATTGATGGAGGGGAGTGTTGAGATTCGATCTCGATTGCGCTTTGCTTTTCGAATTCGCTGATCGCGGTGGGTGGACTGAACCCCAAGGCTTCAGAAATCCGACCAATCCACAGCGGTACTTCCGGACGAAAAACCTCCCTACGATCAGTCTTACTTGGAACCGATAACGCAGACAGGTGCTGATCAGACGGCGCTTTTTGAATGCTTTCATTTTTATGGTAGAGAGATCTGGGATTCGATTTAACATCGATTTTAATCCTTAGGCTGTTCCCAAGTTCACTACAGGTTTTTGGATCATTCAAACCGAGCCCAGTCTTCGATGACAGACTCGGGACTTTCACTTTGCTGGCTGGCTTTTTGATTCGAGGGCTAGTTGGAGTCGGCGAAACGATAGGATCATGACTCGAGTGTGACAAGCTGAAAGTATTCATATGATTAGCACGTGAATCGGAATGGATGCTCGAGCTACTATCCAATCCGAGCGCAGAACTAGTCTCCACTTCGCTGGCAGGTTTCGTCACAATGACTCGTTCAGGTGTGGTCATCTGGGCCGGAGCTTTCCCCTTGAGCCGCGCCTTATAAGAAGTAGGAGTCTGGTGGTGTAGATCTGACAAAGGAGGGATGTGAAGACCTGCCCAATCGGTCATAGCCAGCAACGCTCGTCTCTTTCTCTCGACATCGATCTTCTGATCGTTCGGTGCAGTGGTTTGATGACCAGCGGAACTTCGAAGGTCTTGAAGCCCGACTGAATTGGTTTCGGAAATCTCATCGATGTCGGTAGTACTCTTGCATCCTTCTCTTCTTGACCCCGTCCCCTCAGAGTCAGAACCAGTCACCCGCCCGTTTCGGTTCACCGGTCTTGGTTTAGCCGCCTTTTTCTTGACAGGAGATCGACGAAAACGAAAGGGCTTCCTGCGCGAATCGTCGTTCTTGTTTTTCCAAGTTTTTTTAGACCTGCATGGCATTAAGAGCATCAAACTTCAACATTTTGCATTTTGCTTGTCGCTGGAAAAGTTATTTTGTGGTCAACAACCAAAAAAACACTCGCATACCATTTTCTGTATTTGTTTTTTGCTGCCTTCCTGCAGGATGGAGTAGTTAGGGAAACAAGTCAATCAGTCCAAGATTTGAGGCCGAAGCTAACAGGGTGTATGCTGTTGCAAGTTCAAACTATTTTCGAGGCATCCACTTGTTGTCCCATGGAATGCGAAAAGACCCTGTGTCCAACGACCCACAAAAACCGTTTGCGGGCTATCCAGCTGGAGATGCAGAAAGTATGATGTTAATGGAATCACTGACGCTTTTCCAGATGTCCAGTTGACCGGCATCGTTGATGGAGACTGCAGAAGATGTCCAACTCAGGAGACTTTCCGGAGCTCGTTCGTTACCTTGTCCCTGATCAGGTATGTACTTCATCAGATGGTCAAGTCACCTATTCGTCCTCCGAGACTTGATCGTCTCTTGAAGACACACAACAAGTAACTCCTTGAAATTTATCTTATCCAACCGAAGCCAAACCATCAATCTGGTATTGAGATGTTTCCTCAATCCCGACTCGATCATCAACTTACCAAATTGGCAGGTGGACAGTGGACTACTCAATCGGATGATCGCACGGATGGGTATGCATAGTAATTGCCATCACTGAACCAATCAATACCTCTTTCTTTTCGGGCATTTCGTCCTCATTCAAATGTGGAGGGACTCAGACAAGCTTGGTACTACACCTAGGTAATTATCCAGCTTCAGGAATTATGAAACCTCAAGAATTTCAGGGCACAATAAAACACAACATCAATTGAACTCGAAATGATCCATTTTGAGCTGGGTGAATGATTGAGGTTGACCAGTATTGAGCTGATGCGCAGAAAACGGATGTTTTCTGCGCATGATTTCCATCGGTATGGCGCTGTCCATGGTTCGTATCAAGAAAGCTTCTTGTTGAGGTTTATAAATCCTGCTAATTAGCGATGTCGGCCAACAGGGCCGAGACTGGATGACAGAGGCGCTTGGCGAGCTCAACTGATTGAGGTCCCGGCGTAGATGGTCAGGTAAATATTGCTCGTCCGGGGCTTTCATCTCGTGCGTGTTTCTTTGGCCATCCCGGCGAATGACTTGCGGAAGAATGGCCGGATATCATCCCGGTGACGTGAAGGGCAAGTTCAGGGAGGGATCTCCGGGAGAAGCTCCGAAGCGAGGCGGTCCTACTTCGGGAGACCGGGACCCCCGAACCCGCTTTGGCGGTGACCTGGCTGAGTGGCTGGTCGAACCCCTCGTCAAGCGATTTGACCTTCTCAACAACCACATCGCTTCTACAACAATTTCTAAAGCACCGGTATGGATTACTACTCTATCGTCGGCGTCTCAGCCTCTGCCGACTCGAACCAGATCACCTCTGCCTATCGGAAGGCTTCCCTGAAAGTGCATCCAGACCGAGTAAGTAAGTTTCTATGATCAACAAAGCTGTTGCTTCTCTTCCTCGCGATGTTGATTGGAATGTGATATTGACCCCGACGATTATCGCCCTCCCATCAGAACCCGGATGACCCCCTAGCATCGGAGAAGTTCCAGGCCTTGAAGACCGCATTCGAGATCCTCCTAGACCCCATCAAACGAGCAGAATTCGACGCCAAGCGAGCCACTCAAGCGGCCCGGACCGCCCGCTTCGCCGGCTTGGATAACAAGCGGAAGGCACTGGCGCGTGATCTCGAGGCTCGTGAAGAGGCCTATCAGAAACAACAGACCGACTCTCTCCAAAAAGCCGCCAAGATTAGAAAACTTGAAGAGATCAAAGCTGCTGGTGCTAAATTACGCCAGGCAAAGATGTCCGAACTCGCTGCTGCTACTATCCCCACACCTTCTACTCAACCTGCTAAACCATCCCCTGTCCAATCAACCTCCCCACCCGCCGCTCCTGTCGAAACTTGCGACACTCTGGAATGCACGTTGCGATTCAAATGGACTAGGAAGAAGCTCCCCGACCTCAACACAGTCGAAGATCTATCCACTCGAATCTGCTCCTGTGATCTCATCAAGACCTCAGACATAGAATCGGTCGTCATCTCTACAAAGAACTCATCCGAGTCAGGTGTCTCCAGTAAAAAAGGATCAGCAGTGGTCTGCTTCAAAACAGTAGCACTCTGCAATCGATTCTTCGACTTTGCCCAAGCCGATCCCGATTGGACAAATTGTGCTGTCACCAGACTGTGCTCAAGTTCTTGATTTTCCTTTGTAAACGTTAGGATTATGTATAATATTCGAGCACTTGGTAGCAAACCAGGCTGCACCATACCCCCGCTAACAAACATGAGCAACTTCGCTGCATGATGTCTTTTTGCACGATTTTCTGGATCCTAGAGCTCAAAATGCAGGAGGAAATATGTGGAAGAGAGCTACCTCTTATTGCCAGTCACCTCAATAAGCTGTGCAGCACTGCATGGGTTGTATTCAAATCAAATGTTATAAAATTCCTTGACTTTTTGAAAACAACCACAAGTGAGAGGTCATGTTAGGTTTACAAGCATAAAAGCTATCGATGTAGAGGAAAGACAAATGACGTCTGAATAGCGAATCCAAGGATAGCGTTGGATGGCAGAGAAGTCCTGATCGGGTGTTTTCCAGTTACTGTTTCTCGACATTGGGTGGGTCAGAACCTGAAAAGGAAGAGTTGATTTGCATCCATTTTTGTTCGAGCTGTTCGGAAGCTTTACGACCAAGAGAGTTCCTAGCCTTAGCCAAGAGTCGGCTTGCCCCATGACAGTCCTTCTTCCTGGTTAATAGGAAGCTCAGATGGTCAGCCCAGTGATCGAGCTGCGCATGAGGATGACTGGTCACTAAGTCGTGCAGATCTTCGAGGGCCTTAAGGTCTTCTTGGGCCGATTTGAATTCCAGAAGCCAACTCAGAAAACTCAACGAAACAACAGATTTGTTCGATAGGTATTTCGCAAACTCCTTCAGTGGCATTCTGCCTGGACATTCCGCCAATGTGCGCTGGTAAACTTCAGCCACGTTCGAAGGTGGATATCGAGCTGATTGACGAGATTCGTCTAGCTTTATTGGGCAGGTCTTGAGTGTGGTATCAAGTTGTTGCTGTACGTAGACAGGATGTGATAGAACCGAAAACGTCATTACGTTGACCATTAAAACAAGTTTGCTAAATTACGTAAAAAACCAACCTCAAGACTTGTCCACAGCTCTTCATCGCTTATGCTCTTGTTGGCGTGCTGTTGCTTCAGGAACTGGGAATATAGCTCTGCGAGTCGAATCGAGCCTGGGAAGCGCTGGATCGCCTCATGAAAAACTTCAAGAGTAGTCGGACTCGCGGGCTTTTGTTCTTGAGTTTTGAGTAGCAGAGTCAACCGACTCTCCCATAGATCCAAACAGTCCGGAAATCGTTGGGTCCCCGTCCTAGCAAGCTGGAGACCATCGGTAATCGCATCGGTGTTCTCGTAATGCGATATGACAAGCTGATGTAGATTCACCGTATCAGACTTTCTTTTGATGGCTGATGATACTGTCTTTCGGATTACGGCTGCCACATATTCCCGCTGTGCAAATATCAAACCGATAAGATTAATTGACAAAGGCAGTTACATCTATTGGATTGCATAGGTTTTCGACGTACCACTTCCATTTCGTTTAGAATTGAGTGCATTTCTATTAGAAATGCCAAAAACTCTTCCGACATTGATGCTAGATGTGATTTCTCTTTGCATAGTTGTTGAAGTTGGACGATCGTACTGCTCAGAAGATCTACCAATTCTTCCCCGGAGACCGCCAGCAGTTTACCACCTGTGGAATACCTGTACAGTGGTCTCGTCGTCAACATTACGAGTGCCTTGGCCGAGTCGGGGTACATCTCTGAAATCTTCCCATAGAGGAAGTGCAAGAGCGCAGGCCTTAGAGGTGATTTGAACGCGTGTAATGTAGGAAGAACGGTGTGAAAGATGTCCAGGCCGGGGATAGCTGGACCAGGGCAGAATTGTCAAATGTTCATGAGTTTTTTTTTCATTTTGTACAAAGGTACTATCTTTTTTTGTGATGTCATTGGAGGTGAGGGGTTCTCACCTTCGAATGCGTTTTGCAAGACAACTTTGACAAGAGCCCCCGAAAGAAGTGCCTCTTGACCTTTTAACCCGGTGCAGTCGACGTTGTGATTAATTGGTGTCATGGAAGTATCAGGGTCATCGGGAAGTTGCTGAAGATCTGCCGTTGTCTGAAGGGCTTGATCAGCGTGTTCACTTTCTTCTGGTGGGGTAGAGTGGCTAGGATCGTTCGACTTTGATTGGGAATCCAACAGCCCGAAAGCTTCACGACGTTTCTCCATAGTTTGAATGAAATTGAGTTCGATCCGGATCCATTCAATCCATAGGGGCAATGAGCTCGCATCTTTGAAGAACCTGAGTCCTCTCATCAACAGCTTCCGAGCTCCATCCACGTTCCCACCCCCTTTGCCAGTTTCATCGCCATCCGCTTCGAATTGAGCTGCCATAACCCAGAAATCCGAATGTGACGGATGGGCAGCAATTGCAGCAGAGAGAACTCGACTGACTAGTTTGTTGGATGCTTGAGTGAGTGAGTAGGCGATGTATGACGTCCAAAGCTCTAATGATTCTGGAAATCTCTTCGCCGCCGCGGAGTACAAACTGAGGATGTGAAGTGGAATTGAGTAATCAGATAGAGTTGTACGTCCTTTGGCATGTCCTGCAAATACGACGTCGTATCAGTCTTCCAGAACCTATCCAACTGGGTTTTGGCAACATGAGAAAATCGCTAGGGAATATCCTGCTCACCGTATTTTCCAACTCTCAGCCTGCGCAACTTCTCGAGGCGTTTCTCATATTCGATATATTTTAGATAGCATTCTGGTTGTTTGGGTCTGGCAATCAAAGCTTCGTAGTAGTTGCGCTGAGTGACGATAGCAGAAATTTCTGTCTGAACAAACAAACAATGAATAGTCAGTCCCACAGACATTCTTATCAATAATAAACAGCCTCAGTCGGTTCTTGGATTTACTTTGGTGAACGTCTTCTTCTGTTCCAAATCTCTGAGCTCAGGGAGCATCCGCTCCATGCGAACTAGATAATTTGATAGATCAGTACGCCATCGACATCAATATTATTTTTGTCTTCCAAACAAAGTGGAAATTGTATTTGACTGACTTTGAGCACTCTCCATGTTAGATATCTGTGTATAGTTATCACGTCCAACGCCGTCGATTTCCTTCGAAAGTGGTTGGTCTTGGTTGCCACTGAAATTTCATCGGAGGGGGAAAATGAACCGTCGTCCGAAATTGAATATGCACTATACCTTTGCGCCGGGGCACCATTGACGGCGCGGGCGCACCGGCCTGTGTCCGCAATTCGTCACTCAAACACGTCACCGATACTCTGGGACCCAAGAACCTCAAGTTTACAAAATATCAACACAAGATGAACTCCAAACTACTCACCAAACAGTCCTTCACCACAGCCCTCCTCGTCCTGGCCCTAATCCATTGCTTTACTCTGGCCAGCGAACCCAAGAAGCAGAAGCAGCTCCAGATCGGCGTCAAGCACAAACCGGCGGAATGCCCTATCAAAACGCAAAACGGGGACCATCTATCGTGAGTTGGACTTGTTGGTGTAACATACTAACCAACCTTGCACTCCATGCTTTTTTTCATTCCTTCCCGGTGTTTTGGTTCAACGGCTTCTTTTTCACAGCTGACAAGCTTTTGTCATTCATTGAAATTCAGGATGCACTATACCGGAACGCTTGAGGACACTGGCGCAAAATTCGACTCCTCGCGTGATCGAGACCAGTCAGTAACATTTCATCAATATCATCCCGACTCCTACGCAACTTGGCTCTGATGACACTCAAGATGATCTCCTTTGTGTGGCACTATTTATTATCCAGACCGTTTGATTTTACCCTTGGCAAGAAACAAGTGATCGCAGTAAGCTCCCATGCATGGCCATCTTACAAGCGAATGGAAAAAACACAAGATGTATTGATCTGACGCTTAAACTTTGAAGGGATGGGATCAAGGCCTATTAGAGTCCGTGTTACGATGGAATTACTGTTTTGCTTCTATCTGCTGACTTTGATGGATCATTCTTATCTGATATCATCAGTATGTGCATCGGCGAAAAGCGTAAACTGATCATTCCGCCCCACATGGGCTATGGGGATGCGGGTGGTAAGTGACGAGCTAGTTCACTCTACGGATTCATTGTTTGCCAATTTACTGATGTGATGTTATTCGGCTTGCTTGCGCCGTTTAGCTGGAGGAGTGATTCCCGGTGGCGCTACTCTGGTCTTTGACGTTGAGGTGCGTTTTGGTTCCACTTGGTTACCGCTCTAACTCTTTTCATCATACCTAACCGCTTTCATCTTTGTCACTTCAAAGCTTCTCGATATCACCAACAGGAAAGCCGATCCTCACACAGAGCTATAGGCAAAACAATGTGACTCTCTCAAGCTTGTCTTGGTGTTGGAGAAGCCTGGTTTCTTGGCACTCGAGTCCGATGCACAACTCAGGAGGTAGCCAGTAATATTTTTGCCCACTCACACCCCAAGGAAACACATCCAACTTATGTATCCCGAACCAGAAACAGCATCGACCATCCGCGTGATGCTGTAAACATATGGATACGAAAACCTGTCAACTATGTATGCTTTTTTAATTCAAGACTTAGATATGCGTACTGCAAGCCAATGATTCCATGCCACCTTACAACATGACTCATATTCATGAAAACATGCCTATGTAGTTTGGATGATGTACTTGTGAGGTCAATAAGCTCATATTTTCATGTAGGGGATCTTGGTTGGAATACTCCCCACCGACGACTGTGATTAAAACGTGATTGCCAGTTCCAGTTAGCAAACTCGACACGTGTAAGGCTTGGAAAGGCGTGCATTGGCATTGTTTCACACAATTTTCTGTATCCACGGCGAGAATACGCATTCTGGTGGATTGAGATTTCAGTTACTAGCTTGATGTACATGAATACATATAATTTCCCTTTGCAGTTACAACAGATGTTTGTTGGTCCTTTGAATTGAGCTTTATCCAGAGACTTACATATTTCGATATGAGGCTTGATTTGAATGGGTCCCAGGGCAGAAGCTTGCAATAAGCTTACTATTCGGATCCCTGGTCGATCCCTGGTCGATGACTTGCCGTGGTCAGGTGAATGGACTAACGGCGAGATATGGAGAATGAGAATGCGAAGATACACAGATGATAGAATGTAGAACCAAGGGAACGGCGGCCATATTCGGTTGTCATTTTTCTTTGGCAGGCAGCTCTCTGTCCATGCGCAAACCATACCAACTCTCAAACCTTGCTAGAACTGCCGGTTATCGCTTGGAATGATGATGAACCCATCCGATGGTTCGAGCACCCTTCCAGCCGGACATGGGGCGATCAGGATGACCACCATCGACCCCCCGACTCGGGCGGAGGAAGAATGTGGGCCGGTCGGCCAACAGATCAGCTTCCCGGTCCTCAGATTCAGCTATCCCCTCAAGTTGATCGTCAGTCGACCGTACCGCAACCACCTCCATAAGCTACAGGTCGGCCTCGTCTATCTCTTGAATTATGGCGGTGGCTTGCTCTCCGGCGACCGATTGAATCTCGAGATCCAGGTGGACGACAAGTGCCAGCTCTTATGTCTCAGTCAGGGGAGCACCAAAGGTACGATCATACCAGAGCGGGTTCTGCCCAACTCACCATCCATTCTTTTTTTTTCTTTCTTCTTCTTCTTCTTGAGGATAATGACAGTTTGCGTTTGCTCGTAGTATTCAAAGAGAAAGTTAAGCCGACCAATCGATCCTCATTTCCGCCAAACCGGGACTCGTTATACCCTAGCTCTCAGAGTACCACCACCGCGCCTACAGAAACGAGTGATGTGTCCAGGCAGAATATCACGGCCAAGATCGGCTCAAATGCAACCCTGCTCATGCTGCCATCCTATGTAACGTAATACTTTTTTTCTTTGAAGTCTCACTGAGTATCTTGTGAGTCGTGCAAAAGAGTACAAGAGAAACATGATCGTGTGATTGGCCATGACTGACCTCTGGTTTCGATCAGGTGGGTCTTGGATGATAAGATAAAGTATTGACAAGCTGTTGATTCGTTTTGATCTTTTTTGAAACAAAGCTGCTTCCGGGATTCCAGTTTTATTCAAAAGCAGATATACCATTTGCAAGACCACTCGAGTTCGTTAGTCTGTCTGGATTGGTTTACCTCAGGCCGTTCGCTATCGACCAGACTACCCGATAATCAAAACCAATCGAATCAGCTTGAATCGTGGACGTTCAAGAAGTTTCAATCGTTTGTCGAAGTTTACATGTCCTCGAAACGGATCGCCAGAGAGAACCTGATCCTCTTAAAAGATCAGCATCATCCAACCCAAGACCATTTCACCATCTACGCGAATCTGTATCTGGTATGTTCGAGCGATAATTTAAAACTGGTCAAGACCCTGGACCGGCTCAAGGAGCTGGACCGGAACAGCAATAAGACTCGTCGGCAGCAACCACGGAGTTCAGAGAAGATCGAAGGCGAACAGCAGGTCGACCAATCTCAACTTTTGTGGTGTTTCTCTGAACTGAATCATCATCCTGAGCCCGAGATCAGTCCCTCCACCGATCCACATCTACCCGATCTCCATCCTCCACCTCTTACAAGGCCTTCCGTCCGAACCGTTATCATTAGGATCGGCTCGCAGTCATCAATCCTCGTCCGCGATTGGTTGGAGAAAAATCTGGCGGATCTGCAGGAGCTTATCGGACCTGAATTCTATAGGAACTGCTTCTAAATCGCTCTTTCATAATGAGATAGACACATTCTATGTTCTTCTGTGAGACCTCAAGTCATCTTCCTCCTAACTGGCTTCATTATGTTTCATCATCATTTCATACATCCTCGCCCGCTATATCCAAGGGGTGCGATGTTTGTAGATATTTGTAGTACTCCTTTCAACGGCTTGAAATGCCGTCAATCCTCTGACCTCAAAATGTTCATTCATTTCTACTATCCCTATCGTTGGTATCCCATCCGAGCTGAACCAGCTTGAATAATTCAGCGCACCAAGTAAGAATTGCAAAAAACTTGGCTAAAAAGAATCTGTGTAGGCAAAGGCTTTCCCTTCTCAAATTTAACATCAAGTTTCAATGAGAGAGTAAATCATTACCATCACCAGAATAACCACAGTTCTGAATTAATTTATTGCTAAATAAATTCAAACGGACATAGGAATTGTTTAACAGCAGGAATGTCCACATTTGGTTTCCTTTAGCATTCAGAAACATGCACAGTGGAATGCTTTCCAGACTCAAAGATAAGTTGATAAATGTGAATTTCCTGCAGTACTCTCTCAGGAGATGTTAGGATTGCCACCACGAAGCATTGTTGAAGCAAGCCATGATAATTTCTTGTGATTCCTTGAGGTGCGGATTTGTGCTCATGAACAGCTGGCAGTATCCTAAAATTTCTTTCTGGTGCTTCCTGGAGATGGGTTATTATGTTCAAGTTAGGGAATGAAATCTGATGAATATCTCTTACAGCCCCTCCGCCCTCCCCTATATTTAATGCATGCGTTATACAAATGAGTGTCTGGCATTGTGAAGATCGATCTTTTCATATCTTTGTATATTGATTGAGGGCTGTCTGACTCTTTTAGGGCTCTGAATCAGGGTTGGGCAACCTAACTTTCATCACAATTCGGGTCCAAGCTTTTAAGAAACTTGAGTATTTCAGTTTGATCGCAAGTTAGGTAATGATGAAACAGGAATAGGTATCAAGTAAACTTGAGGAAAAAAGAAACCGGATGGGAGTATGAAATTCGTAGCTATGTCATGTTTTTTTTTGAATAAGGTTTCGATCGTGATTGCGCACAATGTCAGGGCTAGGAGATAACAAGTTTTGACAAATATATCAAAGTGCAACAACTAAAGCTAATATCGACGTTGGAGCAGCAGATAACAAGAGAGCAACGGGCGATCGGTGGGTTTACGAGCAGCAGCTACCGCTGGTGGCGGGAGCATCTTTGCAGCCACAGTCTGCACAGGAACACGCTTTTCCGGCAGCCGCGCAGACACATCGGTTGGCGGCCCTAGTGAGAAAAAGAAAGAGAGATATAATTTAGAGATTCATGATTCAGAACGACAAAGCCAGAGATGGGTCGACCGATGGCCAGGATGACGAATGGATTGGAAACTTACTCCTTGGGTAAGGCGGATGAGGTGCAGCCGCAGCCAGTTTCCTTGTTGCAGCTACAGGCCTGAAGGTTGCCGTCCGAGCAAGGCTGTGGGTGGAGGGGAAGTTAGCTCCGAATCAGACTACGGATACGGTCAGAAGAGGGAATAACTTAACTTGGCAGCTACAGGCACGAACTTCTCCGTTGTCAAGAGGGACGTCGGGGCAACCGCCTGTCAGCGGGAAAAGGAAAGAAACGAGAGGCCACATGACATCAGTGACTTTGTACTTAGCCGTGTTACGTGTTAATCAAGGAGTGAGAGAACAAGACTGACAAGCAGGCATGTTGGTGGATGTTTGATTGGATGAAGGGTTCCTGGAAATGTGTAGTTTGTTGTTGGCGATTGGTGGTGGTGGGGGGAGGGCAGGGCAGGGCAGGCTTGCTTAAATAGCCTAGTCGTTGCGGGTCACCCACCTGGGCTGAAACTCTAATCCTGGCGGTTTCTCTCAGACTCCCAAACGGTCGGAGTGAAATCGATGAGTGATTTTCGCCGGCACAAAGCTCGCTGGGGCACATGACGACGACAACCCATGGTGTTGTGAGAAGTATGTATGCGTAAATCCGAAGCAGCGAATTGCCCATAACCGGCGCACCTCGTCGGACTGCGTCGGACTCATCCCGCAGATGAGGATCTGGTTATTACAAGCTCACCAATGGGCCCTGCAGCAGGAAAAACTCGTCGTCCTGCTCGAGACCGGGACAGGATGGCTGGTCGTGTGGCAGGCCTGAGGCCACAGACATGTGTGTGGCAAAATTCACGGGGCGATGGATGCTCAGCTGAAGTTAATCTGTCTGTTTTATCGAGCATCCTCACTACGCCGACGTAAATTATTGGTGCACAGTTTCTCAACATTGGATCATTCCTGTTACCGGCTCATCGTCTTCGTCAACTTGGAACATGCGTTGCCTTCTTCATGCGTGTCTGGTCAAAAAATCGATTGCTATCGCTACAGTGCGCATCACCTCTTCTCAACTACCCCCAGGAGGGTGTTCCAAATTTTTCAAAATGGGAGTTGAATTTTTTTTGAATTTTTTCACTTTTTTTCAATGCCATTTTGTTTTTTTTCTTTGAATTTTTTTTTTTTTGAGATTTTTGTCCATACAAATCGGCAGACAAGACACAATCGGAACAAAGCCATGTACAAAAACCAAAACGCTTGCAACAGCCAAAGCTCCAGCCGATTGAAATCATTGATGAGATCTAATTGTTGCATTCCAAGGGCTGCAATGATGGATGTTTCAATTATGACTGCAAGTTAGCCGGGCAACTGGCACTGAGTTTTCCTATTTTTTTCTCCTTCTTCCCTCAATATCATGTATTTAGATGGTCTATGTGCATAATACATACCATATAAATACATATTGCATAACTACTAGGCCATAGTATGGCCTTTTTTCCATGGGTGTTCCAAATTTTGAATTTGAAAATTTCAAACTTTTTTGTCTTGCATGCTACAGAATCTTGCTTTATATTTTTGAATTCCACTACTTCTGTAGAGCTCAAATATGCATTGTTTACACATGTAGCATGGTTGGTGTGAACAAACATACAGATCAAAGTTCAAATTTTTTTTTGCAGGTGCGGGGTAGTCGAGAAGAGGTGATGCGCACTGTAAATCTAGCAACCATGAATTTTGCTGATATGTAGTACAACATAAGGATAGGCTTGGCATAGCCATGTATGTTGCAGTGCGAAACGCCAGCTTGCCTACGACATTCAGCTGCCATCCTGAACCGCCGCTCTTGAGCATCATGGCCGGCAAAATGAACACATCATTGATTTCTTCCGATGACGTAACACTGCATGAAACAAGTCCTGGCAGTACACAAACCCTCATGAGCGGGAAATTTGGCAACAGGTTATGTACAGGACTGCATGCCAACTTCTGAGCATGGCATTATAGCAATCACAGCCTAATGTCAAAGTCTCTACCTATCTATTTTTATGAGTGACAAGGGCGAAGCCCCCATTTTTGGGGTCAGAGGGGGGGTTGAATGAAAGGGAGAACAGGATTGGATTAATTTTGTTACTTTAGAGATTTTATAATTTTAACCATGTCTTAAATTGTGGGGAATAAATTTAAAATGTCAAAAAATATTGAGAAATAACATGTAAAGAATTAATTGAAAAAAGTGTCTAGTTTCAGTATTAAAAATGAACTGTTGAGTTTTATGAAAATTGGATGTTACCATTAAATTCTACACACTTTTAAATGTAGGAAACAACCTTATAATTTCAGAAAAGCATAGAAAATAAGGTACACACAGGTATGCAAACAATTAAGTGAAAAAGTGAAGGATTAATTAAAAAAACGTGTCAAATGCGGCATTCAAGGTATAGTTTTTGTTTTGGGGAAAAATGGTTGATACCATAATTTTTTACATGTCTCAAAGTGTAGGAAAAAATTTTAAAACATCAAAAAATAATGAAAATTAAGCTGTAGAAATTTAAGTGAAAAAATGGGTCTAATTTCAGTATTAAAAATGAACCGTTGAGTTTTAAAAAAAATTTGACTGAACCATTAAATTCTACGCACATTGAAACCTAGGAAATAATTTTAAAATTTCAAAAAAGCATAAAAGATAAGGTACATACATGCATGCAAACAATTAATTGAGAAATGAGTGAAAAAAAATAATTAATAATTAAAATTCATTTTTATGCAAAATGGTTTTTACCATTAAATTCTACACCTTTCAAAGTGTAGGAAAAAACTTTAAAAATTAAAAAAAAACTCGAAAAATAACCCATAAAAAATTAATTACGAAACCATGTTTAAACGCGGAAACCGCGTGTGCTGTGCCGCAGCAAAACCGCGTGTAAATGCGGAAAAACCGTGTTTTTTTATTAAAGCCCCAAAAAGTAAAAAAAAAAAAAACTTTTGCCAACTGCTCAACAAAAAAATATGATTTTTTCCATATTTTTGGGAGGGTCACAGGCTGCAAGTAACAAAGGAAAAAAGACTTGAAGGCTTGCAGGCTGCAAGGACTTCAAAAGTAATTACTGTTTATGAATCTCTTTGAATCTGAAATTTCCCCCAAGGAACTTTCATTTATGGAGTGGATATCTGCGGATACCTGCTAGCAGATGTGGATGTCTGATTTCGCTGAAATTGCAAGCGGATCTCTGCATCCGAACTGATATCCGGATGCATTGGGGCAACGGTGGTCAGTTACACTGACCGTAGTCTTAGTGTAGCAGAATTCTGCTAAACTTTAGCGTAGCGTAGCAGAATTCCGCCACATCTTGAACTAACACTACACGCATAGGCCCCAAAAAAGGGCCCACTGCGCTACCCTAACATGCTGGTTAGCAGTTTTTTGGCCCTGTAGCGCTGTTAGTGGCCCGTAGCGCAGCGTAGCATAGCAAAAAACTGCTAACACTACATATTTTTGGCGTAAAAAAAGTGCTGCTACGCTACGCTGTGGTAAGCCACTCCTGAAAATCCAAGCACATCAAAAGTACAAATCACAGAGGAATCACAGGATCAAGACACCCCAGAAAGCTCCTCAGACCCCCAAACCAGTCATGAATCCCCTCAAGCACAGACCACATGGATAATAATATTTCCCAGCCAGAAACTCCACAGCCCTGAAACTCATTCCCCTCCAAACATATTCTATTCTTCTTACCCCTTGTGTTCCACACTAGTAAAGATCCCCTTGGCCATGAAACAGTTATTTCCTCCTATCTCCTTCCATGGAATATTCCACCCCTTATTTGTTTCATACTAGTAACCTTGGGAGCATTTTCCCACTGCTTGTTTCCCCTGTTTTCTCTGGATAAATATTTTCCCTTGTTTCATACTCTTCATAGAATGCTCCATTTATCTTCCAACCACAATCTGGCCACTCCCCAGAATTTTGTATATAAGGAGCTTTGTTTTTCCTCTTCATTTGTTCCTCATCAGATCCTGCCCCAGTAAGCCAGATAACTGATCATCCCTATATGCCCATCATCATTTGGGATACCTTGATTTGTGAACAAGTATATTTAGACTAGTAAACATAAGAAACATTAGACATACCATCCTCAAGAAATCTCCAAAGCCACACCCTTTTCCTTAAGAGTCCATACTCTTATATTTTCTTGTTACCTTACTCATTGTAGTTACCAGAGAGGCAGCCCATTAAAGCACCTATCCCTCTCAAGCTCTATTCATCCCAAGAGTAGTTCCACACCGCCTTACACCCGCCCTGGGAATGCTTCCCCGAAGAATTTAATTTATCATTGGTGGTCCAACACTCCCTTTTTTGGGTTTGTTGGGCTGCACAAAGGTATCAGCAACCCATGTAGGACACCAGCTGGTGTCCTACATGTGTTGCTGAACTAATCTGGTTGCTTTGTTGAGGCTTGAGGGTTCTCTCCGGCCTTTGAGATGGTGTACAGTCTTGATGACTGGAGGAATTCCTCCAGTCATAAAGACAGTGTACAGTCTTCATCAATGGAAATTGAATAAGGCAAATGAGGCCAAGCAAAAGGGTAAAGCTAAAGATAGATCAGAGAGAAGATGAAATTCAAATTGGTGATAGAATAACTTGTTTTTCTTTATTTCTTGATTTCTATTTTATTCTTACTCATATATCTAGTGAATATCAATCTTATATTTACCAAGTCATGCAGAAATTCAAGGGTGAGATTTATGGGTATATTTGCCTGCAAAAATGTGCCAGGTACCCGCAGGTACCCGGGTACCCACCCTGGCAGCCGTAGCAGGTGCGGGTGCAGGTGCAGGTGTCAAAAATATTGGATTTTTGAGGCAGGTACCCGGTATCGAGCAACATCTCTATAAGTGAGGCTTATGAGTCAAGTCAAAAATTTGGCTGGGACAGGAAGGCTTTTCAAGCCTAATACCTCATAATAATTTTTCAAAAAAGAACACTTACTTGAAAGAAACTATGAATAGACAGTTTTGTCAACCATCTCAATGAGCATTTGGGATTCATAAGTTTGATTTCCTTGTGGATCTTGGTTGATTGTTGCTTTGGGTTTTGGAGGAAAAATAATTTTTCAAAAAAATGTAGAAGGGCAACCAGGGCAAATGAAGGGATGAGACCACCTTCAAATGAAAGCTGGGACCCAAAAGTTTAATCTGGCTCTGAGCCAGGCTTGTAGAGGATTAGGATAAGGAGCCAGAGCCTTAACAAATTCCATTCCAGCCATTCTTATTTCCTGTGCCAGCCCAAATATTGACTTTGTACGCAAGTCTGAAAAACCGACTGCCACTTTCAACACTACCTCATATCCAGTACTGGATATGGAGTAAAAAAAACTGGATATTCAGTGTTTTTTTTTTAAAAAAAAAAATGGTGTGAAGAGGTGAACAAAAAAAATATAAAAATACTACATATCCAGGTTTATTTTACTGCACATCCAGTTCGGGATATGAAGTTATGTTTTGAGTGTGCAGGCAAGGGACTTGTGATAATTAGTTAGCAGCTGGCCGTGGATCCAAGCTGCGTGAAATCGAAGCAGGGTTTTTGACTCGAGTTTCAGGAGTTTTGGTCGTTTTGTCTTTCCCTTAAAAAAACCTCATTGCACCCCAAGCGGGAAGCAAGTCCTTGTTGACCATCACACTCTTGTTGACCACCAACACTGCTTGTTGAGCAGATGGCATTCCAAGCACTCATCAACGGACCAGACTGTGGTCCATCAAACCCACTCCAAAACTTACTCAAACATGCTGACCGGCATCCACTCTCATCGAGGTTCGAAGAATTCAACCAATCCAACCACCATCAACATCAAAATGCTAGTGGTAGTAATAATCAGCTTCCCCAGCCTTCTTCATCAAACATTCACCGTCAACCAGCACCGTTCCTTATGAACGACTTGAAAAACGAACTGGAGTCAATCAATCGAATCCACCACTCTGCCCAACCACCCCAAATTGAACAAGGTAGGCCAAACGATACTCTCTATCTATGTAACCATCTACAAATCCTCATCGCTGACCTCTCTATCTCCCTATTTTAGCATGGCAAAAACAATTCATGGGGTCATCGATCAGGCCTTCCGTTCCCTCGGACGAAATCGCTCGGATGGATCAGTCCTTTCGCTCAGTAGCCCATCAGCAACCCAATCAAGCACCGCCATCGATGCATTGGTCCCAACAATTTACCGACAGTCAGGACCAAGTCCCACAGTGCTCAAGCCATTCGATCCACAGGATGTCTACTCAAGGCTTTTGTTCCCCCTCGCTCCACCCGACCAGTCTGCTTGGCTTTCCGCACCAAAGCATGCTTAACCAAGATCGCTCGTTTTTTTCTCCGTCAGCGATTCACCATCCAATGGCTAGCGATGACCAGCAATCCAAAGCACAAATTGTCGAGCTCAGCGAGCAGAACTGGGAGGCCGAATTCGCCAAGATTGGCAACCAGCTTGAAGCCCAACCGAATGCCGAAAGCCGAGACCATCAGGATACCAGTTTTAGCTCGGTTGACCACCAATCATCGTCTTCCGGCCAGGAGACGAGCTCGGACGAGGCAGACAAAGAATTTCTGAGGTCCTTAGAAGCAACTTGGCAAAGCCTGGCTGTCCATCTCAAGCCGGGCAGTCTCTCCGTGCCCGACGGTCCGATTTGGGAGGCTGCCTACGAGGATGATTTCCTCAGTCCAGATCTATCGAGACATCCAGAAACGCCGATCACCCCTGAGAACGTCGGCGATTTCCTCGACCATCCTGAACCGTATCCGTTCCAATCCAACAACCCGTTCATTGGTTCGATTGATCCATTTGAGGAGGGCCAGCGCCTGCTTCACTCCGGTGCAACTCTGAGCGAAGCTGCGTTGGCGTTCGAGGCTGCCTGTCAGTCTGATGAGAGCCGGGCAGACGCCTGGCGGATGCTGGGCGAGACTCAGGCGGCGGACGAGAAGGAGCAGCTGGCAATCAAGGCCTTCCAGCGGGCTGTGGGGTGCCGAGACGGAAACGGCCAGTCAGCATGGATGTCCCTAGCGATCTGTTGGGTCAACGAAGGCCAGGAGATGAGGGCCTTGGCAATCCTGGAGCGCTGGCTGATGGACACCTATCCGGCCATCGCCGCCAACTTTTCCGCCAACAAAAAGGCAGAGGAGTCCAACAACCCTTGGGATCGGCATGCGATGGTCGTTGAGAAATTCATTCAGGCTGCCAGGGCCGGTCCGGAGGCCAGAGACGGCGCCGGGAAGGAAGTGGTTCGGAGCCAGACTGTCGATGTTGACGTTCAGGTTGGACTTGGGGTGTTGTTTTACAGTAACTCAGAGTACGAGCGAGCGCGGGACTGTTTTGAAGCGGCGTTGGGGGTCAATCCGGACGACTTTCTGCTATGGAATCGACTTGGGGCCACCCTGGCCAATGGTGGAAAATCAGAGGAGGCCATCGGGGCCTACCAAAAAGCCCTCGAGCTTCGGCCTACCTTCACTCGCGCTATCTATAACCTCGGTGTCTCCTGCTTGAACATACATTGCTACTCCCAGGCTGTCGAACATTTCCTCGCCGCTCTCTCCTTTCATTCCAAGGCCGCCTCCGTCGGCGATCGGCCTCTCCTCGCCTCCGGAGATGGCAGTGAAAATCTCTGGTTCACCCTTCGTCGGGCCTTCTTATGTCTAGTCAGCCATAGTCTACTTCTTTCTCTTCCTGATCCACTTACTAACCTATTCTGGTCTGATGTTCTTCTGTAGGATCGTTCCGATCTGGCTGACTTGGCTGTCCCGGAGACTAATCTCGAGATATTTCGTGAACACGGCTTCGATTTTTGAAACAGAATGAAATGATTAATAAAAAAATTGCATCAACCCTCTTCAAATTTCTTCTTTTCGTTTTCCACCAAATAAATAAAAATATAAAAAAGTAAAATAAAAAATTGTGTCTTGTGCATACACAACCTGATTATAGACCAAGTTTCAATCCAATCCACTTCCCAAGCAAAAACCACTAGAAAAACTTAAATGATAAAACTGATTCTCTCGCACACTATTTCTTTGATTTTTTTTTATTTGGCTCTATCCACGTAAAATCGTTAACCTATACTGATGACTGATAAGTTCCAATTTGATTGTGGTATTTCTCATTCATAGTTATTAGTTGTACCATCTGGCTTTGATCTATGTAATTTGTTTGTAATCCTTTCCTCTCTTTCCTTCTCTTCTCATGTCGTTTCTCTTCTATCCTCTCTTCCTTCTCATATTGATCCCCACATAAACAAACACGAATACAGCTCTTACTTTCTCTTCACTTCCTCGGGTGTATCGTAGTAGAAAAAAAAACATGATCATGCCTCGTTGCAAGCAAATTAATAACTTTTCTTGTAATCAATCATTTCAAGCTCCGAATTCTCTGGAAACCGACATCACAAATCCGAATTAGTATATCGGCTAGTATGACCGCCTCTCATCGATCGCGGCCGCGGTAGAGACGGGTTCGACTCCCGTATTCGGAAAAAATGTTTTTGCCTTCCCGTCGTCGAAGAATGCCGAATGTCATCTTTTGAATATTGCCAAGGCAAAACTGCATGGAAGCATAAGTGGAAATCTTGACGCGAGGATCGGCATGTCATACAAGCGGTTGATCTTTAAGGGCAAGTTCAGAAATGTTTTTGATTGCTGCTTTTTTCGAACGGCTAAGTCGGTGGGTCCAGCGAGAGCAAAGAGACTGTTGATCATGGTGAAATTGGTGGGGACTCGCGTGCACAATGTAGTAAGAGAGAGAGAGAGACTCAATGATTTACTTATTTTCAATTTTTACAAGTTAGTTGCTAAGTATGTAGGCTAATTACAAGTGGTTAACACTATATAAATGGATACAAAACAGACTCGGAGAAAGGTTGATATTCATGAGGAAATGTCTGCGAGCATATGGAAGGATGTCAAGAGTTAGGCCAGGGTTCAGAGACTACGAGGATTGCGATAAGTGGAGCCCATGCCATTATACAAGTCAGCAGACTAAGATGAAAACCAGAACATTCTTGTGACATCGGAGAAAGGATAAAAACTATCAAGCAGATGGGTTTAGGGATGAGGAGAGAATCGAGAACAGAATCGCCAGGAAAACTGAAGCAGAGTGGAAGAGCGTGTTGAAATTTGGACTTTCATTGGCCAACCAGGAGAGGTGAGTGTGAGCCTACATCCCCAAACCCGGGTTTTCTTTTTGGAGAGTAGCGAAAATTTCAAATTTGACTCCGGGGTTTTCATTGGCCGCCGGCATCACAGTATGGAACGGGTCCCGAAGGTATAGTCATGGGGCCCTGGAGAAGGTACCGAAAGCAATCAGATTCAAGTATCGGAACTGAGAAGGACAGATTGGCAAGGTCAATTGTTCCTCACTTTGTCTATATCCTGGTATTTACCCTGCATACAACATTGTGGATAAAAACCATCATAGCATGCGTAATCCCTCTTCTTCCGATGCAACCTAATGGCCCATACGACTTTTGAGAATTAATTTTCCCATCAGAATCAAACAAGAAAAAGGATTGATTGAGCTTCCTTGAATCCTCATGGTGTGCAAACTGAACATGAATAGTAGCAGAACGATTATTGGCTCACGTCTTGTTTCCAGACCACTTGGCAAAATCTTGGAGCAAACCCCGTCTACGTCCCTTTTACATCCGAAGTACGAGGTCTGGCTGTTTCCCCCTGTTACTCCCAAAGACGCCATAACCAATACTGAAGCGATCAATCTTAAGAACCGTGACATGATGATGGGAATGTCTAGGTGGAGAATGAGAAAGCGTTTGCGTTGAATAAAACACAGTTTTTGTTCAACGGAAATTGTCAAGAATACAGAGGCGAAGTGCGAAATCGTTTGCTTGTGATAATTCGATGGGAAGTGGTGGTGGATGGCACTCTGGCCGGTCTGATAAAGAGCATGCTTTTATATATTTTATATCGTCACGCCTCAACGTCGTATGTAGTTCGTGGCGTCCGGGCAGCCTCGCCAAGTTAGGGCGTCGTCACACCTCCCGTCTTGTGGCTCATAGCACCCACCCTCGTTGGGCTTATGATCCTATCCAGTAACCGAGCCCTACGCGCCTCACTACATAGTTGGCCAAGACCCAAAACCACCCTCGTGACTCGGTACCGGCTCATGAAGAAGTGTTGCGAAAGATACACGGGGTCACTCCACCCTTCAGTCCATCCGTATCCTACGGAAGCCCACAGGGGACTCCAATCAGCTCACGATTTTGAAAAGTGAAAAGTGAAAAATTAAAATACAGAAATCTGTATTCCATTTAAAATACAGATTTCTGTATTTTAACATTCTAAAATTTGAAACATCACTGCCGAATAAATCCTAGTCGGGAAGCGCATAATGCATAACAGCTAAGAAAAAATTCTAAACATACAATCGGCACCGGTGGCAATCGGCTCGGTGGCCCTCCCGGCATCACGTCTCCGCGTACCAATACCCTATTGGCCCGGAAGGTTCAACCTCCATGACAGGAGCTGACGACCAGTCATTGAAGAAAGGTCAGAGCGAGTCATTGAGGCGAGTAAGTACCCCCCTCGCTGACCGTTCAGCACTGGTCATTGAGGGAAGTATCTCCCTTCCTCGATGGCCGTTCAGAACTGGTCATCGAGAGGAATACTTACTCACCTCAATGACCAACTCTGAACCAGTCATCCAGAGGGGTACTCATTCCCTTCAATGACCGGTTCAGAACCACTGTTCATTAGAGGACCGGTGTTTAATTAGCTCACCTTTCATGTATTCCGGCCAAAAACGGACCGGTCCAAAAACAACTGGTCTGTACGGTCATTGGGATTATATGTGCACCGCCTTTGATGACCAACTCAGACCGATAATTGAAGGGATTGCCCATTCTCTTTGATGGCCAAGTCTGACTGCTCATGAAAGGGAGTATGTACTCCCATCGATGACCGGTGATGACCGGTCATAGAGGGTACCCCCACCAATGACCGATCTGAACCAGCCATCGGAGGGAGTACTCTCCTCACCGGGTAATTCTTAGTGAATCAGCATCCGCCCGGGAGTAGGACCGTACCGGGCTGATGCAGTGTTGGTTTGTCGGAATGAGATGGCAAAAGGTATTATGCAACTATGCATGTATGGGTATCTGATCCAGCACTTACGTTTCAAATTTTAGAATGTTAAAATACAGAAATCTGTATTTTGAATGGAATACAGAATTCTGTATTTTCAAAAAGTCATTTTTCATTTTTCAAAATGGTGAGCTGATTGGTGTCCCCTGTGGGCTTCCGTAGTATCCTTTCCTTTGAGCAATTAAAGGTGATCCCTGAATAACCATACCATATATCGCCCGTTAAGGAATACACCCCCCGCCACCCGAATGGTTGTACTGTACTGCTCATGAAAGGAGTACATACACACTTGAACGGGTCATCAAAGCTTGAATGTGAGGGCCTAGGTACTAGGGTTCAAGTATGCTATACGGAATGAAGCTTCTCCGAGAGGAAAAGCTTACCAAAGCAGAACCTTCGTAAATAAGAGCCTTGCTATAAGTCTTATGTTTTATTTTAACTAATAATAGTATTTCTTTTCTTTTGATTTCAAAGTCTTGAGAAACAAAAATATCACGATGAAGAAAGAAAGGAAAACAGAAAAATCATACAACAAGGAAAGCCTTAGAGCATCTCCACCGCGGTCCCTAAATCGGGTCCCTATCCCGCATTGAGGGACCTCGGCCGAAAAAACGCCACCCACCGCGGTCCCCATCGGCGTCCGTATTTTACGGATTTCATCCTCGGTCCCTCTCCAGACCCTGGATCCAGGGATTGGACTAACTTAACACAAGTCCCTCCCTGGTGGGAGGACGCTGTGTAACACTGTCGCTGGACGCAAGGCGCCCCTTCCCGCAGGGAGGGACTTGCGACAAAAGAGCGGAATTTGGCTTGAGGCCACCCAGCCAAATTCCTGAAAAAGGCCTTTTCACCCAAATTTACCCTCAAAATCACCAATTCCGATGGTGCCAATGGCACCATTGGAATCAGCTTGTTTTTCTACAAGTCTTCAACCCTTCACATCCCCATCACCTGGACTGACCTGGAAGCTACGGTGATGTAGAGATTTGAGGAGTCCGTGGAATCCGGTCTGGTAGGGACCGGATACCTAGCTATATGGATTCGGCCCATATCCATAGATGAACTTATACCTATACTCTTGTCGGTGCCAACTTTATATAAATAAACGTGATGGAAGTATAAGGCAAAAACCGTGTGAGAGCAATGTCCGCACAACATTCAGATACTCCGAACAAACGATTGTGATGATGAGGGAATGGCGGTACAAGATTGATTGCACAACCGCCTGTTCTGAATGAAAAATTACGAGAAAAAAAAGGGAGGAGCCTAAAATTGAAGGCTACACATTGGACTGATCCAAGTCCAATTTGGTCCGTACATTTTTTTAGAAACGGAAATTATTGTGATTTTTGGGATTTGCCAGCCTCACACAGTGCAAGAGACTTATGGCATAAGCCTCTCCTTTGGAGAGCATCCCTTTGGGACGCGGGGTGGGCCATTCGGCCCCGACCGAAGGAGAGGCTTAATTAAGCTAGGGATTGGATAGGGACCAAGGACTGTACACATCAATGTGAATTTCACACAACATCACACCTCAACCTTGTGTGACAGCCTGTCAACAATACACCGATACTGGTGATTTAAGGACTGCCCGGTGTGGCAGAGCAGGGTTCTGAGTCGCTACACACATTCCCAAGTCCGTATTTTTGATTGATAGGGACCCAAAAATACGGACTGCGGTGGAGATGCTCTTATATAGGTTAGACCAAAACTCAGCCTAACCGATACATGGAAAACGTCATCAAAAGAAAGACACAGAATTGTCATAATTAAAACATGACATCATAATAGTTCACAACTCTGATCCTCTAATAAGGACCAATGCCTTACCAATACCTTAGACTGAAAGCAAATGCAATAAAAATAAGCCAATCATAATTTAGTAAGACCAGTCTAACAAACCAATTGTGACAGCCTAAATTGACAAGATCATCTTGCCTGAAAACCAAAGTTGTAACACATAGGAAATCCCAAAATAAGCCAAATACTTATAAAGGAAAATACTTATGAAAAATAATAACATATTTGATCATAGCAACCGTTGATAATAACAACGGCTTATTTAATCCATAAAAATTACATTGAAGGGAAGCCTACTCCCTTTGGTGACCATACTTGTCAGCCTTAGAGATACTCCAGAGTATCCAAAAGTCTGCTAATAATAAATACATCTAATATTACTCACTAAACAATCAAGTAAACACTGAAGATTACTGAATAATCTTTATTTTGATATAATTTTAGATGGGGTCTCTCACTGGAGCTACCCCTAAAATCCTACTCCTTCTAGGACTTTGTTGATACTCAAAGACCATGATGATGATTATGAAGTCAAGTAGGAACAAAATACTTTAAATTAACTAAAATAATAAAGTGAACCTAATTTATATTAAATTAGGGTTAAATATACATTTAAGACTGTATTATACAGGAAGTAAATATGTAGAATAGAAATTACCACACTAGTGTAGTGTGTGACAATTTCTATTAGTAGTATTCTACTTTAATTAGTATTATTCTAATTTAATTAGTATTATTCTACTTTAGTTGACACATGATGTAATTGGCTATAAATATGCATCATGATGTCATGGGACATAGAATATAATTTTATTAGAAATATTACAACATTCCCATTACATCGTGGGATTATTTCTACTGTTGTACATTAAAAAGGAGATTCTAGAATATTCTAAGAAATGCCCCCCAAGGGATATCTAGAATATTTAAGGAGGCCTTTCTCCTGCCTAGGATGGATTCCTCAGCATATTCACCCCCAGTACACTTAGTGAGTACAGTGAATATTCTCCACCTACTTTTAGAGTAGTCTTTTTATCCAATCCAACCCTACCTTCTTACTGGAATTACTATTAAGCTGAGAGTTATCCCAGACTCAAAACTTCACTAATTCCTTAAAAAGTAGTTGCTGCAAGACCACCACCTCTGACTGTAGCCTTTCAGCTCAGGTGCTTGCCAGCTACTTCTTGCAATATTAATTATTGCTTCCAAACACTCTACAATAACATATTCTGTTATTGTCTCCTACAGTTCTCTCTTGATTATTCAAGTGTCATTAACTGAGGAGTTTGGACTTTTTAACCTCTTAAGTGGGAAGTTTGGACCATTTAATACTTTGAGGGTGACTAGGAGTAATCTTGGTCTTTAACCTGAGTCCTTCAGCACAGTGATAGTACTTGGCTTTTATATTAATTAAGCCAAAGTTTCATACACATAGCTGACAATACTGCACCAGTCATCAAAGGAAGAGATCCTTCAATGATTGGACTTCTGGTCATCAAAAGGGCAGCACACTCTCTTCAATGACCGGTCTACACCAGTCATTGAGAGTTGGAGTGAGAGTGAGCATGGTGGGGAACTGAAGTGAAGTGTATGTAATGGGAACAGGGTAACCAAGTTTACATTGACTCTGCTATCACAGTGCAAGCTCAGTCTTACAAAAAAATAGACTAACTGCAGTTCTGACCTGAGTTCATTTGCAGCACAATTTTTACTATGTCTCAGACTCAAATCACGTCATGAAAGCCACATCAAGGCCAATGGTGGAATGTTGCTACTCTCCCTCAGATCACTACACGATATGCACAATTGTTATTCACTCAAATTGTAAATAATAGTGGGATATTTCAAAGTTGATTTTTAAACAACATTCTATGTGAATGCATAAGCTCAAGAGGTTCAAAATTTGATTTTTATGAAACTTCTGATTTCCATTTTTTGTAACAATTCTCAAAATTTCTGTGAACTGTGTGATTTTGTGTAGGATGGTGTTCAAAAATCAACTTTGAAACCCCCCAATGATTCTATGAAGCAAGTGAATAGATCAGAGTCAACCAAAAGAGCCACCATCCAATGGCTCTAAAGACTTGAAACTACTCCCAAAACAAATTTTATTTTAACTCCAAAAAAGCAACATGAAATCTCAGATTTCAAATCAATCCTTGTTGGGTCATCCTGGCCCAAGTTTTTTTTGTTTCAGATCAGAATTAGAAGAACATGTTGGTGAAGTGTACTACTCCAGTGTAGGAATAAGTGGGGGTACCAAAGTTGAAAAATGAACAATAAAACTGATACATGGAATATTATGGAAAGCAAGATATAGCACTTGAAGTACAGGATCTTTTAAATTTGGTTAGCTTCAGGGTCCAGACCTTCCCAATATAAAATTGATTGAAATCAACAAAGAGCTCAGTTAAATTGATGCTCATGTGAGACATATTACTACCTCTATCTTGTAATGGATAATTAATGTGTATCAATAGCAGATCATTCAGTAGTATTTTCAAACACAGAAAATGTCAGCCGAATATCAAGGGACTTGATCAAATGACTTCCAAAAATGAGAGCTCCGACTCCCATTTTTGGGAGTTGTCAAGAGGACCGCGGGGGCAACGCTGTCACAGATACGATACAATACACGTATCACCAATACTGAGTATCGTATTTTTTTTCTGATACCAATTTTGAGAGAGAAACTTCTTGTATTTGGTCCCAAATACGATACCATGTATTGTATCTAGTGGGCAATACATGGTATTTGTGTTTATTGGTATCATGTGATGATACTGATACGGGAGGAATACAGGATTTCTGGTATCAGATTTTGTTTATTTTTTGATAGCTATTTATGCAGTTTAATTTCTGGGCTAGGATTTAACTAAGACTATGGATCCTTGAGGATCTTTTGGGCAAAAAGGAAAAAAAAAAACATTTCTACTTCATGTGATGGGGGATTTTCTTCCCCTTTTGAAAAGCCTCCTCTTCATTTTCCTGGGTGATGATAGCCTGTGCAGTCTCAAAAGTTTCGTCCGGTTCAAATCCTTGGACTATCCATTGATGAGAACTTACACAACGTTCAATCGTACTTGCTTCAAGACTTCCTTGATTGCGACCACAAGTGTCAGCTGCGGCTGAAAAACACCTCTCAACACTTGCAGAGGTTGCTGAGCAAGCCAAGTAGTCCCTGGCAAGGAGGGCCAAGGTTGGGAACTCTTCTTCATGGTCCTATTAAGAGAAAGTAAGTTAATGTTATATTCATCTCCAAATTTTGATGATGAAATATGATTACCTTCCACAATTGCAAGCACTGATCGGCTTCAGAACTTGGCAACTTATACTTACCCCCCAAGTAGATAGCAAGCTCATCAGTAACAGGAGCCTTGACTGAGTCAGGAAAGTAGTCGGTTTGCTTTCGAGCTTGTTTGATGGATTTAGACTTGTCGGCAGCTACTGGTGGGGCGGATTCGGTTGGGACAGAAATTTTGGCTTTCCTGGTGTTGAAAAGAGACTCCAGGAGGTTCTGAGTGTGATTGTGGTGGCTGGGAAACGAAAACTTGAAAATCGATAAGCGAAAGCTGGGATTGAGTGCTGTGGCAATCAGGATCACATCACAGCGCAAGGCCTCATTGAGATAGGTGTTTGTTTTTGCTAGCATCTGCTCGAGCATTTTTTTGAATTATGGTTCTGAGGGGGATTCAATTTTTTCAGTGAGGAATTCCTTGATGTACTGGTATTCAGAAATGAGTAAGCATCCTGAGGAGTGGTCACCCTCGGGGGTTGATAACTGCAAGTCAACCCCCCACGCGCACGCCATTGCAGAATGGCGTGCAGGCAGGCAAGCCATCCGCCTGCAGGTTGGCGTGCCTGCGTGCACGCCCAACTTTAGGTCCTAAACGCATATTTATATGCGTTTAGGACCTGGGCCGTCCCATAGGACCCAGGCATGGGTCCTATGGGACGGCATTTTTCCTTTTTTTTCTCTTTTTTTTTCTTTCTTTTTTTTCCTCCTCGGCCTAGAGAGGCCAAGGTCACACCGCCGGGAGGAACCCCTCCCGGCGAGCGGTGTACAGTCCAGCGGAAGGAAAGCCTTCCGATGGACGAGGTACATGTACCTCGTCCATCGGAAGGAAACCCTTCCGCGCTGGATGAGGTACATGCCTTCCGCTGGACGAGGTACATGGTTGGGCGTGCACGCAGGCATGCCAACCTGCAGGGTATACCCCTGCAGGCGGATGGCTTGCCTGCCTGCACGCCATTCTGCAATGGCGTGCGCGTGGGGGGTTGGCTTGGGGTTATCAACCCCCGTCACCCTCCATCTTCTTTGTAAGGAAATAAAACTCCTGAAAATATTGTGAAGGGCATATCAGGTCTTTGTCACATGAAGGAAAGAATTTCAAGACTCATTTTATATTGACTCACGCTGAGTGTGTCATTCAATCTATTCACCATCTCCCCCTCACTTCTACTAACCTCCACACTGTCAAAGTAGTTTTTCCCACCCTCTTGTTCTTGACGATCATTTTCATTTTCAATTAGTTTATCGATAATTTTCCGAGCCTGATATCCTCGATGTCGACTTTGGAAGACAATGTTCCAGCAAATACCGTACCCAGCAATGAGGCTGAGCCCATTAAAGTCGAGTTTTGTGCACCACGTCTTGTACTCGGAACGCTTGGCTGCAGAGGATGTTATCCTTTGAATAATGAAATCAACCTATGTGGAAGAATTGCTGGTGAGCTCTTGGCAATAAACAGTTTAACTATGGAAAGACATACCTTTTTCAAGACTGTATCAATATTACTTCCTCCATTATCAGGGATATCTGAGGAATCCAGATCACCATCCCCATTACACCCATCAGAACCAGTTCTGCTTTCGGCTTGACCATGCGGACGGAATTCTAAAGCCACGTCTTCTGCTACAAACTGATCTGGTTCCTCGCGTTCTTCTGACTCTTCAATGATCGGTGCTAAGTCAGGGGCAAAGCCGAGGGTGTCGCCTCTTGATTCGACCAATCCGTCGTTTGACTGTCGGAGAGCCTTCAGTCCGGCATTGAGGATCAAAGCTATCTTGTTGCAGAAGCACCGAATATGGTTTTCTGAGAGGTTTGGATTGACTCCTGTCTTCTTAGAAATAAGTCAGTCGACCTCAGAAGCCATTGTGAAATTGTTGGATCCTGAATCAGTTGTCTGGGCTAAGATGTATTGAAAACAAGTGGACGGATTAGTTTATCTCATTGAACACAGAAATAAAGAAAAGAGACTTATCTTATGTTGTAATTTGGCCTTTGTCAGGATGTTTGCAAATGGGATTGCCAAAAGCCTTCCTTGGTGATTAGAGGCAATGTACTTCATTCCCAGATGTGAAATCTTAAAACACCAATCCTTGGTCACATAAGCAACTGAGATGCCAAGAAAAGCATGATGATTGCCTTTAGTGGTCCAGACATCATGAATCAATGTGAATTTTGATTCAAGTGCCTGTCAACAGCATGTTTGAGTCAGGCTTCAGTCAACTGTTTGCAGGGGTGGGAGGGGGAAGAGGGAAGAACTTACATGTAAGCTGGCAATAACCTTGCTCTTTAGATTGAGATAGAGGTTATGTGCCTCATTTGCCGCCCAAGACCGACCATAGATAATGATATTTTGCCGAGCATAGTTGAAAGCCACACGCAGGAGAAAGTCTTGCATTCGGCTCCAAGGTAACAAGTATCAGATTAACCACATCACTAGGAGTTGATTCAAGACCCTCATTTCAAACACCGTGTTTTGAGCGTAATTGTGGATCAAATCTTCTTTGTGGTTTTGCTTATTGAATTCGATTTCCATTGCTGTCAGAGGTAACTTGGCCCCAAAAGCAATTGCGTCTGATCGTCCTGAGCAGGCAGGACGCTCCTTGGTGCCGTCACGGTGCTTGGTGAGGTTTGAGTTGGTCCCCTTGCTTTTCTTGTAAGGACCTGAACACCACTTGCATCTGTGCGAGGATTTTTCTCCCTAAAAACAAGATCAGAAAGGCCAATATTAGTCATGAGAAGAAAAAAATGGTAGAGGATCATGAAAAGCAAGAAATAATTTACAGTGTCACCTTCGTTGGCGTGGTATGGGGGCTCAAAGTACTCAAGGATGTCATCAAATTCACTGTCTTTCTTTGATACCTTCTTGAGCTTTGAGTTGTTGTGGTCTGAGTCTTGAGTGAAGTCAATCGCCCCTCCAACTTGATCAGAATCATCCTCGTTATTGGTTCAAACCACATTTTTCTTCTTCTTCTTCTTCTTTTGCTTGGATTTGGCTGCACTAGCATGACTTTGGTCAGTCGAAGACGATATTTGAGGCCGATGTCGCTTGCGTGACTGTTTTTGTAATGGCTGGGTGCTCTTAGTCTGAGAAACTGACTCGGTTTCACTCTTGGGGTTTGGAGTTTGGATATGTCTGCTAGTCTGTGGTTGCAAAGATCGCCAAGAGTCTCGGTTGGATCTGACAAAATTTCCATGAGAACGCAAAGGAGTTTTGATTCGACTAGACTGACGGGAGGGTGTTTGTGAGGGAGTTCCACCAGGGGAAACAGATGATCGGGCCATTCTTGTGTGAAAGAACTCAAAGAACTAGGAGATTTATTTCTGTCATGAGAAAGTATTTTTCTATATACAACACTGTATCATGTAGGACGTGAAGAAAGAAAAATAGAACTGAGTGGAGTGAGAGAGAAAAGGGATCTACCTTGGTTATTCTGCCAAAGAGTTTCAATCGTGATGTTTCAACTTTTTGTGCGTCACTATACAGAGTGTCATAATTTTCATGTTAGTTTGCTTGGTCTTTAACTATCTGGAGATGTTATGGAAATCAGAATCTTACCTGATCACCTCAGTTGGTTGTCCTGACTTGAATGTTTCAGTTGGTTGCTGAATCTCTGACAAGTTGGCTTCTGCATACATGTTAAACACATTGTGTCAGCTTGAACCTTAACTGGTTGGGGTTGCTTATAGTTGCATATGTAAATTGGCTTGCTGAAGTTATGGCTTACCTATTTCACCTGCTGCTCTTACAGTTTTCCTCCTCTTATTAGAGGACGTGCCAGAGCCTAGAATCTGACAGGGTGGAGGGTGGTGGTAGAAGATGAGGCAGGATGATATGATACTGTGAGGTTAAACAAGTGAAATCTGATTGATGTTGGTGATGAAATCCAAATTGATTCTGGTACTGGAAGAATGCTGGCATTGCAAAATCTGATTGAAAGAGTCCAATCAAGGTCAGTAAAGGAATAAATGCATTGATTTTGGTGGCCAGGCAAGCAGGAGGGTGGATGGTGGAAGAGACAAAGCAGTAGAGGAAGAGGCCAAGGGATGAGGATGCTGGTTTGATGAGGATGCTGGTGAAGTAAGGAGTGGTTGAGGTGAGAGCCAAGTTTGTTGGCCGAGGTGATGAGGAAGAAGAGGTAGAAGAACAGCAGACTGGTCAATGACCGCTGGGATTGCTGGTGTGAAAGATGATGTAATGGGATTGCATACAACAGGCTGACTAAGAGCACGAGGTGGGAGAGACACTCGACGGGATCCCACCATCCAGATCGGAGGAATAGGATCGAAGAGTAAGCCAATTGGATGACCGAGACAATGAGTATCAGCAGCAATTTGCTGATGTAAGTCAATTTGGTCAAGAGAAACAGAGAAAGAGAGAGAGAGAGATCAGTCCATGTAATTCCTATCTGCTGGCTTTGATTTGGAAGTCATTTAAGTCACTCCTCACCATATCATGTCCGTGTCCAGATATCTCATCAGATCATCAACCACTGCATCCCTTTTGGCTTCGCTCAACCCGTCGATAGCCTGTGAAGCCAGAGAAGTCTATGCCGAGAACCCTCATCACAGATCAACATCCTGAATTGTTATTTTCTTTTTTCTCAAGGAAATTATTTTTGGGTTGGAGACTCACCATAGGGAGGGAATGTTACTTCAAAATCTTGCGTTGCTCGTCCCACTCTCTTGCAATCAAGGCGGCCAAAACTAGCTTAGTTTTTGCTAACCCTAGCGGCTTCCCACTCAGTGTTTTTAAGTTACGTAGATCGAGGCGAATTGAGTACTTTCCTGATATATTTCATCGTTAACATCCCTTCAAAAAAGTTATTTAAAAGCGAACGGAAAAAACTCTTACCAACTTCTTCTTTGTGAACATCAACCGTCTTGCAAAACGTCCTCAGTGACGTTTCGTCTCCTACATCAAAAAGGGGAGGGGGGGTGAATACCAGTCAATGAGAAGCTTCGACAAGACTAGCAAGAGATAAGACGTACTTGTAGTCTGTGATGGTATTGTAGATGGCTCTGATGGCTCCTTTGGGGCTGTTGCGGTGACTTGGGTTGAATGACCGGCCAGGAGGAGAGCTTGTAGAGATCAAGCAAGCCATTGACAAGGATGATTAAGAACGGGATGAGGTAGAGTGAATACTCGAAGCGAAGCGTGAGATCAAAGCGGGACTGATCGAACGGATTCCAGACCGAGAAGGGATTGTCGGCCTGATAGGATAGCAAACATCTGCCCGGAGTGGTCGCCCCTTGGGTGGTAGTAGATCTTGAAAAACCTGGTAAGAGATGTTTGATGGTAACTCACAGATGGCAGTGGTGATGCTTGCAAGTCAAATCCAATTGGTTGTTGGACTTTGACTGATGAGGTGCCTCTCTGAAGTCTTAAGCCTGGCGCTAGTGGTTCGAAGACCTTGATGGGGGGGGGAATCCAAGTCGACTTTGATTGGACAAGTTGCATATGAAATATCATAGATCCCAAAAGCAAAACACCGCTGCGATTAGTGGCTTCAACAACAAATTTTTAAGTGGTATCTACCATTATGATGAAGCCTGACATACCAATTTGGTTTGACAAAAATTCAAACGCCGTGCGAGGGAGGTGGGCCAGAGTGGATCTTGATCTTTGCCGATGCCTTGTTGATAGGATGGGAAGAAGAAGTAGAATGAAAGAAAGAAAGAAAATGTTACCTCAGGATGTCAAGCTGCCGATGAAGTCGGCCAACCAATTCAATGAACAACGACTACAGATGAGCATTCAAGACGATTGTTTGGTGATTGAGTCTTCTTGTCTGAGGTTCTATGGTGGGGAGGGGCTTACCTCGATATGTGGATTGGTATCACAATACCGGATTGATGGTATTGATATTCAGAATCCAGGACAGGAAATACACCTGTCTCGCATCGGCCTCTGGAATCCCGGACTTTGAATATGATGTATTCAGTTGGGATTCTCATTCAATACCAATCCAAGATATCGGGGGGTATCAAATCCAGATACCCCCAAATACCGATACTTGTCTCGTATTGGTGGCAGCGTTGGCGGGGGGACCATAGAGTGACATCCTGGCCCCCTAATTTTTGGTCCCCCTAGCATATGGGAGTCGCTCCTCCCATTCCCCCTAGCATATGGGAGTCGCTCCTCCCATTCCCGCTGAGGGAATGGGAGTCAGATCTCAAAAAAAATTACAAAAAATAATTAAACACCCGGAAGGGTTGGCAGTCAATGGGCCAAACCTTTCGATGGGATGGCAGTTAGCCCTGCCAAACCTTCCAGGGGGATGGCACTTAGCCCTGCCAACAAGCCTTTAAGGCCACAAGGAAACCTCCTGACATTTGATAGGATGCATTCTCACAAAGATGTAACAGATACAATACTCTGTGTGTATCATAGAGAATTCTGCAAAGCTACATGGCCAAAAACTCAATTGTTGCATCTCCTTGCAAATACCAGCACATTGGTCAGATAATTTTTCCATTGGAGTTCATATAAATGGAGTGATACATGACAGATACATGGCAGATACTGTATCTGTTTCATACTTGATTCTCAGCCACCGGGAGGGAAACCTCCGGGGTGCTGAGAGTACACTCTTGATGACTGAGAGGAAACCTCCCGGCCGTTAAGAGTGTACACTCTCAACGGCTGGGAGGGTTCCTCTTGGTCCTTGAGAGTGTACTCTTGATGACCAAGAGGTTTCCCTCTTCCAGCCATTGAAGCTTGTTGGCAGGGCTAACTGCCATCCCCCCGGAAGGTTTGGCCCATTGACTGCCAACCCTTCCAGGGCTTTTATACTTTTTTGTATTGTTTTTTTTTCTGAGATCCAACTCCCATTAACTCAGTGGGAATGGGAGGAGCGACTCCCATATGCTAGGGGAACCAGAAATTAGGGTGCCAGGACGTCCCTCTATGGTCCCCCCGCGGTCCTCTCAACAACTCCCAAAAATGGGAGTCGGAGCTCCCATTTTGGGAGTTGTTTAATCAAGTCCCAATATCAATTGAATAGGATTATTATTCTGTTTCAAGGTGAAAAATACAAAAAATGTTCTATGCAACCATGTAGCAGTGTAAATTCAACCTAGGTTAGTGGTGGCTTTCTGTTCTACAAGCCTTTCAGGATTAGAAAAATATTACCAACAGGAAAAAAGAACCAAGCTGTTAGCAATCTTTCACTGATATATATTCCATTTCTACTGATACTAACAAGTGGCAGAAAACCTTTCTACCAGGCCAAATATTGGCAATCTTGCAGTGAAAACTAGAAATGCTAAGAAACCATTAAGGCTGTTGCCTTGGGTCCAAGCATGAACCCCCTGCCAAGTGGGGTCTTGATTATGAATAAAGGCCACTGCTGAGGGTTAGAAAATCTAGAAATAAAGTGTGGCCAGGTGTGTTGACAGAGTAGCATGAAAAATTCATGCCTAGAAATTGATGCAGAAAATCACCAAACTTCATTCAAGCATCACACAATTCTCATCAAACAAACATCAAATGTTTTTTTCTGAAAGGTTAATTGATTTTACATTGCACAATATTGTGATAGTAGGGGAGTCAAGGCTTGAATTACCTTGAGTTGGATAAACTTGTATGAAGTTGAGGACAAGGTGTATCATCCCTTAGAGCATCTCCAACGGTCCTGCTGATGCGGGACCTGGGACCGACTTCAGCGGGCCGCGAGGCTCTTTTGGTTGCTAGCGGAGCTGCCGAGCGAGCTGCTGAACATCGCGGGGGTGGACCAAAGCTGCCCTCGGCTGCTGAGTTTGGCAGCTTTGGCCGCGTTTCACCCACCCCCGCTCAACTTCACAGTCCGCATTTAGGACAACTGTGACAGACCGGTGACACCTCGGGACATCTGACTCCAGGCCGCCAAAGGCGAGCCGATCCACCCCCAGACCGTTAGAGATGCTCTTACCCTCCAGTGTGATTGAGTAAAAAAAGCATGATGTTGTGTCATGAACTGATTCCTGAGACTGCCAAGATGTTCTGTGTCTTCAAGTACCACACCTGGAATACTGCATTTTCCAGTTCTCAAAGCCCACAAGCTTCTAAAATGCAGGGATACCTATCTACGTGCATGCTCTTTGTATAAACTGCCTCAAGGCATGGTGAAATATAGTGAAGGGCTTCCCCAAACTCTTGATTTGATGCTGCACTCAGGTCTCTTTGAAGTCGGATTGGCAGGATTTTTTTTAAAATTAAATGTAGTAAAAATGATCAGTGATAAGGCTGAGTCAATGTTTCAACCTCTGGTCTGGGATCATAAAATATGAGCGTGTTGGACTCCATCTGTTACTTTCCTGCTTGCCCTTTCACTTCGGTCGATCGGGGACTCGGGAGTCTACCCCGACTCAAGCCAAGCCTCGAGAGTGGAAGTTCGAGTCGAGTGACGTCGGTTGTCAAAGGAGGTCAAGAAGAAACAGGCTGGTTGTATGCGCCATTGCGCCGTTCCATCAAGATATGAAGAGGAGTTCAACTTCAAACCAGCTTCCAATCAGTTCTCCCTTGCTTTCGTGGCTGCTAAACAAATCCGCTGCGCTGAATGTCGTCCAGCAATCTAATACACACCAACATCTCTGAAGAGCAGGTTAGTTCTCCTTATCAGCTTGCCACTTGTCTGCGATGCAGTTGCCAAAGAAATCCAAAACTCAACGGAACTCATATATAAAACTTTGGGTCCTAGGTCATTGTTGCCTTCCACTCTTTTCTGCAGGTGAGGCAAACAATATTGCGGGTCTTACTCGGACCCTCTTTGACCAATAATACACAGGCGTTTACTGATGGTAGAAGCTGGTCGATACGTAATACTAAAACAGGGTGCTTTGGCTCAAGCTCATGCCGAACGACTGCTAGATACCGCCGTTCTCAGCTCTGCTGAGGCCGATATTCAGATCGCAGGGCCTGCAATCTGTCTCTTCCTGGCCGCCCTTCGCAGTGAAGGGAATCCTCCTAGCATCGCCACCTCTATGATATCACTGGATGCAACCAACTGCCCAGCATCGTTTCGGAACTGGTTTGTACTCTGGTCTGAATCTGGTCAGTTTTAATTCTCTCGAAAAATCTAATTTCGATATTAAACTCATTCTTGAATTTGCATACCAAAAAAAAAAATTGTTTACTTCAAAACCAGTTCCCAAGATCAAGGCCCTCTCTCTCGAATTAAGACACGATCTAGCCAGAATAATTTGTGACCAAGAGCCTCAATGCCAACCGATCCGGATCGACCTTCCGGTCATTGCCCAAAATCTAAGAGCTATAGCTATCGAAATTTCACAGCGGCGTACATTTCAAGAGCGATTCTCTCAAGGTCTGTTGATCCTGATACTCCGCATGAATACCTGGCGCGCTTACTGAGCTTTCCGAATGCTTCAATTTTTCGATTCTTTCTATGACCATAGATCTTGATTATGCACTTCAGTTCGGCTATGATTTCAGAGCCCCAGCTCCAGCTCCAACACTGCCTTCCTCCACCTTTCGACCGCCTCCAGCATACAACGACAATGGTTCTAACCCATCAACACCATCCTCTCTCGCCCCGACTTATGCTCCCAAAACAAACACATCACCTCTTTCTGGCCTTGACCCCGCCCTGGAAGACCACCCTGCACTGCGTATTATTCGTGAAACGCTTTATGCATCACTTACCGACATTCTTTACACCACTCCAACAATCTTCGAAATCTTGCAATCTAGAAGTTCAACCGATGGTCAACTATCTCGTGCATATTTCGGTGCATTATGTCTTGCCATTCTAGAAGTTTCTCTGACGCTCGTTAGTCCTGCAGACCGCCATGTGCGAGTTGTCCACCTGGGAAGCGGTTATCCATCGATCTTAAAAGTCGAAGATTGTCCACCCCATCTTCAACCAATGGCTGCTCAACTATTCTTAATCGCTTCCTCTACCCAAACATTAGCCCGAGAAGATCTTGAAGCCGCGGTCGAAAATGCAAGTCATGGTGGCGAAACTGCTCAACCCAAAATTGACAGACTCAAAACTGATTTGGAACATGGTACCAACTGGGAAGCCGGAGTTAGCGCATGCGACATCGAGGATAATCGACCTGCCAGTCCCGCGGGCACCGTCAGAGTCGCAGCAAATCGAATCAATGCACTAGCTCTAGGGATAAGCCAAATACCATCTTTCAGGGAACGCGAAGAGGCTCTATTTGAAATCTTGGTGCCCAGTTTGAGTGAACGGAAGAAAAATTGAAACTGGATTCATTCATGAAATATCCAAGCCTTTACATTCATCTACCTGATCTTTTGCAATTTTTCCCCCTTCTTTCTTGGTATGAAGATTGCATCACGTCGGAAGTGACGGCCAAGACCAAAATAGCAACTAATACAAACATTTTAGGGCCTCACTCCATATGAAATAGGGTTATCTCTCCACATCTTTATGTTGTATTCTTGATAAAAAAAATTCTGTGCTATAGACAACTGATTGCATTGAGGAATGTCGTAAAACTGAAGGAGAGCATTGAATTGTGTTAGAAAATTGCTGTTTTTATGAACCACTATCTATCATGGCACTGGCAGAAGCACTGATAGCAGTCTCCCCTGGGCCCTCTCCACCCGTTATACGAGTTTGAGACAATCGTATTTACCCGATCTCCCAGACGTCATCCTTTCTCCACAATATACGCAGCCACCTTTTTTCTTGGTCTGTAATCAAACACATCAATGTGTTGCTTTTTCTTATTTTACAAAGGCACTGATGAATTCACGAAGCCTTGACAGCCCTGCTTTGGATGAGGTTACCTTCGATGAAGCATTGGAGACTCACGTGCGAAGTCACTGTTATACGCCCATCACACGTGAAAGGGGGCGATGCAGACTGGGACCCTCATGGGGGATCTAACCACTTGCAACAAAGTATGTAACCTTGAGTTCATGAGCTTCATCAATCCATTGATCAACCCGATCTCTGCCACTGAAGAATTTTGACCTATCTCGAGTGGCGTTCATTATTCTTTGACCAATTTTCCCTCAGAGAAGAAATCACTAGACATGCATATTACGATTTACCTCGCCCTCTTGATGATGACTCTTCATAAGGGAGCCAACACAACTCAAGCCGAAATTGGGCACGGAATCCATGACCTCGAGCCAGTCAGGAATATCGCGATTGAGGAGAAGGAAACCAGTCGGGCGACGGGATCGATGGCAGAAATAGAAAGCGCACTCAAAGAAACCTCAGAAGAAACCCATGGGCCCAAGAAGTATTCAACAGAAGCCAGGGCAAACCTGGCCGGCGATGAGCGACAAGAGCAAGAAGCACTAGCACTAGAATGCCTGAGAGAGCAACTCAAAACAGCCGGCCATCTGCCCCGGACGATGGAGCAGAAAAGATTGGTAAAGCGGTCGACGGACAAGTGCCGCAAGTTCCGGACCCCCAGACACAAACTCATGTGGTGGGCTTTCAAATATGAACTCCGTCGTGCCGGCTACAACATCCGCAAGCTCTTCTGGCGATTCATGGTTTGGTGCGGAAAGAGAGGGGCCGCTTGGAAGCTGTTCATGACCAAGCTCCGCTGGTCCTTTGCCCGCAAGTGTGAGCATCTCAAGCCGACATATTAGACACCCTATTCTCTCAGCTTCTGATGTGTAAAATTGACCCCAGAGTTTCACTCCTCAAACTATTCTTGAACTGTAGGACGCATTAAATTCCAAGACAATGGAAAAACAATGAAAAGGCAAGGAGCAGGCAGATAATTTCCCATTTGTTGCCCCCGAGTAGAAGGAGATAGATATATACTTATCAAACACATCAGTGTGAGCAACACGAGCTGTGAGGTTAAACATAAATTTCCTTGCCATTTCTTTGATACAAATACAATCATGGCCCATCATCTGTTTATCTGTATAGTTTTGATACATCTCAGTGCACACCCATTAAAACATTCTCCCCCATGAACACTTGTGTCTGCCTCTCTCAAGTCTTGCTTTATCTACTTTTTTTTTATCTTTCTGTTGGTTAGCATCTCTGTTGTTTGTTTGATCAGGTTGTCATGAATCAATGCCAGAGTTCTTCGATCAAAGGGTGAACTTCCCGTCTATATTAGAATAGTAGCCGTTCAGCCTCTGCCAATTCAAACTTGAGAGTTGAGTGCCCGATTTCAGCTTCTAATTACCAAAGGTTGATTTTTAATAAATTTTCAACAATGATCAAATTCCATTTTTTTCAAAAAAGGAAACACCAGGGTCTGCCATGGATCCACAAGGATGATAGTTTGTGGATTCTATTACATGCAAGGTATGCAACAATATATGGATTGGTTAAGTGAAATAGCTTGAAGTTTCCTTCATCTTTTGTTGAGGCTAGATCAGCCAATTTTCATCCTATAGTATGAGTCGGATGAAGACGTCAGAATGTGTGCAAGAGGAAAAGGAAAAAACTATCTTTCTACATAGTCTTTGGGTGTGTGCTCCCACTTTTTGATCAACGTGAGCTTTACAAGTTTTTGGCCTGAAAAGGCCTGAATATCCCTCCTGCTCCTACCAACATTGGGAATTTAGGTGCAAGCCTCTCCCCACAGGGATGCCCTTTTGAGATGCTTTGATAAGCTATGTGGCATGCCGCTGCACACAGCTTTCCGCAAACGCTGATTGGTTCAGAGGATATATAATGGTGCTTGGTTTGGGGGGCCAAAGATTGTAAAGACAACACCACAGGGGTAGCTAATCAGTTTTATACGGGTCAACAACCAAAATAAGTTTGGTTTGTTTTGTCTGAAGGGAAGTGACAGTGACAGTTGGCAATTTTCAGGAAATATGTATTGGGATTTTTACTGTACAGACAACTCAAATCAATTTTAAATTTATAATCATACCAATCCACCATTGGAAAATGATTTGAACTGGTGTGGAAGCCAGCTCTCAAAATGAATTTTGGTTGGCAAAAAATAAAAATATCAAAAATGAAAATGAAAATTGGCTGGGGTGCTATGGTACAGGCCCATAACGTTGGTCTTGATACAGTGTTTGGGTTGCTTGGCCTTGGCAGGGCCAAAAAGCTGGTAGTCCCACCACCAAAATAGACACATGCAGGAGCACCCAAACACCCATCCCACTAGGGAATCTGCATACACAGAGCTAGTAGAGTATTTGACCACACAGCCCGCAAACAGGTGATGAAACTTGAACTTTGTCACGGTGACATTTTAATGGAAACTCATCCACAGTGACTGTGGCTACTGACTGGTGCAGTTGAACTGTGACAAAATTTTGATTCTGTCACCTGTTTGCAGGCTGAACTATTGGGCTAGCTGAAAGCTATGGGTTGCCTCACTTGCAGTTTAATCGACTCTGTTTCAGGCAGGTTTTTTCAACTTATTTTATAAGTTTGTCTTTGCCTTTTTTATTTCAATGTTTCACAGCACCTGAATTCATAACATGAGCCCATGGAAAACAGGCTGGAGATCTAAAAAAATAAAATAAAACAAATGACACTAAGCTGACTGGCTTTCTAAAAAAACAAATCAGAGGCCAACTAAATATTGGTCATGAACAGATTCTGCTGGCTTAGCTCTTTTGAGAAACTGTCCACAAATCTCTGTTTTGAGTTCTGACCTGAATCAAAAATGGATAAAACATGATCCAGTCCTTGAACCAAAACCATCTATTTTTTGGTTGGTTTAATGTTTTTCCAACAATTCAGCCTTTTTACCAACAAGAAACCTTAGATTCCAAACAATGCCTATTTAACCCCAAGGATAAATAGATTTTTGGGAGCTGGGAAACAGCACATTGCATTTTCACTTTTTTGACAAAAAGCCTCAGTAGTAAAAATCAGGCTAAAAGAAGCTATTCTAGCAAAAATGCTTCAAATGAGCTTAATTTCAGCACATCATTGATCCTTTTGATTTTGATGCAGGTATTTGAGCCCTGGGACTCTGATTATATTATTTTCTCTTTCAGAGTGTTGATCAACTGCATTAAATTTGAATTCTTCAGATTAATTTTAATCAGCCCTTGAGAGCATCTTTACCGGTTGAGCTAAAAGCCAGCGGTTTTAACTCGCGGCTATTGCTAAGCTACTATAGCGAAGCCTATTCAGCCACACCGGTGTGGCATGAGGTTAAACGGTGTGGTGTGGTTTGAAGTAGGGGTGTGTGATTGTGTGCGGGAGGGCACCAAAATGAAGCACACTCACCGGTTTTTGCTTTTAGCTTGCTTGCGAGCTAACCGTTGCTAGATCTAGCAACGGTTAGCTCGAATCGGAGCCGCGAGCTAGTTTGACTTGACTTTAGCTCAGCCCGGTGTGGTTGAATTTCGCGGCTAAAGTCCTTAGCTCGCGCGGATTTAGCCACCGATACGGATGCTCTGACATACCAATCTACATATAAAGCATGCTTTTCCTCGGCTTTCTCTTCTCTTTTTATCTATCCCTTCAGTCCAGAAAGACATGAAATAAATTAAATCTTGCTCTTCCCTGCCTTTTTTCCTTATCCAAAACTAGCAAGTGTTGGTTGAAAGCCAGATGAATCAGTTGGATTGAGTTACAGCAGAAAGATAGTAACAAAAGGGTAGTTGACTTCATATCTTGATTCACAGACATAATTTTTTATCCCAAAATCATAGGGATGCTTGTGCACTGCAGCAGATACTTGACAAGAATTTTTAGTTGTAAATTGCACAATGGAGGACTTCCTGCTGCCCAGATAGCTTGATTTAGAGGGAATAGCTCAACTTTTTTTGCTGGTGAAAATAAATCTTGAGGTTGAACAATTTTAGCCAGCAAAAAAGCTTTAGCCCTTCCTTCTAAATTCAAAAAGCTAGACAACAGGAAGTCCTCCAATGAATGACTTCCCGCCAACATCTGTGAGTCTCCCAGTTTCAATTTAGAGCCGCAAAAGCTAGATTTCCCTGCAAAAATCTAGACTTTTTGTGTCTAAATTGAAAACTGTGAGGGTCCCAGATCCGACAGGAAGTCCTCCAATAACTTTCAAAAAAGGAACTACATAGGAAGATGTGAATTTGAAGTTTTGGCAGTAATTTGCATCACTAGCTTCTGGCTGGGCTTGCTGGTTTCCTGCTATGCATGGTGTGATGTTCAAATTCAATTTCAGGTCTCAAATTTCAAATATGTATGCCTTGATTAATTATGAAAGGAAACAATTCAACAAAAATATTGGTATGGAATAAATGAGATTACAGATGATCATGCCCTGGAACTGGTAAATAAAGAAAAGTTTTCTGGTAGGTTCCTGCTTATTAGTCTTTTCTCTTCCAGATTTTTTTTATATTTTTGTAAGTAGTCAGACCTGTGGCCCCATTAGAGTGTCTATATTACATAGAAGCAACACAAGTTGGTGCTATGTATATATATGTGTGTGTATTGCAATACTTCCTCGTCATGATTTGCTTTTGTACAATCTTGTGAAGTCTTAGCTTACAGGCTTTTGACACATAAACAGCGCTTTCCATGGAATCAGCTTACATGCACAATATCATGTGTTTGTTGAAGGGCAAACAAGAAGTGATTAATTTTTCAGGAGTGAGCTACATAAGCGTTATTGGATCGTTCAAATCTCTTGGCTGTTGGGTCTTTGCAGAGGGACAGTCCAAGTATAAATACATAATTCTGAGGCTAATCCATGTGAGTCTACCTGAGCAGTTGTGCTTCCAGGCTGTGTGTGTGCAAAATCCACCGGTGTTGTGTTCTTTATTTGGATGTGCATTAATTAGCCCGGACATACCCGGATTGAGGTATCATTAAGGCTTGTTCTGTTGTTGTGGCCGTTCAAGTTGTCAGCATTTTTTTGTAAACATCACTGTATGTCCGCCCGTCAAAACAGCTCGAAACTATAATTTTGTGTCATATCACCCACTTCAAGCCAACAAGAAACCCATCTGCCAACTGCAAGAACCCAGCCAAGCAGGACTCAGGACGAACGAGATTGTGGATCACCATAGAAGAGAAGAAGAAGAAGAGCAAGTGTTTACGAATAAGATACAGCCTGCCTAATAATCATCAACCGACTACATATTTATCTCGATGGGTCCAGAAGTAATCGACTATGAGTCACCCAGTCAGTACTACCACCATCATATCCTCTTCTGACTTCAATAAGATTGAATGAGTGGCTGCCCATCCTGATCCATTGCTTTGATTCCGCTCAGGTTCCACATTCGCCCTTGCATTTTCTCCCTTGGGCTCTTCCTCCAATTCGAAATCACATGCGAATCAACTACCTGACCTGAAGCTTGCGGTGGGGACGGCGATGGAATCGTATTCTAGTAATCATGTGACGATCGTCGGACTCAGCGGGAGCAGCTCAAATTGCTACGATCCATACGATGATCCGATGAACTCATTCACCAACTCCACACATCCTCAGTTACACCCTCTGGCCACCGCACCCCATCCCTATCCTCCTACCGCTCTGGCCTTCTCACCGATCCGATTGAGCGAAAGTCTCCAAGCTAGTAGTAGCTCCGGTCAGATGGTCCGGACACGCGAAATGCTGGCAACTAGTTCCGAGTGTATTCGACTCTGGGATTTCGCTCAAGGAGTCGCTGAGGACGATCGTACATCGGGTTTCGTTAGCGAGAGTCGTAGGCTGGGATTGAGTCAGAAGGGAACCTCATACCAGCTGGTGCCTCGGAGTCAGATGGCCAATGTGAGTTATCCTTGTCATATTACACTGTTCTATCTTTTTTCACAAAAATATACTATTCCGGAATTGAAAAACAATTAAAAATTTGAATTTGGAAGTAAGCCAAATCAAGAATGATATCAAAATAATTAAAATACGACTGATTTGTTGGCAAAGTCATCAAAACGACGCCATTCGTATATGTTTGCACAAGCATTAAACTACACGTTGACGCACAAACGTATATAATTCATGACTAACCTCATCCATAAAAAAACAAATGATATGTCGAATGATTACAAAATCTCCTGATTGATTGATCTCTTGCTGTTATTCCTGCATCTGAAAACATCACTCATTAAAGTTTGATTGACTGATCCAAAACTGCTTCTTCTCCTATGTGCTGCTCCGCTTTTTTTTTCTTTCTGAAAATGATTACTATCAATCTTCGAGGCTGTTTTCTACAACAGAGTAAAGCCGATTATTCCGCACCCCTAACCTCATTCTCATGGTCGCAACTGGATCCATCACTAATCGTGACATCCTCAATCGACACCACATGTACGGTCTGGGACATCTCTTCGAATTCCGCGATCACCCAACTGATTGCACACGATCGAGAGGTATATGATGTATGTTGGTCGAGTGCATCTCGGGAGATCTTTGCCTCGGTTGGTGCGGACGGGAGTGTGCGGATGTTCGACTTACGAAGCTTAGACCATTCGACGATCCTCTACGAGGCCCAGGGCGGGCCCTTCCAGGCTGGCCGCAACGGGGCAGCTCCAACGCCGATCTCGCCCGCCGGACCCGGCGCTGCAGCGCCCCTCCTCCGTCTGAAATTCAATCCCGTCGATCCCAATTACATCGCCGTCTGCTCTGCCGTGGGTGCTGATGTTCAGCTGCTTGACGTTCGCGCTCCTGGGGTCCCGATCGTCGAGCTTAGGGCCCACCAGGCTACGGTAAATGGCGTAGCCTGGAGCGGAGATGGAAATGTTCTTGGCACATGTGGTTAGTTCCCTCACATACAACTCAAGATAATTGTTCTCCTAGATAGACATCTTCTTTGCCACAAATTAGTGATATTAACTTCTCCTTTCCATCTCCTTGTAGGTGATGACTGCCAAGTACTAATATGGGACCTATCGGGAGTCCCATCACTGGGCGGAGGACCGCCCCCACCCCAACCAAACACACGAACAACAACCGCTCACACAAAGACGCTGAGAGATCCGATCTTGGCTTACACTGCCCCTCAGGAAGTTAATGCGCTAACATGGTCTGAGGCTAATCGGGATTGGGTGGCTATTGGGCTGGGAAGAAGAGTTAGATGTCTTAAAGTGTAACAAAAATAAATCGAGAGAAACAAAACAATTAAAGATTATCAATCTATCAATCGATACCTGTATCACAACTCAACCCCAGTCAAATCATTAGTACAACTCTTCTCTCTCTCTCTCTCTGTTTCTCTCCTATACATACTTTTCTTTTTTCTTTTTTCTATTTGTTGAGGGGGTCTCATTTTTATTTATTTATTTTGATTTCGGTCATTGACAAAAAAATCATGTATATATGCCTGTCTCAATTGTGTACATTTCCATTTTTTTTTCTTAAATTATTTCTCTGATTAATCTTTTGCATTCAAAACCTAAACACAACAAAATCCGAAAGAACATTTCGATCAAACTCGGTCAACTTTCTACAAATCTAGACTGGTCCTCATGATGAGTGTGTACTTGTGGTGATTAATTGATAAGAAACAAAAAAAATGTCAACTTGGGAGGAAGCTGGAATACAAACAACGTGATCAGCCCATGCACTACATATTTACTTGCTCTAATAAGTCACTGATAGATCACTGCTTGGAAATGTGCAAGTCTATTTTTCAAGAAAAGGTTTCAATAAATGAAGGAAATTACTTCTATCATCTCAGTCTCAATCTCGAAACAATAAATTTTTCATATATCTTCTAATAATGGGGTAAATTCCTGGTGATTTGAGTCTACCAATAAACACATCACTCCTCAGATTGACAAATTGCAGGTCCCTCCCCGTCCAAAAAAAAGATAAAGAAAATGTGCTAAATTGACTCTGTTGCAGTTTTTCAAAAGAGTTATTATCCGACTTTAGGATAAATTTGCGGGTCCATCCGTTCTTCCAAGGGAAGACACGTGCCCAGTGCCTGGGAAAAAGTCGGCACAATAGAATTGATTATATCCAAACGGATAAGAAAGGGAGCCAAGGCAACCTGGGCGATCCAAATAAGCAGCTGCCCAGGGAGACAGATCAAACGTGATCTCTCTCTCTTCCCTTGATAGGGGAAAGATCTGAATGGATCTTCTCACACGATTCATTAATAATGTTGGCCACGTTCTGATGAGTCACTGAACCAGAAGCTCACTCTCGGGGGTTCTGCTGACCGAAGACGTGGAGCGATGCTCGTTGGGAAGTGTGTGGGGTTGGCTAAAATGAAAGAATCGGATGATGCTGGCCTGCAGCGCTACCTGTTTCTGTTGCTATTTCCTCGGGTTAGGTATCCAGTCGATCCCTTCTAGCGTGATCCCTTATGGATCATACTATCGCTTCCGTGATTCGTCTCGGTGTTCTCTTTGAGGGACTCGTGGTTGATTCATAAGAAGCCTATAATATCTCAATTTTATTATTATTAATTTTGCTGTTAATAGTCGTGATACCAATCTGTTGGGATACTTGGGTTGTGAAGGTTTTGAGGATTGGGAAAATGAAGTGTGGAAGGGGTGCAGTAGGATGTATGCTGTGTTGCTGTGTAGGAGTAATACAGTCTTTCCAACAGCCAACAGAGACCAGGACAGTCTGCATACTTATTCATTAATGTCGCATACATCCCATTCAAACTTCCTCCCAACAACTACTACCACCCAAGCATCACCACCAGCTCACACATGTTTCCCGAGGAAGAACAACAACAGCAAGCAAGCAAAGCATACTATCGAACACACGAACAGAGCTTCATAAGAAGAACCATCTGAGAGATCCGATCGACCAGAACCCAAAACTTTCTTATTCCTGGCTGGACCGATTACCAATACAGAAAGTTAGAACGACCAAGCAGCTAAAGCGAGAAGGAGAGAGAGAGAGAGAGAGAAAGAGAAAGCGAAGGATTAAGAGACAATATTGATCGTCAAGGATGGCCGTACCCACTCAAGCTCCCCAGAATGTCGATCCCAATTATGTCGATCTCTGTCCATATACTTCGCGAAAACATTGTCGGCAACAATCCCAAGCGGGTTGCACGAAGGTACGTGTTTCTTTGGGCCGATTTCTCACCAGCAGTCTGTCAAGCTCGAGCTATCCGTGAAACCGATCTGACTGTATTCTCTTCGGCCCTTCTACATAGGTCCATTACAAGCCTGACATCCAGCCCCATACGGATCTCTCGCTCGGCGATTGTAGCTATCTGAACAGTAAGTGGCTTGCTTTTGATATCATCTTACTTTCCAAACTTTCATATAGATATTAGGAACATACCGTTTCTATATGCTTTGGCGGGGGACAAAAAACCCCGGACGGAAGACAAGTTGATTAAGAAAAATTTGTTGTCTCGTGTAGCTTGTCACAGGATGGACACGTGTCGGTATTTACACTGGATGGTCGAGGATCCGTTAGCTTTCCCCACCCCTGCCCCAACTTCGGAGTCGGATGCCCTAGTGAAAACTCAAACGGCTTCAAGTTCCGTGCGTCGATCAAAACCCATGCATTTTTTCTTTTTCTTTTTTCCTCTTAAAAAAATTCGACACCCAATCTTATTAACATTCAAATTTACGTTCAATATTTTCTTTTGGGTTTTACCCTTTTTGGGCGTTTTATTGCAGAAGCTTTTCCCGCCCCAATGGGTTAATTGTGATTTGAGACATTTGGATGTAGGCATCCTTGGCAAGTTCAATGTCCTCATGATGGATCCACCTTGGGGTAAGCACCGATGTATTGTTTTTCTGCCCTGATTCTTATCCCTCTTCCCTGAGCCCGTCAATACTAACAATTTTTAATGTCTTTTTTTGTCACGAATGGCTTGATACAGATATTCACATGAGTCTACCGTATGGTCAGTGTGAAATCCAATATTTTTTTTGATAACCCTGTTGATTTATGCGGAAACTGATGAAAGTTATTCAACAGGCACGATGACAGATGACGAGATGCTAAAAATGCCCGTCCCATCTCTACAAGAATCTGGTGGGTTGATCTTCGTCTGGGTCACTGGCAGAGCACTCGAATTAGGCAGGGATTGCATGAGGACATGGGGGTATGTTTCTTCTCCACACATCTTTTTTTTTCGAATCTGGTGATTCAATCAGGCCCTCGACAGTAGGCGAGAAGTGTGCTGGCTTGCTGAGGATTTGATGGGCTTATTATAGGTATGAAAGGATCGAAGAGATCGTCTGGGTCAAAACCAATCAATTACAACGACTGATCAGGACCGGGCGGACTGGACATTACTTAAGTCAGTCCTTGCTGTCTTTGCTCCCTAAAAGCCCATGAATCATTCTAACATAAAAAACAACTAAAATATATCAGATCACAGCAAAGAACATTGTCTTGTTGGGTTCAAAAGACCTGCCGATAAGGTCGGAGAAGGATCGATGACAAAGGAGGAAATTCGAGAAGCCCTCAGCTGGGTCAAAAGTGGAATTGACACAGATGTGATTGTAGCCGAGGTGAGAAATCACTCAAAAAAGCCTTGAAAGTTTTCGATCTCTTGTTGACTCTTTTCTCATCAAATTCGATAACAAGGTCAGAGAAACATCGCGTAAACCAGATGAGGTGGGTCGTCGATTTTTCGCTCCACAAAAAAAAAGTTATTGTCGATTTCTTTAACTAATCATACAGGACACGTGTTGCATCAATCAATAGATATATGAAATGATCGAACGGGCCTGTCCTGGAGGCAGGAAGCTAGAGCTGTTTGGAAGGGCTTACAATTTCAGGCCAGGATGGTGAGTCAACTATTGTAAATAAGAACAGGATAAACCTCAGACGTTTGCTTATATATAACTCAATCCATGCAGGATCACGCTGGGTAATCAGTTAGAGACCGATTGCCTATACGAACCTGAAACGGTGGAAAGATTCAACCAGATAAGTCCCCATCCCATCTCCCGGATGTTCTTGTACATATGTTTGCTCGGTATGGCTCATACGGGACTCGTTGTATGGTCTTCTGCCTCTTTTTACAGGTACCCCGAAAGACAAATCAAACAAGCTATCTTGCCCCCTCCTTAATGCCATAGAAGAATCAAAAATTCCCAAAATCTAGAAGAAAAAAAAAACTCAAGCAACAACTGATCCAGATCATCGGTCCAAAAAACAAATCTATGGATTTTCAGTGAAGTGAAGCTGGAAGCAATAGAATATAATGCTTGAAATAAGAATACTAATGATGATTACACGTTATAAGGAAGAGCATTAAAGAAACGACAAAAAAAACGAAAACGAAACGAAGACAAATGTACCAGACCTAAGATTCGAGTGATAGAAGCATTCTGTTGTACCTTAATAACCTTTGATTTCATTGTAATCATTTCCACTTTCACAAAACAAAACCCGCTTGCTAATAATAATAGAATCCACTTTCCTTCTGCATTGATTTTCTGTTTTTTGATTAAGCTTGCATTGTTTCCCCTGTGAGTGTTGTGAATCGAGTCCACCCTATTACCCTGAGTGGGCTAGTTTGATGCTTGGTTCCTCTTTTGATAAGTTGGGCTCATATGAATCTTTGAGAATAGCGGGTTGCCCTTGCTTTTTCTTCTGTACTTAAGTCCGCCGACCTACAGGGACAGCTCTCAACATGCCTTTGAGAGATATCAAATATCCTCATGAAGACTCAAGAAGAGAGATAGGTCTTTAACTTCCTGTCTTTTCCTGCCCCTTCCTGTATACCACCCATTTCTCCTCTCATCAGGCGTTTTTTTTCAAACCGGTCAAAACCGTACCGTTCCAAGGGTCGACGCTTATAATCTTCTACATCTCACTGCTATACGTTACAACTATCCACTATTTTTTTTTCTTCTCACCCTCTTGCACAAAACATCTCGTTATGCAAGTTCTAGAGGAGTTTTTTCTGACTCATAGGAGTGTAATTAAAAAGAATGCATTTCTGATAGACGTTTGACTCTCCCTCAGGACCAGAACAGACGGTAATATATATATGGGAAGTGGATTACTGGAAAGAATTGACGAGCAAGAAGTTTATTCTGAGATAGTCGTAGTTGCAGGTGAAGAAGAAGGAGTCGAGAGAAGTTGGGAACGTTTGAGCGCATGAGAGCGTTGGATAGCCTGTTTGAGAGCGACGCCGGACTTCTGCAGTTTCCCGCTACGCCACCAGACGGTTTCGGATTGATCGAGTTTCCTGAACCCGGCGCGTTTGCCGGCATACGGGAGCAGCTTGCGCAACAGACTGGTCTGGGACCGTTTGACGATCACCATCGGCTTGAGCTTCCGTTTGCGAGTCTGACTGAGTCCGGTCATCAGATGTTGCGTTCCCGCTTGGACCTATTTTTGCAAGCATGGATGGTCAGTCTATCTTGAGTTAGTTCAGTGATCATTCTTGGTGCGACTCAACTCGCTTGAATTGGCCTCGGCCCGTCACAAAGAACCGCTTGGATGCCCCCTGATGAGTCTTCAGTTTACATCTCGTCTTGCGGTTCTTTTTGGGTGTTCCGATCGATTTCCAATGGGCTGAGGGACTGATCGAGAATGCTCTTTGCTGATGCTGCTGCTGTTGTTGTTGAATTCTGAAAGGGTGGATTGGCTTGAGTGGGACTGATTGATATGATGAGAGGCTTGGTTTGATGGTCCTGAGTATGAGCTGTCGTAGGATGTTCATCTTTGGTTGGTGGTTTGTGTTTGATTGGATTCTGACACTTGTGTTGCAGCTGGCGCCCGACTTGGGTTTCCTGATCGGCAGGGGGTCTAGTATTCTTTAATTAACCCCCTGGGCTCCCCTCTCTGCTCAGGCTTCTCCCTGGGGAGTTGACTGTTGACCACCCTACTTTATCTTTTCCCTTGATCTTCAACCTGCAAGTGAGTTTCTCTTATACATACTCTTCTCAACATCAGATGCTTGTGTTACAAATTGATACTAACTCAGTATGACATCCTCCCATTCAAGATAGATATCCTCGCGTCGTCGTCGTATATACAAATAGAAAAGAGTTGGACTTGGACATGGAAACCACCAACCAGGGAGAGAATGAAGCTCTCAAGAACAGCCTCATCAACCTCAGCTATCAATCGATCGACAGATTCGATCAAACCTTCCAAAATATACTCTCCCAGACTCACCCCAGTCTCCACCTTCATCCACTCTCAACCCCAGTAGACAGTCTAGCCGATCAAAAATTAGCCCTCATCCAGTCACTCGATCTCATCAATCAATCACTCAGACAGTTTGACAAATCAATCTCAAAAGCCTCAGCAGCAGCAGTTGCAGCAGGAACAGCAGCAGCGACAGGAACATCATCAGCAGTGGTAGACACATCATCATCATCAGCAGCAGCAGCAGAAACTTCAACAGCAGCAGCGGCAGGAACAGCAACAGCAGAAACTTCAACAGCGGCAGCGGCAGGAACAGCAACAGCAACAGCAGCAACAACAGTAACGAATACAACAAACCAATCAATTATCAAATTATTTGCTCTTCTCCGTCAATCATCTCTCCATCTCAACTCACTCATCCAATCCCAATCATTCATCAAGCAACTCAATAATCAATCAAACCATCATCCAACAGACCTCTCATCATCCTTGTCATCCCTCGATCAACAGAAGAACCTACTCCCACGTGCAACCTATCTTGACCCTTCACTCATCATTGAAAACTTACCAGCAGATCAAAGATCACAAACCAGTCTACCACTCATCGAAGCCCTCGCGCGTGAGATCGGCCTCGAATGTTTTCGAGACTCAGATGACTCAAACCTCCTGACGATCGCCGGAAAATTATTTGTGATCGACATCGAGATCGATCCAAACCATGATCAAACCCATGGCCAGGTCAATCGCTCCAAGTTCTCCTATACCTTTGCCGAAGAAGAGGCCAAGAGGGATCTCTCGATCGATCAAGAGCTCACCCATCAATTATCCGATATCCATCACCTCTTCCAATCCCAACCACCTCATTCATTCTGCAACCTCGCCCAGCTCGAACTCGTCCAAAACTCCCTACAATCCTTTGCCGGCTCACTACGTCAACTGAAAGAATTAGATGAACTAATGGTCAACTCCAATCAATCATCATCAATCGATTACTTTATGGTCTTCCGTAAACTGATATCTGACTATCATCAACATCAATCAGAACAAGATCAGCTTGGGAAAACAGACGAGCCCATCCCACCGATCAGAGTCCCTCCATCTGGAATCCCCCTTACCTCAGTCAATCAACTTAAACTGGATCTCGTCTATCATTACAATGCAACCGATTTGTTAAAAGATGCGATCAAAACGAAATCTAGCCATGGATTAGCGATCTCTGTAGCTTTGACACCTACCACTACTCATGCCTCAACACATCCTGACTCACTCCAACCTCCTCCTGCTCCCTTGACGACGACGACAGCAACAACGACTTCATCAACAGGTCAAGCTGGGACGAAAGGACTCTTCACGGCTCATTTTTATCCGCCTTTGGCCGTCGGTCGCGTTACTGCTGCTGCCCTAGCTCAAGTCTCCGCCATCGATTTACCTCCTCCCTCTTCTCCTCCTCCTCCTCCTCCTACTACTACTCATAGCCATCATCATGATCACGGAGGCTTCAGTGATCATGCGACAACATCTGAAGACATCTATTTGGAAGACTTGTTGGTCTATCAATCGATGTCATCTCTCAATCCTCATCCGAACAAAACTGATTGGGATATCAAAGCATCGAATTGGAAAACCAAGCAATTCGGAAAAGTTTAGTTGTTCTTTCTTTCTTTATCCTCTTTTTATACGTGTCTCAGAGAGACTCGCGGAATATTGAAGGGTTTTCAGGATTTTGTTTGTGCGTGTTTGTTTGTGTGTACACGGATATTGTATCTTTGTAGGCATTTGATCGTGGACTTTCTCAAGTTTATTGTTTCCTTGATCCAGAGGATGATGGTTATTCTGGGGACCCCAATTCTCGTCTAGGGTTCCTGATCACTCAAGTCAGATTTGATAACCTCGATTCATTATTGAAAATCATTAAGGTTGGTCTTTCCTCTTTGATCTTTATTTGAATGGGGTTCCGACTGACTTTGTTTTTTTATATTTTGATTCTGTCAACATCTCAGATTTGTCAACGTCAAGCCATCTTTAACGAATTATTCAATTCTTGCTTCAATTCGGATTGTTATCTCCCAAAGCAACAAACCCGAAGGCTCCCTAATCTTCTGGGTCAGACCGGTCTCAATGGGAATGCGCTTTCTTCTGATCAACAGAGAAACAACACTTATCAGGAAGGAGAGGGAGAGGAAGAGTTGGATCCTTTCAAAGGATTCCAGTCATCTGATTATTTGGCAACCCTGCAGAATCAACCTTGTGACTGGTCCGGTTTTTCAAACTCGAGTCGATTGTTTAAATGTCTGTCATTCAATCTTATATTTGGTCTACATCTATAAAACATCGGCATCAATTTCCTGACATGAATTGTTCTACTTTTGTATTCCTCATAAATGATCGTGCAATTGGTCTGACTCTCAAGATCAAGATGGCCAAGAAGAAATCTCGATCGATGTGATTCTGAACCATGCGACTCACTCGATAACCCTTCAATTCATACCCTCACGACCGCACCATCTTACGCAGGGACAAAGTCTATCCTCATCAACATCATCACCCACAAAGCCCAAGCTCAATGTCAGCAATCCCGACGCTATTGTAGAGGACGGCGGAGAAGAAAACGAAGATGATGATGATGAGTTTCGATTGATAAGCTTGACGTTCTCTGTCACTGAGTCGGGCTCGATCCGTCTCCTCAACCACTCCCTCTTCGACCAACTTACTCCCAACACTGATATCATCATGTCCAGTGATACTCCTGACCTCCTCCCGCATGGCGGTGGGCCGATACAGGAATCATCTTCGCTCAAGATCGCCGTCTTGGAAGACTCTCTCGATCGGGTTCGATGTCTTCCTGTGCTCTTGAACACTTTCTTTCTTCATCATGATCTTCCGTCCTTTCCTGTCTTCGTTCCTTAATCGACACTCCCCTCCACTCCACTCCACCCCCTCATTTCTCTTCTTCGTCTCGTTTGGAGACTTGCTTTTCTCGAGAAAAAAGAAAACAAAACGTCGCTGTGATTGTTGCTTGTGTGATCTTGAGAGAGAGGGAGAGATCGCTTGATGCTCGTATCTCTCGAAAAGTAGATATCATCCGGACACAGCTTCTGCTTACATTTCTGATAATAGTCGACTTTTGAACTGTCTTAAAGCTCCCCTACCCTTGCCACTTGTTGCGAAACCTATAGTATCAGAAAGTAAAAAAGCAAGCCGCTCATATAGGAATGTGGATCAAAATCCTCTGGATATAATCAACACAAATCTGTAGAAGATGTTATTCATAGACTAGCATGTATCAATCAGTGTCACTGTCAGTGACCCAGTTGATGGGACTAGCAGGCTATTGCAACTTTGATGTCTTTTGTGACTATGAAAGGAATATGTGTACCTATGTTTGTTGGAGTTTTGGGGGTGATAGAAAGAAAGTCTGTGGCATGGGGCAGTGGGGCAGGCCTAGAGACAGCACTTTACGGTGGACCTAGTCATCATTCTCAAGGCGCCTGCAGCTGCGAACGCAACCGAACTCCTCCCCAAACCAGCCAAGCATGTGCCGGCACTCATTGCAAGAGTATGTAAATAGCTTGAAACCAGGGGGGTCGGCCCCCAGAGACAGAAGACTCGGCACTACTGACCAGACAAGCAAGACATCCGTGAGCTTTCAACGGACCTCAAAGAGAATCCAATGATCAGAACTCTCCATATATACATATAAGGACCCAGTTGACCCAGTTGAGCCCTGGGTAAACACACTTGTGTCAATCTGAACACAAATACAATTTTGCTACATGAAAGAATTGGCTTCTTTGCTGAAGAATGGTATGTTTACCACAATTGAAAACCTTTTAAGTTTTCTGATCTCAATTGTCTCCATTTTCCAATAATTTTTTTCCCCACTGATTCTTGGCATTCTAGCTGTTTTATGATATGCCATCCTTTTCTGATTTTTTTTTTCTCAAATTTTCCAAGATTTACTACCATTGTCATGTTAAGGATGATGGTGGAAAAAAAAAACCCCAAATTTTCCTTTAAAATTGCTACCAAATTTTCATTTTTCATCCGTATCTTTTTTTGGGAGAAAAAATGGTTTTGTTACGTTTTTCATGTGTGTGTGTGTGTCTGACAGGGGCTCTCCGGGGTCCCCTCACCATCCTCATATCGGCCCTGACAATCCGCCGCGGGACTCACGAGCTTGGGTTTCAAAACCCAGTTGCAGTCATTCTGCAGCAAACCGAAACACATGGCCATGGATGCCAAAAAACCTCATTATTGAAATGAAATGGGCCACCTGAAGGTACCCAGAGCTCGCCAATTGTGGAATGTTCTTTTACCGGAAAGCCACCAGACCAAATCTATCGAACCAAATTAAAAATAAACATCCGATCCGAATTATTAGCTAAATCATGTGTCCCTTTGTAACGTTAAGATCAAGGCACCAGATGAATCTAAACGCTTCTTCATTCTGTGGAAGAGAAGAAGGAGAAAAACGCAGTGTTGTTGGCATCTAGCCGGATGTCCAAAACTTATAACATGGTCTCTTTTTGATACGAAATGAGCCTGATCAAAATTTGCCCGTCATCCCTCCAAAATCGTAAGCCCTCAAATAGCTCTTTTTTCGCCTTTACCATCACGGCTCTTTAGTCAAGTTGGTCAATCATTACCTCTATCAAACCGCCTCCAAAACTATCATCATCATCACCATCAAAGGTCATCAGTTCCAATCCTCCCTTGTTTACCAGCACAATCTAGTCAATATCTGTTCGCAATGCGTCTCACCGCCCCCATGATCTTGACGACGTTTGCAATCTTGTTGGAGGCAGTCTTATCGATGGATGGAGTTATCCCGACTGAAACAGCCTCGACGGCAGATGAGGACCTCATCTGGCGCGCCTTGGATGTACCCACTCCCCCCAACCCGGAAGAAGAGCCGTGGCACCGAGAGGACTGCAAGTCCCATCGAGTCAGGTGGAACGCGGCGCACCAGTTCTGCTATGGCTGCCAAACCTTAATTGCTGACCCTCAGAGCGGTTACCTAGCTTGTCACACTTGCCGCATGATAAAACCTGGATCGACGAGGCAGATCAACATCTGCACAAAAGCCAGTTGCCTGACTTCACCACTTCCAACTTCAAGCGCGTGATAGCTCAGCATGCTCCAGGCTGCATTCCAAGAGTAATGTTCATCATGACACCTGGCAACTGTGAACTGTGTAACCAAGAAATAGCTGATAAATACTCTCATTGGGGTTGTCAGACAGAAGGCTGTACATATCATCTACCTGAATCATATGAAAAAGTCAAATACTGTCACAGCTGCCGTGTTGGAAATACTGGTCAGAATTAATAAATACAAAAAAATAGGATGAAGATCAAACTAGTCACAAGTAATTCACAAAGAAAAATCAAAAAAGAGAGAGAAAAGAGTAAAAAAAGATACAAAAAAAATATAAAAAGGGGGGTAAAAAATATAAATGAAGGTTTCTTTCCCACAAAAAAAAAAAAAAAAAAAAAAAAAAAAAAAAAAACAGAAAATAAGGAAATAAATAGGGGGTTGGAAAAACAACTCCCAAAAATTCGCCAATGACTCCCATTTTGGTTGAGGGGTCGTTGGGCGGGAGTCGTTCTTCCAAACTGATGGCCAACTTTGGGAGTCGGCCATCAAATTATTTTTTAATATTTTTTTATTTTTATTTTTAGGGAGTTGGCGCCCCAAGCCACCCCTCATGCTTGAGGGGGTTTGGGAGTCGTCGCTCCCATGACCAGACGGATTTCCTTCCGGTCAATGAGAAACAAAAATCTCAAGGGATTCCTTCCGGTCAATGAGGTATAACATCCTCATCGACGGAGGGAATCCCTTCCAATTGATGAAGTATAACAACCTCATTGACCGGCAGGAATCCCTTCCGATTGATGAGGTTGTTACATCTAATTGACCAGAAGGAATCCCTTCCAATTGATGAGGTTGTTACATCTCATTGACTGGAAGGAATCCCTTCCGATAGATGAGGTATAACAACCTCATCAGCCGGAAAGGATTCCTTCCGATCATGGGAGAGACGACTCCCAAACCCCCTCAAGCATGAGGGGTTGTTTGGGGTGCCAACTCCCTAAGAATAAAAAAATTATAATTTGATGGCCGACTCCCAAAGTTGGCCATCAGTTTGGAAGAAGAGTTTGGAAGAAGACTCCCGCCCAACGACCCCTCAACCAAAATGGGAGTCGTCGGCAAATTTTTGGGAGTCGTTTTTCCAACCCCCAATAAACAACAATAGACCCTTTGTAGGGCTAGAACCACCCAACAACCCCTCAACCAAAATGGGAGTTGTCGGCAAATTTTTGGGAGTCATTTTTCCAACCCCCAATAAATAATAGACCCTTGGTAGGGCTAAAATAGAAAAGCTGCAAGAATGGCCATTTGCCATGCTATTTTTTGACTTGGAATTTGGAGCACAGAGATGGGCAATGAGACAGTTTTGAAAAATGTGAAATAATAATACAATGAAGGTGAAGTCATCAGACTTGAAAACAATAAAAGAATTGCAAAGGACCGCATTGTCAAGGAGTATTTCTCCCGGAACAGGGAACCGTTTACCAGGCCTTCAAGAGAGTTTCATCTTGGCAATCCCGTACATGGATCTGGAAGGCAAACCAATGGACTTAAATCTGTGCTTCCTGGTGAAACTGTGGAAAATTAGTTCCAAAGAAGGATTCTGAAAAGTTGGATAGAAAAAAGTTTTGTAAAAACTTTGTATATTTTTTCTCATTTTTTTGGTATTTTCAATTGTTTTTCAAAGGAGCTCAAAAAATCAAAATCAACACAATTGAATGTGAAAAGAATGATTATAAATGAACAATTAATAATGATCCTAAGTTTAGAGAGCAGAATAAACTGGACTGAGATTGGAATTGAATTTGATTTCAGTGCCTGATTGCAATATGCCACATTCCAAACCTGCTTAAAAACAGCTGCTGAATGGTTTTCTTCAATTTTTCATTTATATTTCTTGAGATACTTTGAAAAATGATTGTAAAATACCAAAAATGAGTCACAAAAATGAGGGAAAATATACAACATTTTTACAAACCTTTCTTTTATTCAACTTTTAAGAATCATTCTTTGGAACTCATGTTCCACAGTTTCACCAGGAAGGAGAAATTTCTGCTTCCATTGGTCTGCCCTCTAGACTCCTAATTGAAGGGTTCCATTCTTTCTGTCAAGGGGCTTTACATGGCCTGTAACAAACAATGCCAGCAAGGTGTGGTGAAATGACCTTCACCAATAACACAATTTGACAAACAACCCCCATTTGAGAGGCTGGCCAATCCAGGATGTTGTCCCAGGCTTTTGATAAAAACACTACCCCCCCCCCACCTCCCTTCCCCTCCAATAGGGGTGTGTAATAAAACCTGCCCCTTTTTTGGGTGGTTTTAGGTGCACGCCCTTTCTCAGGCAGCACCTGCCTAAAAATGGCTCTGCAGTCCCATCTGCCACAAAAAAGAGACAGGTTGGCCTTCAAACCAAAAGAAACTGGCCTCAAAGGCCATGTGGTTTCCTGTGGTCCATCAAGACTTGTACAGTATGAAGGCTTGGAGATGGTTGATGATGATGTAAGTCTTGATAGCTGATAGCAACAATGTAAGGGATGTGATGTGTGCATTGGCATTGCATCACATTGAGCGTTAATTGCATCACATCGGAGTGAGCAATGTGGGGCCCCGCATTGGAACAACCAATGCGGAGAATCGGCATCACATTGATTTCCCAATATTTTGCTTGCGATGCTGGTGTTATCGGCAGGGATCGCCTTAACCTCCCTCAGCAACCCCTCCTGAGGCCGTGAGGCAGGGACTCAGTGACAGCAGGGGTTGCTGAGTCACTCCGCCTGTCCTGAGTTGACTCTGAGGGCGAGTCAAGTCTGAGTGACTGCCACTGCCAGCCTCAATCTTGACTCAACTCCGAGTCTTTGAATGGAATCCAATATCAATCGGACAAAACGGCTTGTCAGCCTGACTCCCCTGAAAGCTCCCAATCAATTTCAATCCCGTCGGACCACCGGGAACTTGAATCTTCAACTACATCATTATTTGCTGGTATTGATTGAAGCAAAAACTTGTTGGTCATCGCTATCAAGCAAGAACTCGTTAGCTGGAACTCTCCCTTCACCGCTCCATTTTTGGAGGCCGTACCGATCAATCCAAACTTGTCCAAACACCCCACTGGCCCTTTAATCACATAATCACTACCCCCCCCCAAACTGTTCAACCTATCACCACACTACCATCAACAGCCTCCACCAGCTGCCCCCACCACACCCACTCTGCTTCAGATTAACCTATCACAACAATACCATCACCAGCCTCCATCAGCTACCCCCCCCCCCAACTCTGCTTCAGATTCAAAACCTCTCACAACCATCACAGCTCAGCCTCCACCACTCACAAGCTCAGCTCCACCACAAAACCATCACTCAAACTTATGGCCATTTTTCATTGAGTTTCCATTTTTTTACCTGTTTCCCTTTTTTCCAATCCATTTTCTTTTTTAATGAAGATGGCCATTTTTCATTGAGTTTCCATTTTTTTGACTTGTTTCCTTTTTTCAATTTAGATGCTCATTTTCTCTTGATTTTTCATTCTTTGTTTTTTTAATTATTTCCATCCTGTTTTTTTTAATACATATGCTCTTTTGACCTGATGCATCCAATACGGGCAATAAATGCATGCATCACTTAACCAATGCAATTCATTGGTATCGTTTAATGCATTGATAAAACAATGTGATATTAATATGAGGCAATTTATTGCATTGTGTTGAACTTAAGACCGAAGCGGAGTGAACTTTTTGGAATTTTTTGTGGGAAGAAGAAAAAACAGTGAGGTTGTTTTATTTTTCACTGGACCGGCTCAGGTTGGCAAAAAAAGAAGGCAAAGAACCGATGGTTTGATTCACATGTAGCTAGCATCATATAAGTAGTCTATGTACATGTGGTCAAACTGTGGGCAAGATTTAAAATGAATATGCAAAAAATAACCAAGGGCTCATGAGTATATCACACAAAAAGATAAGACAAGCTAGAGAGTTGATAAGTCAGGGATGTCAGGGTTCAATGACTACAAGACATTTGATCAGACATACATAACTAAGCATTGTACAGACTATGATGAGTGAAGAAACAAAGAGTAGAAATGATAATAATGATATGGGAATTTGGGGTGAGTAAGAGGAAAAAGATGAAATTTCAACACATTGTATCACATTGTTTCACCGTTGCTGATAGGAAACCTCAAAACCGTTGGATTCAAAATGGTCAGGGGGTTTCTTCCCGGCTGAGAAGGGTTACAGTCTTGGCCAATGGACGGGAGGAATTCTCTGGCCTTCAATATTATACCCTCAAAGCTTGGGAGGTTTCCTCCTGCCTGTGAAGACTGTACAGTCCCCATGGCCATTGGAAAGCTGATGCAGGCAAGAAACTTCAGAGTGTGGCTTGGTTTTTTAATGCTCTTAATGTCAAAAACAATTTTATTTTGCTAAATTTAACTTGGGTGGGACTAAGATTGTGTGTTCCAATGTATAAAGGTTTGAGATTGGGAAGTACTTGAAACAGGTCAGATTTTGGAAAAAAGAAAGTGAAGATGGATCTGGACTGCCTTGAGTCTACCTTGAAGAATGAGAGCATTTTCTGGAGAAATTCATTGTGAAATACCCCAAACCATGTCAAAAATGTGGCCTCTTGTTTGAGGGGAAATGTCCCAAAGTCTTCAAAGCCCATCAGTTGCTTGGGGGTTTGTTTTTGGTGTGATTATTAGTGTTCATTTTTTCAATCCTCTTATTACAATTGATGTTGTTGATATATTATGACTTCTTAATGGCTTTTGACAGGCAATTGGCTTTGAGACAGGAGCTCTCATGGAATCAGACTCTTTGGCAAGATTTCTTTGGTTAGTTTTCATAGAATCAATTGACTACAATTAGTAGGAAGTGGTCACTATTCAAGCAAGGTTGGCCACTTTTCTGTGGTGTTTCAAACACTCCCAATTCTAATTATTTGGTACATTTTATTGTTTAATTCCCTTCCTTTGGACAGCTTAGGAAAATCTGAGGCTGAGGAAAATTTCAGTATAGGACTAGGAGGGAAAAACTAAATGTGAAGTTTGAAAATTTACATCTTCTCAGATGCATGCACTTTTTTGCTTTAGTTGATTTCAAACAGATTTTCACAGGGTATTTTTCAAGTTCAATTAATATCTCATCTTTTAATTTAAATTATGAACTTGATATAAAAACTATGAATTCATAATCCCGCAATATCAATGTGTTGCATCAACTTTATATTGGTGGATAGGGGGACTTGTAATTAGATCTACTTGTAATACAAGCTTTGGAATGAAGTAGGTACCAGGAACAGTACAAAGTGCAACTGAATTTTGAAACCAGTTTCACAGAGTAATTTTTGAGCACAGATGAATTGTCTTAGTTCAAACTATTTTTCAACTGAATCTCAAGTGAAAGAAACACTTAGAATACAGCTTTTGAAGGATAATCAGGACAAGCCCCCATCAAAATGTTTACAGCCGCACCATATGAAAAAAACAGTGTTTGGAGTTTTGTTTCATATTGTGAAATGTGTACAATTTTTTCAGGTTTGGTCATTATATTCAAGACTGTAATGAGTGCAATATCCTTTAAAAAATATGAAGCACTAATACAAGAAAAACCTCCTTCTGCATACAAGATGTGAAAATGTGTTAGATTATAAGTAGCCCTGTTTTTCTCCAGTTTAACTCCTCTAGCAAATGCAGTCTCCCCCATTGTTTATTTCCTTGTTTTCAAAGAGCTCTACCATTCTAATTAGTTCTTCACAACCATCATCTTCATCATCTTCCTCAACTTCCATCAGAAACAACCGATCCAGGATTTTAATAGCAATGCTCTTAACAAAAATATTAGTTTCCTTACAGATCTTATGTTACTATAATGCTTCATCAAGTATAATTCCACAATCATTCAAATCTTTGGTCAGGAGATCAGGAGGAAACTTGGAGGAAATTGTCCACACAAATTTTCAAGAAACAAAAGCAGCAGATGATTCAGCTTGTAGGTTTTTTTTGTTTCATGTGGAATTTGATTTGAATGATACATGAGTATGAGGGAAACTCTCATTCTCAACTGAATCTTCATAGTTCATATTTTTCATTTCACTAATTTTGCTTGATTGTTATACAGTGTCATCCAGCTCTAGAAAAATAGATGAAATCAATGAATCACACAATGTTGATGGTGTGAATGGTGTGTATCATTCTATTTTGATCATTTTTCTGACAATCAAAACCAATTTACACATACTCATTAGCATTGCATCTAAACCTTTTTTCAATCAAGGAGATATGGTCCCTGAGCAAATGATGAGATCATATGATGATTCCAATCATGGTACTTCAGGCATTTCTAAGACAACTGAAAATCTAAAAGACTTGAAAGACAGGGCTCAACAGATAAACAGAAATCTTAATGAATACGGCTCAAATTCGATTCAAAAAGATATAGAAGAATTCAACAAATTGACAAGAAACTTGAAGGAAAATGATAGCTACTTGGAAGAAATTCTGGAGAAATATTATCATGTTTTGCCCACTCAAGATTCAAAATTAAGCAAAGAATATTATGATAAACAGAACAAAAGTTTTGTGCATTCCTTGACTGAATTACAAAAGAGAATGTGCTGGGAATTCATAGAGGAGATAAAAAATATTCCAGAAAACCAAATTTTAAAGCATGATTATGAATTGAAAAACATGTATCATGGAAAATGGAAAAATTTCATGGATAATCTGGATGATCAACAAAAGACAGGATTTTCATTTTTACTTCAGGCAGATACACGTACAGTGACCATTCATAATCTGGTTCAAAATGTATTGAAGAACCTCATCACAACTTTACACAATTCTCCACAAGTGGATGTTCAAGATTTGCTTGAAACTATGGAATATCTTGATTTTCTTATAAAGAGTTCAAAGATCAATAAGAATCTGAGCTGGCAGCAAGAGTTGGAAAATCTCCAATCAATCCAAAAATTGATCAATAAATCAGCCCCTCAAATTTCAAAATAGATTCAAATCAAAAACACTTTCCTTCTTTTCTGATTTTTCTTTTCTTTTCTTAGATATATTGGGAATTAACTGCTTTTATCTATTCTAAATATGACAATCTTTTTTTCCAACTGAATCTTTCAAATCAAATCCACTGAGAGAGCCTCCTTGTCTCTGTCATCATGATTCTTGTTTCTGATTGTTTTCCTATTTCTGATTGTTTTCCTATTTCTTCTGCTATGGTTCATATTTCTAAATCAATCCAAAGTCTCAAGAGTGAAATCAAATCTATTCGCACAGGAGCTGTTTCAACAATCCCAAAATCATTCTACTTGAAGTGTGTGATGTGGTGACAAGAGAGAAATTGCCATATCTTTGCGTGAATATCAATAATTGGATTTCAAGTATGAGATTAAAATGTTGGATAATTTACTCACAGTATTCACCAGTATCATTTCTTGAATATGTGACAGTTTTTATACCAAGATATCAACATGATAGGAATTTATAGATTCCCCAATTAGAGTCTCCAAAAAAAACCATGAAATTTTGAATTTTAAATCCATAAATATAGTAATTCAATGAATCAAAATCTTAGACCCAGAGACTGGAGCCATCAATTAAGAAGGGCTTTCCCCTTGTCAAAAACCATGAATTTGGGTTGCTGCTGTGTTAATACAACTGTGGAGATGCTCTTGCAATTGCCAAATTTAGTGGAAATCAGGCTGAAACAGTCCAAAATGAATGTTCAGGTTTGTTAACCCCAAATTAGTCCAGTCTCAGAGCCAATGCAATTGTTCCATGGGCCAAGTTGCCAAAGTTTAACAAACCAATCTGATCAAGAATGTGAATGCTCTTAGGTCTCCTCTGTGGCTCTCCGACCTACAAGACATGTTGGTCAGACACAGCTGACTAACAGATGTTTTACCATCATCAGCTTGGTGGACTCTGCTGACACAGGCCACAGACCTTGAAGTCGACCTATGGACATAGGCAACTTTGAGTTGAACCTTACAACCAGATTTCATGGACCTGCATGACTGACTCAGTGAGTATAGCCTGAAAAAACTTGGAAGAACTGCTCCAGCTATGTACATACTACACATGTCAGCTTGAGAAACAGACCAACCAAAAAATACATGAGACCCCATCAAATCAATCTTTCACATCCTGGCCACACCAACAAGGAAAATCCTGATGTTCATTTTCAAAAAAAGAAAAAGTAGATAATTAACAGTACCACATGAATGCCACAAAAAAAAATAAACCAAAAAAGGTTGAAGATCTAGTACAATGTTTAACTTTGGAAAAAAACAAGAGAAAATGATATACATTGAGAGGGGAAGGGTTTCTATTTGCGAACAAAATGGCCAGTAGCTCCTTGAAACAATGAGTGCCACATAAACGCTTGACTTAGTAGGAACTCTAGATCTTTTTCTGTGAGTTGATCGGTTGGTAAAGCTTGTAAAAAAATTATTATCGACTAGAACATGCAATTCAGGAGTAATTTTTTTCATGTGATATTGCGAGAAAAACAGGATTTTGGTTTATGGAATAAAAATAGATTTATTGATGTCAGTTAAAATCCATTCATTATATTCATTTTTTGTGTGTGTGTTATTTTTTTCCTTTTCATTGAAAGTATGATTTGTACAAGAAAAGAAGAAGAAAAAAAAAACTAAACCTGAAAGTCCATTTCTCGTAGTTGATCACTATATCTGACCAAGAAAGCCAAACAAACATACAAATGAAATTCGGAAAAAGCAGCAGTACCCTCAGCCTGAAATATACAAAAAAAAAAGAAAGCAAACCAAAAAAAGTAATCAATGAGGTCATTCAGATTTAAAGTTTGGGGTCATCTGAATGTTAAAAAGACAAACCAAATAAGTGTCCCACATCCTGATGATCTTCTTAGTACTTAACTCTCTCATCAACAAACAATTAATCCAACGGAATGCGAATTGAATGAATTCCACTTTCTCGTCCTCCAAATGACGATGTAATCGAGCTGTATACATACACAAAATGTGTTAACAAGATTAAGAATAATGATCGAGGAGATTATTCGCAAGGAGGGGAAGTTAACAGACCATCGACGCGTTCACAGAGTTCTTTCATTCGAGCCACCTGACGTTGAATGCCGGGTTGAGCGAAGATGTAGTTATCCTGAATGCCTTCGAGCAGTTTAGAGAGCGACCAAAACGAGTCGGCCTCGATCGCTTCCAGGGCTTCCGCTGGCAACCGGCCCACATCAAACGATTCCGCCTCCTCCCCATCGATGTATGCCGTCAGAAAGACTTGGAAGAATGGCGTGACTAGGTCGTTGATCCCTTGTACGTATCCACTCGCTGGATGTCGGATCGCCCATACATAGAGAATTCGCTCTAAACTCTACAAAGATTTTCCCATCATCATTTGTGTAATTTTCCGACATGCCAAACACAGTAACAGGTAATAACGTCAATTTTTCCGGTGATTTTTTGGTTGATTGAGAAATCAGATTGTTGATTGGTGTAGATCAAATTATATTTAGGTATATTTATCCAATTAAATCGACTTTGGAGTTGGATGGGAAGTTATATATGTAAATGTTCGAGGGGAAGCAAAGGCAAGACAATGATCTAAATCACATCGAGAGAAGGGGGTAATAGAATGAAGAATATAGAAGAACAAGAGGAGGGGGAAAAGGAAAGAAGAGAACGGACCCTTTGAGTAGCATGGAACTGCCAGAGTGGTACACCAGGATTAGTCCTAGCAACGTCGATTTGGATTTGATGCCAGATAGTCTGATCGAGTTTCTGAGTCCCGGAGGCGAAAGCGAGCCTTAGAGCGTCGAGATATTCCCTGCGTTTCCTCGCAAGGACTTCGAGTCTTCTGGACTGAGGAGCGGGGAGATAGCCGAGCAGGATCATCCAGACGAGAGCCCGAAGTCTGGGCGGGATTCCAGCCCAGGCCAGCTTCCGAAGGCCGCCCACATCGACCGTGGGCGATTCGAGACAATCTACAAACTTCTGTTCCCTCTTCAAGGCTTCACTCGATGGGCCTGGTTGATTGGGTGTTTCCGGTAGCAGCGTGTATGGGCCTGGGCCACTCCCCGTCGGCGGCGTCGGACTCGGACTCCTCGATCCTGCCGCTTTCTTCGTCATCAGCTCTGCCGGAATCACCGCCTCCCATGGTAACGATCCCCGTCCCCTCCTCGATGGCGTGTCCAGCGGTGAACTCTGTTCCTGTTGCTCATATTCCGTCTTCAGTCGACTCAGGATATAGGCTGGATCTGTAATATCGAGCCCCAAGAAATCCACCAAGAAAAAAAAAATCAGAAATCAGAAATCAGAACCTTGGATGAATATGAGAGAATCTTTACCTTTGATCAGACTGAAGATATCCTTTGTGAATGTTGAGTGAGTACTGCTAGTTGATGCTGAAGGGGATCCGATTGTATCAGACTGATCGAGAGGATTTGATTGAATGGTTGGTGGTGGTGGTGGTGGTGGTGGTGTTGATTGATGAGCTTGGTGAGATGGATTGTTTTCCAGACTGAGTTTTCTTGTTCTGATTATCGGTTGAGTAGTAGTTGTTTTTGATTCTTCCTGATCGCTGTGATCGTCCCATGCTTGATCGGTGTCTTCTATTAGTTCTCGTTCTCGTTGTTTCTCTTCCAGTTGGTTTTTCTTCTTGCTGTTGTGAGTCGTGCTCCTGGATGATGATCCTGGTGGTGTTGTTGTGATCATGGTGTGTGATGGTTGTTGGTTGTTGTTTTTTTTTTTTGAGATTGTTGTGTTGGAGAAGTTCTTTTTTGTTTTTTTTGGTCAACTGAAACTCAAACTCAAACTCAACTCAACTTTTTCTGGGAGGGTGGGCAGCTGGGCTCAAACCACTCTGAGGCAGTTTTGCCATTCTCTATCAACACATATCAATTAGCAATCAAACACTCACTTAATCAACACAAAAATGTTAAAATTCTTCTCAATGGGATTCAACACTCAAATTATTGACCATGAACCTGATGGCTGTTTCTTGAAAATCAGGCATCAAACCATGTCACATTTCTGCAAAGGAATTGTCATCGGGAACAAACTGGTATAAGCCTATTTTGGTTGATTGAAATCCTTCCTGTTGGAGTTTTAACTCATCTCCAGGCAATACCCTTTACTTCTCAATTGTCTCTAGTTCACTGTTTTTACCAGGAACCAAGATTGATTGGACTGGTTTATGTCCATATAATAAGTAGCCTGTTTTTTGTCAACTTAGCACAGATTTCATGTATCGTGAGTCATCACTCACCAACTTTCTGACCATGCTTGTAAGTTGCAGGTGCTTAATACAAGCAAATTGTCCATCATCAGCTGTTTATTCATTTTTGGCCATCTGTGCTTCTCTAATGAGATCTCCTCATTCACTTCCTTCTCAGAGCCTTCTCACTTTGAAGGGTCTTGGCTGATAATTTCAACACTTCCAAAGATTGATCTGCCTCTTTTATTTTAAGACTTGTCAAAGGTTGTTGTATAGGTTTTTTTTTCTGGATTAAGTTTTCTGTCATAAGAGCATCTGATTCTCATTCAGCATCATGGGGCTCAAGTCAATGAATCATATCAGTGCTCTCCTTAGAATTAATTGAATTAACCAAAAAGGTGTCGGCAGCTCCCTGTTCTAGGAATTCAACATGCTGCCTGTGGGCCATTGGAGAAAGGCCTGCAGGCACTTGTTCTAGGTAGGAGCTCAACAAACACAACCTGAGAGGTTTTTGAGGCTAGTGATGCTGAATGTTTGAGAAAATGACTGGTGACATACATGAGAAGTAACTACATATATTATCATGAAAGATTAACTAGGTCAGATCAGACTGGACTGCGGCACCAAATAGTAAGACTGTGTAGAGACAGGTTATGAAAATGCTTAAAGCAGGGACAGGTGCAGTGAAGTATACAACTTCAATGATTTAGCCCCTGGAACTACTGAGTAGTGGTTTTTCTCCTCTGGGCAACATTGCTCAAATGAGTCATCAAATTCGTTGTCTTGTTTGATACCAAAAACAAGAAGGTCACACAAAATGTGGGTGACCCACCCAAAGGATCAGGTCGCTTACTTTTGATTTTCTGAACCAGCTCTCTGGGAGGATTTGTCAAAGTGAATGGATTGTGCAAATGGTTTCATGATAGTGTGCTGGGTGATCAGTTTATTTGCATTATGAAATTGAGGATCACAAGGAAAAAAAAAAAGTTTCGGTGGTATCATGATGGGGTGGAAGTGAATTTGATTGTACGAGCAGTCAGTAGAATTGAGAAATACAACTGAATTCTTGGGGTCTGTTCACAAGCTCATTTGACATCAGTGCACTTGCTCAATACTCATCTGATCGGAGTCCTGCACAGAGGGCATCTGGCCATGTTGTAAACCCAACGCTGGAGGAAAGTGAAAGCAACAGAGAGGAGAGAAGCAACCGTGAGTGAAGGAGTCAAATCGGACGCGGGGAGAGAAGAGAAAGATGGGACTTACCGAAAGACAGCTCCGGTGGAAGTGATGAGGCTGATCGCATGGCAGGACGACGAGCTGAGGGTCTGCAGGGTTATTTTTTAAACAGAGTCCACAACGGGCGGGCCCGTTGGGGAGGTCAGAAGAGGTCAAAAGAGTACGCGTGAGTGGATGGTCAGGGCGACTCAGTGAGTACGATATACGCAGCCGATGGCGTCTAGCAGCAGCTCGCCGGACGAAATTATCAACGACTCGCATGTACTCCCACATGAAGGACTGCACCCAAGACGGGAAGAAGTTTAGGATATCAACCACGGGATGGTCCGAGGGGATGAGAGCCAATTGGCGACATAACTGGGGGATACGGAATGGAGAGTGAATGTCGAACGGGTTGCAGAGAGTGGCTCGCAACTCGACAAGAAAGTCCCGGAGGACTTGCTGTTGCTGAGCTTGGAGCTGCCCGAGGATGGCGACGATTATTCTAAATTCTTCAAAGTTGGGGACGGGGAAGGACCTGAGGATGCTGATGACTGGTCTGAAGAGGTCGCTGTAGTCCAGGGCTTCAGGGATATCTTCAGCCGTATCTTCGGCAGCCCCCTCGGTCATTTCTACATCCTCCACGGCTTCGTCAATCTGCATTCCTTCGACGCCTTCGTCGGATTGGTTGGCTTCAGGGATGGCGGCCTCTGCGGCCCGCTCAGCGGGGCTCTGCAGGACCTGCTCTTCTCCTTGTATCGTCCCCTCTACGGGGGCTATATCTTGAACAGCGTTAAGGCCACTGGGTCCTCCTTCACCTGGAAGGCTTTCGGACAAGTCGTTTGGATTTGCGTGGTGGTCCATATGTGCGTGGCTTTGTTGGTTTGAAGTTTTGGGTGCTGTTCGATGGGGGAGACGGAAAGATGATCGTGGAAGGCTTTGAGTTGCTCTGGTTGAGGATGAAGAGGAAAACATGGGCAATAGGCCGTCTTTTTATATGGACTCCTTTGCATCTCGATGCTGCTGTCGCTCAGCAGCCCTGAGTGCCGCCATTAAAGAGCTGTTTCCTGCGAGAAATTCTCCAGATAACATGGTGAGCTAAAGGATAGCCATGAGCTGAGGCGACATTTGGATGCGATCGAATTGGACCGGATCGTGCAAAAGCTCGACGAATGCACGTCTTTCAAAAGCGCTGGCCAGTTGCAGGAATAGTAGCACATCCTAGGGATGTTCTCACCCTCCACTGAGTTGCAAAAGCTATCGGAGGGCTGAGCAAGTCGCGAATCGCGTTCCAGGAGCAAAGGACGGTTTCCTCGTGCAGCAATCCATCCTGCGCTAAACCAAATTCCAGGTGGATACGATATCTCTACGAAGCCGTGGCTATGTACCTAGCTCAAAGTCAAGCCAGCTTTCACTACATGCTGAGTCCTGACGCTTCAAATTTTGAAGAGCTGATACGTTTTTTCTTTCAGAATTCCGTTGTAATTGTCTTTTTATCAAACCTGAGTGATACGCAGTTTGCTGATCCACATTGTATATGAATGATAAGCTGCTTTCCATGGCGAGATAGAATTATATGATCACTAGTATGATCATTAGGCAGACCCAGCAAGAAATTCGGGTTGTCAATTGGCTTGATGTGCTCCGTCGAAGGAGGTCGCGCTTGCACGATTTCCGTTCCGTGACTCGCAGCTTGTACGCGGTGTGCCTTTTTTTGGAAAATGCAAAATTTCTGAGGTTTCCCCCATTTGCTCCCACACCTCTGCAAGTCTTTTTGCCCATTCATTTTTGGTCATGCCCAAGGCATGCTTGTTGTGGAGGGGCCTGTCGGTTCAAGATGGTCTCAATCCCTTCGCTCCAACGTGAATGTGTGCCAAATGACCAAAATCATCCAACTCCGGAAGCCCTTCGGAGTTCGGGCTCTCCTCGGAGATAGTTTCGGGTGTTTGAATGAATAGTTGTGGATTATATAAGCCAGTCTTTACCTCCAACTCATTTTCTTCATTCAACCGTCAAGTGGCTTAACTCTGATCCATCATGTTCCGAACCACCAAGCAAGCACATTCGATCATCACCAGATCACAGCAACAAAACATCCTCCACCAACTCAGCAGAAGAACCAGACCGACCACGCTCCTGACCAGACGAGCACTCCATCAAAACTCCCACAAGGATTCCTATGGCTTCAAGCAAGCCATCTCAGACATCAACCTCAAATGGACTGCACCCATCGGACTGGTGATCAGTATCGGACTATGGTTCTACCTCCAAGACCAGATCGAATCTCGTCCATCAACCCATCTCAAGATAGACGAGCCTCTACCACCGATGATCGTCCTCAACCAACCAACAAATCAACACGTGATCGGTAGGCTTCACTGTAGACTCATTCAAGCTTAGCCAAGCACACAGACCAACTGACCAAGCTTGATGTCCTTGGTTTAGATCCCGCCACCCAATTGCAAATCCCTGCCCAACTCAAACCCGAGCACATCAACCTCGAAGAGCCCATGCGCCTCGTCGGCTTGGGCGTAAGGACGGTCTCATTCCTGGCGGTGAAGGTGTACGTGGCCGGCTTTTATGCCGATCCGAGGGTGCTCAGAGCACTCAGAGTCGTCCCTGGTTGGAGTGTTAGTGGTATGGATTCCTCTCCTCTCCATCCCTCTCCTCCGCCCCCTCCTCTTTTTAGCCCCCCCCCCCCCCATATATTCATCTCATCTTATTTTTTTGGATTGGATTGGAACGGGTCTACATCAATAGGATGATTTGACGAAGGAGAAACTCTTATCAAAATCCACTCAAAAACAACCCAATCTCGATCCTAAGGATCAAGAGGAAATCAGAGGCGAGGCTTTGATTCGCAATTTATTGGCTGCACCCGCTAATTTCGCTATCCGAATCGGTCAGTCTTGTTCCTTCGAAAAGGAACTCTCATACTTCAATTTTTGCCTTTATTCTGACTTAAATTTAAATTCCAATCATAAAATAATACGTTGGCATCTACAGCCCCAGTTCGTCCCACAGACTTCACTCGTATGTCATTCCCTTTTTCTTTGGGTACTAAACGCGCACGGGCAACTGATCACCCAATCTTTCCTACAAATTCTTTCCCACTTTCGTCTTTGATTTTTCTCTCTAGATCTTCGAGACGGGTTTTGTCGCTCATTATTAGCTCGAGTCAAGCAAGCTTCTCAGGCCGGAACGATCTCCGAAATAGACCTAGAAGTGTGTCACTGTCCTGTGCTTATGATCTGATTAAGAAAAACAATAAGCGGTTGTTGTGTTTTGAGTTCCCTAATAATGAGGTGTTTTTGTTTTCTGCGCTTCTGACGAAAGAGGGCGTCTCAATCGATCAACACTTTCCGAAGTTTCTTTCCTACCGGAGTCTCAGTACCTAAGGGAAAAGCGCTAACATTAATCAGGACGGCAAGCCAGAGCTTGATAATCGAGTACGATGTAAGCCTCGATCTTATTCGTACCTTTCACTTCCCAGATTGACGACCCGGATCGGATGTTGATTTTCTTTGGGTTTGTCGGGATCGCTTGCTCATCTTATTACAGGGTAAGAAGTTGGGTGAATTGGAGGATCGGATCGTTGCCAGAGAACTCTTCTTGGCTTACTTTGCGGACCAAGATCCGATCAGTATCAAGGTCTGTACTTCAACAATCGAAACTTTTGCTTTGACTTGCCCCTTCATCTCGTGCTCTCACGCTCACTTTAACCCCCTTTGTGATTTGATTTGATTTTTTTCAGCTTAAGGAATCTGTCGCTGAAGGATTCTCGAGTCTTTACCAACCCGAGGCTCGTCTCTAGTCATTAACCCTGAGAAAAAGAAACTAGTCAGAATTTGTTGAGGAGTCAGCCAATTACCAAAATCCAATATTTTCCTTCTACAGATAAGAGTGCAACCAATTATTGTGTGCATAGTTGCTTCTTTATTCATTCAGTTCTTTGATTTGAGTTGCAAAGTAAAAACCAAACTTCAAACCATCCAAAGATCAGATCTCGTAAAAAAACCACAGCAATCTATATATTCACAAAGACTGTTGTAATTTGTCCGTTTTTGTAATCAAGATCAATTGGTTCTGCACTTCAAAGCCGCAGGTAAACTTGAGTGGCAATCTTCCGTATCCTGGCTCTTTGTGATGGTAGGGGTCCTTCTTATTTGATTGATAAGAGTGGTAGAGGATTGTACTGGCAAAGAGGATATCCAAATCCAATGATGGTTACAGGAGAAGGTAATTTAGAGGTGAGTAGTTGTCCGGGGAGATGTGGTTGGTTCATCTTGCTGGCTATCATTGACTACATACTCCCAACATGATCAAGTGAATGTCAGACGATCCCCACATTATCAGCAATGAGCCATTGAACCAGAACAAAAGGGAATTGGTCTGAGAGGGATGGGAAAAGGAGAATTGCCTTTGTCTCTCTTGTTGTGTCAATATCCTCTAGTCAGAGCTCCAAAGGGAATAGGGGACAGTTTTTACTCTCCTTTACTTATCTCTTGTCATCCCATTTTGTCCCACCCAACCCACATACATAGTAGACTGTAACCAATTTTAAGCCAACAGATGTCCAAAACACGGTCGAAGTCCCGTTGGGTGTTGGACAGACTACATAACTAATCATTTGTGTTTTTTTTTTCTGACAAAGTCTTGTTTGTGTATGGAGAATAAAAACCAAAGCCATTCTTGAAATTAATGTGATCTCTTATGTTTAAGATAAACATGACTTCAAGTGGTCATGAGAAATCTATGTAAGCAGAACCCCTATAAAGATGCGAGGCATGAAGTCCATCTCTTTGATGATCAGGCGTGAAAGGAAATTAAGAAACAGTGGAGGACTTCCCGTCGGTCTGGGATCCTAGATTTAGCCTTCCTAAAGCCAGATTCCAAATCTTGTTTGCTGATGAGAAGTCAATGTCACTTGATTCTCTTCACCAAATTGAGTTTGGGATCTAGGATTAGACCTTCCAAATCAAGGGTTCCAGATCGACGGGAAGTCCTCCAGTGGCCTTGTTTTGATGAATGTTTACTTACATAATAAATCTGTGTATGTAGGGTATGTACACTGCCCTGGAGCGGGAGCAACACCGAGGAAGCCTGGGCAGTGGGCGGAGATAATTGGATCAGATCAGGTGACCGAGCCGATTGAAGATCCGGAAGGAAAGAACGGCTGTTTTACTGGCAACGCGATCTTCAATCCGCTCGGATATATAAATAACCCAGAAGATTGTAGATGTTGACCCTCTCGATCAATCACAAACCGACGCATACATTTTGATTTACACACACACACACAACCTCATCAATTTCAGATTCTACACATATCTCATTAAAATCTCCAGCCACTCTTCCGATCCAGTGCCTCCCCCTATCAAGCTTATCGAGCCCGTCCGGTTGGATTAGGATACATATTTGCAATAAGCTCCGGTCATTGGTTAGTGAATGGTAAGTCCCGTGTCGCTTTGGGTTTTGTAAATAAGCAAATCGTTGGAAACGGTTGATTGGCTTTTCTTGATACGCTTCGATCGATCCTCGTCTCGTCTCGTCTCGTTTCCATTCTTCTCTTGAATTCAACATCCAACCTCCCTTCTCTTTGATCTCTGCTCACGTGCAACTACCACGCCCGCTTCATGCTGGAGGTTGTATGCGCAGACGATTAACACGGGCGATCTGAAGTGAAAATACTCGCGCAGACTTTGAGCTGTGGATGATCAACGGTGGGATCGATTTCAATCAGTTCAATTTCAGAACCCAACTCAACCGACCACGCCTGAATCGTCACTGGTTGCCTTCCTTCGCGGAAACAAGTCTTGAGATTTTAGATCTCCTCAACCTTATCGAGCTTTCTTTGTTCTGTTGAGCAACACAAAGATTATTCAAACCTGTCGGTCATCTAAATATGTAGGCCAAAGGGTCTGTGTGGGACTGCTGGTTCAGGTTGGCCATCGATTGCAATATATAGGAATGCGCTGTTCAGTGAGGGTATATCCTCCCATGGGCCTCCTTGAGGATGTCAGTCTCTTGCCAAGCTCTTTACAGAGGAGACAGCCCAGCTTTCGTGATCATGTGCCACCTATATGCTGGCTACTACCGCAAACATGATTCCTGGTGTTAATATCTAGAACTCCGAGCTGCCCAACCGATGATACCCGTCAATAGATATCCAAGCGATCGGATGTAAATAAATAAATACGATGGAACTGATGAACAGAACAGTCAAGGCTTGTACAACAACAACAACCAAACTCACCCACTGGGCATTGCTTCAGAGTTCATACTCAACCCAAGCCCTCCTCTTATCTTGGCGATCATCCCCCTGCAAACAGCCCCGTACGACAGACTTGGGCGTCTCGTCTCATGAACTCTCTGAGCTGCACTTGTCTATGACCATCAGCCTCACAGTGCCCAAGTTCTCAACTCACCTTGGGGGTACATACATACATAGGATTAGCAAAAGATGGATTTTTCCATGACGGCATCTGTTTGGGATCGATTTGAGTCTCAGCCGACTGCGTGTAAGCTGATGTATGTATGCTATACTACGATTCTGATCGTTCTCTTTGATGAAACGAGTCATCTTTTGCTGGATTGCCAAACTGCTTGTCGTTGTGACTTGCCGCTCGGCCTCGATGAACTTTGTCAAGCAAACCTACTCTCTGACTGGTCCCAAGTTATGAATTCTTCCCTCATCTCTTCAACCCTCCGCTGCTATAATTGCCAAGTCTGACTCTAATCAAGCGCCCCACCTTTCATCCTCACGTAACACCTTATAAAACTCCGTTATCCCTATCGATGGAGCTGATACATTATGTATCTATTGAGTTCATTTACATAACCATTAATGAGAATTATTGACATAGCCCAAGCCCCTCTTCTTACCTCTGCCGCTCGGAATAGGGTCATGTTTGATTCGGCCAGATGAGAAAACATGGAGCCAAAACTGCAATCTATTTTATGGCATTCCTTGTATGGCTATGTGATGTTGTACATCATTCCCCCCAGCGTGAAGGCTACTCACAGTTTGGAGGGGAGGGGGACTGGTCACCATTTTGATCGAAATCATCCGATCAACCTCATAAATCAATATCCATCTACTACGGTCATACCTTGTACATATCTCATTGCCGGAAGTCTACGTAACTTCTCAAACCGATTTCATAAATAGCTTGCCTGCTCCCGTCTTTCTTCGCGGATCCCATCTTGACATCCCAACAATTCCCCAATTCAGCCTTCCAGACTCCACGTTGAGCAATCGAATATTGGGCTGTTGATTGTTGCGGATTGGTTGAATCACACTTCCTATTTGACTTGATTGATGTTCTGAAAAGAAAAAACAAAATAAAATAAAAATATATATAATCAACTAACATTTCCCCACTTTTACAATCGTTTGGTCGCGGATCATTCCTTCTGTCCTCCCCCTCATATGCCACACACCAGCAGCACCGCAGAAGATTAATCCTACTATTCCAAAGGCTTCAATCACCCTAACAACACACGCCTTCGAACAGATCCAATACTCAACAGACCCATAGCTCCGATCACCTTCGAGAAGTAATCGTTCACAGACTAGCAGCCCAATCTCGCTACACCGGTTGAATTCATACCGTCTGGAATCCCCTCCTTCAAGAATCAAGTTAAAAAGAATTATTTTAAGAAGAGAAGAAAATCAAACATGGTATGTTGTCCTTCTGCCCTATTCCCAACCTGTCGAGCCCCAAGATAATGATTTTTTGTTTTGACTGCAGTGCTACCCCTCCCATCAGATCGCCCCCCACCCCGTGCCCATCATCTATGCCTCTCCTCCGCTCCATCAGACCCAAGCCGATCAGGCCCACAATCGACACCAACGTCCGGAGCTGCAAAGTTTTCAATCGTCCTCCTGCTCAGGTCAAGAAATTTGAGGCGTCCCATCGATGTTGAGAGCTTCAACTTTAGGGCAAGTCTGGCTTGATCTTGTCATCATCACCCGCTAGTTTCTTGAATAGTCTGAGCAAAAGTCAAGTCAAATAGTAACATCAACTTACTATCTTTTGTCTTCCCGTTTCGAATTTTTAAACGAATTGTTACGGTCGAGAAGATGGGAGAAGTCTAACTGAAGTCATCAACGCGGCTCGCAAGGCATCGCTGGATGAGCAGCCCAAGCGGAGCTCGAAGTCGCCGGCGTCGATCAACGAGACTTACCAGTCATCGAACCCGCATTCGCGCAGGATGTCGTTCGACGACCCGTCGGCGGCCTCCTTGGGCCATTCTGAGCCCAACCATCCGAGACTCTCCTCCGCCGGAAGTCGGGCCGATTACTTCTCCGATCCTCACTACACTTATGGTGGGCTCGTCGATCTCAAATAGGCTTTCATGGCCTTGTCTTGTCCACTTATCTTTATATAATCACACACATATATACATCAGACATATAGAAAACAAGTGTACACTTCTACTTGTTTGTACATATGCAGTTATTTATTCGAGTCCTTGGCTGTCCTTGGACGGTTGAACAAAATATAAATCTATATCTTTTCAAACACATACACCAAGATAATATATATTACTAATCGATATGTATTTCCACCTTTGTTCTGCTTGTGTAAGTTGTGATGTATGTATCTGAGCTGTGATTGGTTGAAAAAGTTTATGTAGAGTGAGGCTTTAGTTATCCTGCAAGGCTCAAGCTTGGGGGTTCGTTCCAATGAGCACGTCTTCTTCTTTGTTCGGCTTCATGGTGGGGTCGTACCACGCTATACAGATTTCAGTTACGTTCCTTAAGTGGAAGAAGTGATGATGGTGGTCCATGACTAGTAGTAGTCTTGATAGTGGGTTATCTATCATGAAGGTTGCGACAACGCTCAGTCACTCAGAATGAGTATAGGAATGCAATATGTCTGTGCTATTGGAGATCTACATAGAGCTCATGAAGTTATTAGCTTCAGGTGAACCTGAATATAACTGCGTTGTGAAAATTGATTCACCACTCCATAGCTCTCTATCAGCTTGGACTCTTTTGAGAGATTGGGAACTCGTATGATGGTTTATCCAAGGTATGAGGCATACGTGCGCTTTAATGCTCCCTCCCATTCCACGTCAACGTATCTCAGCATCACATCAATCTGTGGTTGGCTACAATGGTTGCTCAGAGTGAGAGTGGTTGAAGTGCTCGATTGTCCAAGACCAAAATCGCACTGGAAATGGCCGAGTGGAGAGTCCCGGCTGAAAAGGAGAGGCAAGAGAGACTGGCGTGCCTTCAACCCCGTCCCGTCCGACAGTTCAACTCTCGGCCACCATCACAGATCTTAAGACAAAATCCTTGTTCAACATACCAGGCTTCATGAGTCCTACGAGATTTGTCTCAGTAGCTTTCAACAGATGTGTGCCTCCCTGACCCTGTCCTCACTCATCAGTATCATACCATCTCAAGCTCGGTTTTTGCTTTATTGAATATTTATTTTTTGTTGATATTCAAGGGGAAAGATTTGTTGAAGATAGAGCACTATAACCGATAGATGAAAAAAAAGAGAAAAGAGAAGATAAAGGCAAGGGCAAAGATATGACGGGGTTTGCAGCCTATCTATCGACGGAAAACAACAGGCCGGACAGGTTGGCTATCCAAACGGAGTGTACAGTGATCGTCAAGATCGACTTGACTGACTCGGTGGAACGACATACATATCTCCATCATATAAGAAAGCTGATGCGAGAGAAACAGAGAGAGAGAGAGGAGAAAAAAAAAAGGCAAGGAGAACTTGGTTGATGGGGTTTTTTGTTTTAATGTTGTTGGAGGTTTGGGGGGAAGTACTTTGCACATGATCAGGAATGATATCGAGTGGACGGATAAAACAAAATGCGTGGTTGATGAGAAGTGGAGGGGAAGGAGGTATGGATGCTACAGACTCGGTTCAGCGAGTAGATTCTCCCTCCTTTGGACAGCCACAAGAGCGCCTCGAGTCGATCACTCCCGATGTAAGAGGATGGTCAAACCCAGCACGCCGAGTAAGGCGTACTTGAGCTTAGGATAATCGTTCTAAGGGAAAGATTGAGGGATGTGTATGTCAGGATTATGGGAGCCAGGTGATGGATGGAGAAGAACGAAAACTGAGAGACAAGAAGAGGACATTACCATGACGATGGTGACATATCCGACATGAGGGACGTATCCGTTAACTTTTCCGATCAAGTTAGATCGTTGAAGGTACTTGAGACCGTTATACAGTGCGACGTCGTTTTCATGGTTATTATCGCCCTTCGTCAGCATCCAACGAGTGGGCAACTTATCCGCAGCGGCGAGGGGGGCCGATTTGGGCTTCTTGTTGTTCGAGGCGGGTTCGTCATGATTTTCGATCAATCGATGGACGATCGGGATCTTTCCCTCGGGCACGTTGAAGACCGGGATCTCGCCAATCTTGAGCTGACGGTCGCGAGGCAGAGAGAGGAAGAGGAGGTCTCCCCGGTAGAAGCCCGGCTCCATCGAGCCCGAGAGGACCACCACTACCGGCGATTCCGTGTTCAGTGCCACCGCTAGTCCTTTCCATAGCATCAATGCCGTACAGATCACCGTCGCAAAGTTCAAGCCTTGGAGCAAGATCTAAGGAAAACGTGAGGGTGTTGTTCTTAATTAGTATATTATTATGTTACGAGAAAGGAAGTGATGCGAATATGGAGTGAATGAGATTGATGGTACTACTTACGTGGCGAATTCCCAATCTTTTGATAGTAGCCAGCTCTTGTTCGAACATCTTGTTTAACACCGAGCGACGAGGTTGGGAAGTTGACGGAGGACGGGTTTTGTGAGTGTGGATTCGGACAGAGTATGGTAGGTTGGTGGTTTCGAGTGAGTTCGTGGGCGTGGATGGTGGTCGGTCGAGTGGGGGGATGAGGTTGGTGACGTGGCGGTCGCAGTATTTATGGAGTAGGTTTCCGCGGGAGATTTGTCTCAGCTTCTTCGGTGAGATTTGTACCAGCTTCAACCATAATACATCAATACTTATGTATATGTTTTGAGCATTAGAATTGGTTTTTTTCGACCTCATAGTACAACAAAGTGATTTTTGTCTTTTTTTAAAAAAAAGAAACTGATCCCCGTTGCATCATCGAGTCGATCAGCCTTTGGCTTCCGATATCCGTCCTTGCTAGCTCAAGAGCAAGCTGTATGTATTGGATGGAAAGGACTGTGGTTTGTGATTATCAAGAAAACAGGTTGAAGGAATGTCATGAAGAAAGGGGAAAAAGAAAACAATGCAAAACGATCCAGATAACAAAAAATGTATCAACGTGAAATGAAAAAAAGGGGAGAGAGAGCCGAGGAGTCGAAGAGTCGAAAAAAGAAAAAAGAAAATGTATAGAAGAGTGAAATAGAAAAAAGATATCTACACGAAAGGGAAGGGTGAGAGCAAAGAGGTGGGAAAAAAAAGAGCTGAAGAGATTTAAGAACAAGAAAAAGAGATATTTTCCGAGTGTTGCACGTTAATTTCACTGCAGTTACCGTCCCGGTGAGCATCTCCTCATGTGACTCTGACGGTTTCCAATATCATTTCTTTCTTAGACAAATTACCCAGCATCACCGAGGATCACCTCAAAGAGTCCGCACTGTTTGTCTTTGAGAAACTCGTAACGCTCAAATCAGGTGAGTATTTTGTTCACCACACCGTTGGTCAGAAAACGGTTTGGCAAACAAAATACTCAGCTGGTTTCCGCGTTAAGAGTTTCTCAAAGACAAACAGTGCGGACTCTTTGAGGTGATCCTCGGTGATTCTGGGTAATTTGTTTAAGAGATGATATTGGTAAACCGTCAGAGTTTAACTCGAAGAAGATGGAGGCACATTAAAAGGAAGAGATGCTAACCCGGTGAGCATCTCTTCCTTTGTGTGAGGCTCTACCTATAACTCTCAACGATAGCGACTATGAAGTTATACCGAGAGGTAAACTCGTCTAAAGCCAAGAGATAATATATATAGATAAGAGAAGTCTTCTTTTCGACCGATATGAAAACTTATGAGATTTTATTTTGTAATTGTAGTCTTGATATTTGATTTTCGAGCAATTTTTGTAAAACTAAAACAACGAACAGAAATATTGCGATGAGGAAGAAGGAAAGTCAAAGCAGAGAAAGAGACCACAAAGTATAAATACGATCAAGTGAAAACAAGAGCACCCATGATCTATGATCACGTCATAGCAATAAAGAGGCACGAGACGTAAAGTCGAGGGAAGGAAAAGCTAATCGTAGATTGCATAGCGGACAAGAACATAATGTGGCTAGAAATACAAGTTTATTTATAGGACACATTATGTAAGACAAAAGAGAGAAAAGAGTGACATGAGAGAATCAGATGTCTCGTCGAGACCATCGTCTATGTCAGTTGTGACGTAGACTGTAGTGAGACGTAATCTTTACCTAAGATTACGTAGTCGAGCTACAACACCCCCCCACTCGACGAGACTCCAACACAGTGGCTGAGGAGAAGAAGAATATGTGAATTTTGTGAATCACAAGAGGTCACAAGCGGTATGGCGTTTTGAAACAATCCTAATGTCTTGATTTTGTGCCTATGTTGATTGCCCAGTAGTTGGAAGGAATCCGTCAGCAGCATGGGTCTGAAGCGTCGGCATGAGCGATGTTGAATCGGTCTTGCTGATTGACAATTGAACTGATCATGTCTACATTCTTTGTAGATTAGGGTCAAGTCGATGTGATTACAGATTTCGAAAACTCATGACTCCAGGTTGATTGGTTGAGCAACAGCCCACGCATTTGATATGCTGTCATGCTTGAAAAACCACAACATGAAAGCAACCAAACGTGCCGACCACCTTTTTCATATCGGAAACAAAGGGATCCAGATAGTCGTTGAACCAAGTTAGATCTATAGTTGACGGGAACGATCTGGTCATCCAGGATGTATAAGAATCGCCATATGCTCCAAGCCGAGATGGGCTTGCAATACCCAATGAGCCGGATAGCAGATTGCCGTCGCTGCAGCTGCAATTCTTTTGATTCATCCTCATCAGTAGACCAGGAGCAATGTCTGCCGGTGAATTTCGCAAACGCCGATTGGAAGAGCAAGGTAAATGCTGCGTCAAGATGCCGCCGGTTGGTGGTCACAAGGAAAACCTCATGAAACCTGAGAGCTGTGGGTCCAAATTGCAAGAGTAGGAGCTGATAGCAAATTTGACGAAAGAGATTCTGGTGAAACAGTCTGTCTGAAGACGTATGGCAAGTACTAATAGAGTTGATGTTTGGGCAGAATTTGTAGAACAAAGCTAAACCATAGCACTCTGAATGCAGTTGATGGCCATGAAAATAGCAGCTTCTCAACTAGGTGTCCAATAAGAAGTCCGAGCGTCCGAGTGTCGAGTCCAAAGTAAATCCCAGCGACATCGGCCGGAACCTTTCACAAGAGATGCTGTTTGAGAACCAACGGGTGGGTCCAATAACTACTGTAGTACGGCTGTGACAATCCCGTAACTTGTCCAATCCATAGTCGAAGGAAGGTAACAGAAAAAAAACGGGACATCCTCCCGAGTCGTCTAACAAGGAGTTGGTATAGTATGAATTCGATTGGGCTGAAGATCCAAGGCGCTTGGAGACGTTACTGAGAGGGTTTCTGGTCTTTTGAACTGAAACAATCCGAGCAGGTAAAATAACATCCGGTGGTGAAGCAATCCCGGCTCAATACGTCTCCCCATGGATTATGAAGATCAATGGCCTAGAGTAGTGATCCAACAGCATCATCACGGGCGCTAGTCGAATTATCCAGATTGATCCGTTCTTGCAATACACAACGACTTCAATAGTCTAATCATTGGCAGCTCTAGAACCAAGTTGGTTCGAGCCAGATGATTCATGGTAGCCAGCGAATTTCGGAGACGGTAGGGAATCTAGACCACCAACAAGAAAAGCCAAACATGCCGACCGAGATGCTGCTTTGCCGATTAGTTGTCACGGCGAGAAGCTGATGTACGTTATGCCGGAGGTGATAGATAAAAAGATCGAGTCTCGGCCGTAAGGTATATTACTACCAGAAATTGATCCAGAGTCCGTTGCGACCCCAACAAATTCATAAAGTTCGACCGACCTCTATGGGAATGGAACAGGTTCAAAAATAAAAAAATTATGTACGGCTTATCGTTCATATTCAAACACAGTAACCCCCCCAGCTTGTTAACGTCCCAGAAGTTGTTGGCTCTAAAGGATCAGAAAGAACAAAACAACAGCAGTATAATCGGAGATGTGCCGGGATTTGTCAAAGGGCAGCTGAAACAATTGATAGTTCGACCAGATTCCTACCAAGCGAAGGTGTGAGGTTGAGATGTGAAGGACCGTACTGCCGTGTCGTCGACCACCTACAGAAGGCCTAGTGTAGAATGCTGAGGAGAAATGATGCTTCATGGGGTAGGATCACCGGCCAAGATAACAGTACAGCAGCTTGTTTTGGTCAACGTTTTCAACAGCCGAAGTCCAGGCATAGCACTAGATGTGCAACTGTCGCTGAGGTTGCTTGCATTCAGTAAGTTACTGGTGGACGTAATAACTGACATAGCTAGAGAGCTCAAAATGAAGGAGTACACGGCTCATGGGCTAATGCTTTGCGTGCGTTCAAATTATTATCGCATTGGTGTTGCCCGATTGATTCAAGCCTAATGATGAGTCCGACATCCGTGGAGTTGACAGTACCAGCCGTTGTATGTGCTCAAGGTGCAGCACGGTAAAGCAAAAGAGCAAATTACAATTGCGGTGGGAGTAAAAATCGTTTGAAGGAACTAGACAGTAATCAAATAATAAGCAGTACAAGCAAGTAACACAATTGGTCGGAATTTGGAGAGAAAGCAAATGACACAAGGCTGAGCGTGCTGGGGTTCTGCCAAAGCGAGGTTGAATCAATCCATCATAGTCACATAGCAAATAAATCCTGACAGACTCGTGATGGATGTTGACCAAAAGGAAGTATGACTCGGGTCTGAAATATCATAAGAAACCACGAATGGAAGAGTATGCGGCAATCGGTGGTAGGGAGTCGTCAGAAACCGCAAATGGGTGTTGGACCTAGGTCCGGAGGACATTGCGTTTGCGGACAGGAAAATTTGGTGGAACCACAACACAGTAAAGGCAGTAGCAGCATAACAAAAATATTCAAAGTGAAATGGTGTTGAGAAAATATTTGCAGAGGAGTCGGAAGGATTTGTTTCGGAGAGGAGGAAGATTGGAACAGTACTACACTATAAACTAACACAGTATCAAGAAAATATAACACTGACGACTATGCAACACTAATTAATGGACATTTGCCGGGAAATCATTAAACACTAGTCACCGTGTGTTACCAAGAGAGTCACTAAGTAGAAGAGAAGACCCGCCACACAGGCAGAGAGAGAAGAGGCCACACAGGCACACTAGGAGGCCACACAGGCACATAGAGGAAAATCACACAGTAAAAAACGCCACACAGGCACAGTAAATAACAGACGCCACACAGGCCACTAAGGAGCTTTAGAGAAAACTTGCCCAGCACATGGGACTTTGACTATATAAGAGCACACCAAGATAGAGACCGTAAAAGACTGAACAATTTTAAAGAATGTAATTTTAAAAATAATAACTCGTGCCAAAAAAAACTATAACGAAAGACGAGAAAGGCTCATAACCTAAAGAGGCACGAGACGTAAAGTCGAGGGAAGGAAAAGCTAATCGTAGATTGCATAGCGGACAAGAACATAATGTGGCTAGAAATACAAGTTTATTTATAGGACACATTATGTAAGACAAAAGAGAGAAAAGAGTGACATGAGAGAATCAGATGTCTCGTCGAGACCATCGTCTATGTCAGTTGTGACGTAGACTGTAGTGAGACGTAATCTTTACCTAAGATTACGTAGTCGAGCTACAACAAGCAAAACACAAAATGACGTCACCTAAAGAAATGCGCATGATGGATCCATACTTCGGGAGTATGAGCAACAGGAACAGAGTTCACCGTTGGACACGCCATCGAGGGGAGGGGACGGGGATCGTCACCATGGGAGGCGGTGATTCCGGCGGAGCTGATGACGAAGAAAGTCAAAGGAGTCCGAGTCCGAGTCCGAGTACGCCGCCGACAGGGAGTGGCCCAGGCCCATACACGCTGCTACCGGAGACACCCAATCAAACAGGCCCATCGAGTGACGCCTTAAAGAGAGAACAGAAATTTGTAGATTGTCTCGAATCACCTACGGTCGATGTGGGCGGCCGTCGGGAGCTGGCCTGGGCTGGAATACCGCCCAGACTTCGGGCAGTCCAGAAGACTCGAAGTCCTTGCGAGGAAACGCAGAGAATACCTCGACGCTCTTCGGCTTGTTTTCGCCTCCGGTACTCAGAAACTCAATCAGACTATCAGGCATCCAATCCAAATCGATGTCGCTAGGACTAATCCTGGTAGGCTGGTGTGCCACTCTGGCAATTCCATGCTGCTTGAACAGTCTGTTCTCTTCTTTCCTTTTTCCCTTTCTCTTGTTCCTCTATATTCGCTCTTCTACCCCCCCCCCCCCCCCTTTCTCTCGATGTGATTCAGATCATCGTTCACATATAATTTGACCTACACCAATCAACAATCTACTCCCTCAATCAACTAAAAAGTCACCATAAAAATTGACATTATTACCTGTTATTACTGTGTTTGGCGTGTCGGAAAATCACACCAATGATGATGGGGAAAACCTTTGTAGAGTCTAGAGCGAATTCTCTATGTATGGTCGGTCCGACATCCAGCGAGTGGATACGTGCAAGGGATCAACGACCTAGTCATGCCATTCTTCAAAGTCTTTCTGACGGCATATATGAATGGGGAGGAGGCGGATGTGGGCCGGTTGCCAGCGGAAGCCCTGGAAGCAATCGAGGCCGACTCGTTTTGGTCGCTCTTTAAACTCCTCGATGGCATTCAGGATAACTACATCTTCGCTCAACCCGGCATTCAACGTCAGGTGGCTCGAATGAAAGAACTCTGTGAACGCGTTGATGGTCCGTTAACTTCCTTTCCTTTGCGAATGATCTCCTCGATCATTCTTTTCTTGTACAAATTGGATTTAAGTAATTGACTGACCTTAATAAATCTATTTTTATCCCGTAAACCAAAATCCCTTTTTTCTCTCAACATTACATGAAAAAATACCTTCTAATTTGTGTGTGCTAGTCAATAATAATTTTCTACAAGCTTTACCCACCAATCAACTAAAAGAAAAAACAACATCTAGAGTTTTTACCAAGTCAAGTGTTGATGTGGCACTCATTATTCCAAGGAGCAGCTGCTCATTTTGTTTGCAAATAGAAACCTTCCCCTCTTGATGTATATCATTTTCTCTTGTGTTTTTGTAAACTGAATATTGACTATATCTTCAGCCTTTTTGGTTTGACAATTGAGTTGGCTTCCTCTGGGGTTAACAAACTTGAAAGTCAATTTTAGGGGGAAAACCTTTCAAGATATGATACTGGTTAATACTACAAACATTTTACTCTCATACTCAGAATCCAATGATGTGATATTCAAGCAAAGATATATCTCTTGTAACCACAGCACACACTTCAAGTAGAAATAACTTTGGGGTGGTCAAATTAGCTCCTACTAAATACATTTAATTGAACTTCTTGAAGCTTCTTATTGATTCATAAATAAGAATAATAGCAGAGGAAATAAGCATAAGATCAGACACAGGAATCATGATGACAGAGACCAAGGGATTGTATGGCCCACTGCCAGTATAATTTGCTGAGGTGAGGGCATCCCAGTTTGACTGGGATGCACTCAACCACGTTAAAGTTGGTTGCATCTCAACCACTGAAATAAAAATCCAAGGTCTTTGATTCATATTTCATTGGATGGAATCCAACCAAGTTTGAATTGGCTGAGTGAATCCCAGATAAACTGGGATACCATCAGTCCGGCTGATTGTGTTGGCAGTATGGGATAAATGTAGAACTGAGAAATGCATTCTATTGGTAAATGATGAGAGAAAAAGGAAAATACACAACAGAAAAAAAAAACAGGAAATCATTGAGAAGGCTCCCTTAGTGGACAAATATTCAGGCGGAAAGAAATAGATATATGAAGATTGGATAAAAGGAGTCAATTCTTAATATATAATTTAGGAAAAGGAATATTTTTAAAAAGAGAGGGAAAGTGTTTTTTTGATTTGAATCTATTGAGAACTTTGAGGGTTGATTCATTGTTCAATTTTTGGATTGATTGAAGATTTTACAACTCTTTCTACCCACTCAATTTCTTCTTGTTCTTTGAACTCTTTATATGAGGAAAATTGATATATGGGATATGTAGTGTCAAACAAATCTTGAACTTCAATCTGTGATGAAATTGTGTAAAGTTGTGATGAGGTTCTTCAATGCATTTTGAACAAGATTAAGAATGCTCACTGTATCTGTATTTGTCTGAATAATAATAAATCCAGATCCTGTCTTTTGTTGTTCATCCAATTTTTCCATGAACTTCTTTGATTTGGGGCAGTTTAAGCATGCATTTCTCCAGAAAAGTGTCTGTTTTTTTAGTAAAAACAAACATGATCTTGGGACTTTTATATAAAGAATTCAGTTGAATTTAGTTTACATAGGATTGATGTGAAAGAGATGAAGGTTGAGGTCAGTGGATCAGTGATGGCCAGGGCCGCAGAATGTCACAGGTTCAAAAAGAAAAAAACATTCACGATTAAGGGGATGAACCCGAGCGGGGATTTGTCGTCAAACGGGGCTGGCCCGCGCCCCGTGCTTCCGGGGTTCCTATGTTCTTCGGGTGGCCACATGGTTCTTCAAATGTTCATCAGCATCAAACAAGTCAACTTGGGATAAATTTCGTCGATTGAAGATTGGATTTCAAGATGGTTGTAAGTCTCTCTTTACTTTTTTGGATGTTCAGCAATTCATTGGCTGACAAGAATTCGCACTTTTTTGGTTATTCTTTCTCGGATGAATGCTACTTGTGGTGAACGACATGAATGGATGAAATGATGGTCGATATCGCCACAGAAATTGAACGTCAACTTGAAGGCTGAGTTGGATAACTTGACTGATCTGCAGGTCGAAGATCCGATGAATTATCAATACTTTTTCAAAGTCAGTCAGTTGCTCCATTTTCTCTCTCTCCTCGTCGTCTAGGGAAGATGGACACAACAGCTTTGTGGACTGTAACTGGTGGGTAATGAAAGTACTGATCCAGATTTTTTTTTTTTTTGGATTTGGATCATTTTTGAGAAAGGTTAAATGCTCCAACTGTCATGAAATTCATAATAATTGGGTGAGTTACATAATCTCCAAAAAAAAAAAAAAACTGATATTCTAATTATCAAACTGATGTGAATTTTTGCACATCCATTGCATAAAATGAGTAGGTCGGAATCAGCAGATCGGTAAAAAAAAAAAACGAAACTCCTCAAAAACATCACAAGTTCGGATATGAACTGACCGCCCAGACTAACCCTGCTGTCGGCCGTTTTCGCATGATTACTATCCCCCCCCCCCCCCCCAAAAAAAAAAACGAGAATTTTGTAGGAAGAATACCCGCTTTCAGGCTCCAAGGGAAGCTCGAATTTCGTGTGGAAATGCCAGCTTTGTCAAGTTGAGTTGTTCGAATGAAACCGATCGAAAAAAACTCTGCCGCGTTTTCTTATGTACTCCAAAAAAAAAAAAACACTGTTTGGTTCAAAATGTGCAACTTTTTTGGAACAGAGAGAAGCCTCCGCATGTGAGGATCCCTCCCGCCTAAAACCAAAGATTTCGCATCCTGTGTAACTGATGCAATCCAAGTCGGTCGAGGTCGAATAGCGTTCATAGATCTCAAGGCGAAGGCCTTCCCGATGTACACCAAGACGCAAAGCCAGGAACACAAATCCCAGGCAATCTGTACGGTCGAATGTCGAGGATGCGAATTCGTCGAATACGATATCCGAGTTCAGTTGTTTTTTTTTCCTTCCTTCACCAAACAAAGTCTCTCGTTTCGTTTCCTGATCCATCCAGTTCTTATATTGAAAAAACTAAAGGGTTCATGGACTTGTAAAGGAGCAGAAAGCGGGACTGAGTTCCAAGGGATTGAATTTGACGACGGAGAATGGCAGTTGAGTTTTCTTTTTTTCTTTTGTTTTTTTGAGGGACTCTCTGCTTGCATCCGATCCTGACTCTACCTGTTGTTCCTCTGTGGGACAAAAATTGATTATGGGTTTCCGAAACATCTCAGTGATTATGATGAGAAAAGCGGCTTGCCGGTCAGCGTGACAAATGTTAAAGTTGAGTTGTGTTGGATCCCAAACAAACTTTGGAAATGGTACTCAAACCGTCTTATTTGCTTACAATGCCTTGCTTAGACTGAAATCGTCCGGGCATGATGATAATGTGTAGGATACAACTAGCAAATTTCAATCCGAACTTTAAAGACAGGGAATATATTACTTGGGATATGTGACCGCAATGTGCATATCGAGAACGTGTTGATTGGTACACAACAGTATCACATCTTCTTATAATATAACCTGAGTAACACAGCCAAAATGGGTAACAATCATCATTTTTATGGATGGAAAAAATGACACATATAACAGTACGTATTCATACATACAGAGACAAATACAAAATACAAATGATATCAAAAACCACATCATTCAGAGAGAGCTTACAAAAAAAAAAAGAAGACAAGAAGAGATCCTGGTCAAGATTACTTTTCATGATTAGACAGCAATAAATCGACCCGCATCTGGACCAATCGCTGTACCCAAAACAGGGGAAGAAAGCCGACCCTATGAGAAGACGAAGGCTGACTTGAATCCAAGTCTCGGTCATGGCAGTTGAAGTCCTGATCATTTGAGCCAGCAGTTGTTGATGTTGTTGAGGGGTATCCAAGATTGAATAAAGTTTTAGGTTTATGACAGAGGATCGATTCGGAGACTTCTTTGAAGGACAGTTCTTCAAGCTGGATGAAGGCCGGGATGCCGGTGGGGAGAGGGGCATGAGATGATTGAGTGGGGGAAAGATCGGGCGCGGTGTAAGGCTTGAAGACTAAGCGATACACCGGCCATCGGCCGAGATCCATCACTTGGGCTTTACAGATATCTGACAGCCGACATGGGTCTTCTTGAGGTCGTGTGTTCGCTACTTGCCGCGCGTATTCTTCGGCAACGATTGCGTCCAGACGGTCGTTGAAGAACTGAGACCGATTCGAATATCCTTGAGTAGTAGTAGTAGTATTAATCCAAGCTTCTCGAGCGGATGGATCGGCCCGACGGCTGGCTTTCCGGTTGACTGGACCCCGCGCAAGCTTGTTTTTGAGGAACCGGATGATCTTCGTCCCGGTTTCCAGACACACGTCGCTCGACCATCGACAGTATGGCTGCGCTTCCCGCTTCACTAAACCTGGGATCTCGTTCGTCTGGTATGTCTTCGAGCTGTGTAAGATCCCTTCGCGGGTCCTGAATCCTACATGGACCTTGGGCGTTCCCATGAGAACTACGTACGTGTGGATAAAGAAAGACACGACGATCAACTTTTTTTTTATCCTTCCCTGGTGCATGTACTGCCTTCATCTTGTGACATCATCATCATCATCATCAAATAGAGAAAAGTGACTATGTGAAGAAATCTGACCAACAAGATTGAAGCCAATATTTGATCATCTTGTATCGATGGAGATTACAGAGCTCGTGAATGGTAGAGGGAACAATGGAAGTTTTGAGTTCGATGGTCTGATCGGGTTCGACGAATTTGGGGAGCGGATGTTGATTGTGATCGACGGACTCTTGATGATGATGATGATGATTGGGGGTATGTACTTTTTGGAAACTTTCGAGGGTCACACAATCCACTTCTCCGCCAAGGATGATTGGGATGCCGTTCAGAGTAGAACTAACGACTGAGATCCATTGAGAGTTAGTATTAACCGACTGAAACTCGGTGTTGGTCATTAGACTTTCATAGCTGTATCCATGGTAAATATGGGCTGCCCATTCATCACTCCGGCGAATGATCCCATCTTCTTCGACATAGCCGGCAGGCAGCTCGTCAAGGTCCTCTACCAGATCCTCGATCTGTTCGGGTTCGTCTTCCAGATAGATCGTCCCGTCTATTAGCATCACCCGCTTTGTCCAGACCCCGGATGCATTTTGGTCGATCTGCCTATTCTCGTAGGCCGTCAAGGCAAGCTTGGCTAGGGCAGATCGCCAGGTGATCAGCTCGGTTGATAAGATCTCTCGAGACTTGGTGAGTCGATCGGCAGGCTGGCTTCTATCCAGGAAATCCGCTAGACTATTTATTTGTTCATGTAGAATATCAAATGCAGCGTAAGAAGAAGTCTTGGCGAAGTGATGTGAGGGCTTTCCAAATTTCAATGGTGAGTCTTTTTAAAGTGAGAAAAAAAAAAGGGGGGGGGGGATCAGAACCTTAGCAAAAGCCCATCGATGCCTCTGTCCACCGCATCCTCAACATAGACAGCCTCGTCGATCCCGGTGTTGAGATCGAAGCCAGTATGGTCGACGTTATCGAGGAAAGGCCTGAGGGATATGAACTGATCATGGGCGCCGCAGTGGATCTTGCCGTGCTGGTCGTAGGAGAAAGAGGTGATCGGAGTGGGTGTTTGGTAGTTCTGTTTGAATGGTCTGGCGGATTGATGGGGGAACTCGTTGTTGTAGACCGGCTTAGGGAGAATAAACCGGGTGGGATTGCTGATCGGAATGGCTTCTAGAACCACTCGGGCTAGTTTTTTTGTCTGCTGGTGATGATCATGAGATGGACTGGCTGCTTGTTTCTTCTCTCTGGCTTTCTTCTTGGCAGTCTTCTTTGGGGAGCTCGGTGGTGTGAGTGGGTCGCAGCTCAGCAGGTTGAAGTCGATTCGCATTCTGTTTGATGAATCGTATGGGTCTGAGGCAGGACTCCCCCAAGGAGAGAAATCGATAGAAGATATTGAGTGGTAGAAGAGAAGACATCGGCCCCAGTTTTGAAAAGGCGCGCGCCGACTACACAACTCCGGGGTATGACGGATTGTAGGTCCCCCACCCAACTGCTCGGAAACATTCTCCCCCGCCCTTGAAGAGAGAAAGCAAAGACTACATATACACACCCCTCATTCCCTCATGACTCTGCCCCAGAGAAGAGCCGGCGTCGGAAATGTGATCTGAAGCTACATATACAGGCAGTCAAGCCCGCGTATGTAGGCACCGGCACGCTAGAATTGTTTTTGGTTCTCTCTCTCTCTCTCTCTCGATAATCGACTGGAACACGACGACAAAAAACAAATGCGATGGAGCAACTTTACTCATCTTGCTTCTCTGTCGGATAAAATTCTTTTTTGAGTTTTGGAAAGTGGTTGTGACGAGGCTCGGCGGTGTCAAATGCTAATCAACTTGAGAGTTTTGCTTGATTAAAGATTAGAGAATGTATGTATAGAAACGATTCGAAACAGTTGCAGAAATGATACTAGAACAAATATATTATGTTGGTACAATGGTGCTACTTACTAGACTGATGAGGTCGTCCGCGCGTAACGATTAAATATTTAATAAAATACGACCAAAATATCTGAATATCCGAATTTCATCTTGATCTAACTTTGAGACAGAAGGATAGTCGAAGCATCCCTCAGAAGGGGTTTCCTTGTTGAAACAGATTCAAAAACGCGTCGGTATGGGTAATGATTAATGATGAGTCGAAGAAGCTTCAAAGTTTCCTCTGTCTGGCCATGGCCCTTGCAATAAGCTATATACAAGGCAGTTTGTGAGAAAGGACAAAATCTCAGATTAAGCAAGCGGACGCGGGAATGATGAACGCAGAGACTTACAGCAGCCCCACGTTCTACCCGCTCGTCATCCGTCATCTCTTCCTTCTTCTTGCCGTCATGAGGCAAACTGTGCAAAATCGCAGACTTCCGTAGCTTCCCATTTTCGAGCCCGCCCTGTTTCTTGATCCGCTCGCGCTCTTCTTCACCAGCCACTCTGGCCAACCGATTCACTCGCACCGTTTCTTTCCAGTATTCCTGATCATGGGAGACCTTCTCTGCGGCTAACTGCGCAGGCCGATCTTCATCCTTCTCCTTCTTGATCGCCTGTGCTTTCGGATTTTGATCGTTGTGCTTCCAAAGCTTCTTCATCATCGCCTTCATCTCCGCCTTCTTCTTGTTGAAGTGCGCATATTTCTCCAGGGCTCCGATCATAAACAAGGCTTTTGAAATCGAAACCCTTTGACAAACAAATGAACAATTCGAACAAACATCAGTTTAAACAGTTATACGGACCACACTTAGAAGCCTTCTAAAGCCTGCAAACTCACTTCGACATGTCACATCCCCATTCATGCTCCAAGATATTGACAAACGCTTTAAACTGATCCGAACCAGCGCGATAATGTCCACTGAGGGGACTCAAGGACGTCAATTGCCCCTGATTAACCTTCAACAATCCCGCAGCCAACACATGACTGCCAGCCAGGAAGCTGCTATGCTGAAATTTGCCAGTTTGTTTGATGCCGACGTACATGTTACCACTCTGATCAGCGACAAAGATCCAAGTGTTGGCATTCAAGGTCTTTCTGAGCAAGTTGTCCATGATTGCTTTGGGATCGACATGTGACTTGATTTTAGCCGCAATTCCGGATTTCTGAGGGGTTGCTTGTGCGTAGTGATGGGCATCTCGTGAGAGGACCGAACTTGCTGAACTCGACAGTGAGGAATCTGAATCGGTTGATGGGATCTCTCCTCGTTCTTTGGCCGCTTCGAATTCTTCCGGAGTTGCATCAACTATTCCGAGTCCGTTCCCCAAGTCTTTATGTCTTCCTGGAGCTGTGTCAACCGGCCTGGAATCTGATAAAAGTGCAAGACGAGCTCAACGATTTTCTTTGATCGTTCTCGACCAGATGGGATATTAAGAGTCATTAAGGTTATATACCTTTGGCCCAAACTAATTTTCCATTGACAATCTTCACCAAATAGTTCCTTCGCTGCTCCACCGTTAAGTAGCTGTTTTTTTTTTTTTTTTTTTTTGGATCCACAGCGCAAGATAGGAATAAATGGATGTCAAATTAGCTCCATTTGATCGCAGGTTTGAGAATTCTTGACCAACGTTATCTTTTCAGAATCTAATCGTTCCCTCGGTGAATCCTGAAGGTCTAACTCACGACCCTCTCCATGGTCTAACCACTACAAATGGAGTAGAATAATTATGAAAAGCAGCTCTCAATTCCTCTTCAGGCCCAAAGGGAGCTCACGTAAAAGAAGTTTTGATCGCCATCGTATTGGGTATTCCAAAAGGTATCTATCGTCCAGAAAATATGCGCAATAGTGGAAACTGATCAATATCTTCCACTTTTTATACGTTTCAAGCTTTGAGGAAGTGCTGACGGTACGCCTTGAGATTAGAGCCATATCGATGTTTGTGATCGACCATCTCCAACCAATAAGTAGTATCCATAGTCTTTTTAGGTCTCGGGGAGCCTTTCGAAGCTTCAGGGGTACCGGTTGGAGAAGTCGGCCCAGCATCCACCAAAGCTGACGTGAAGACCCCAGCACGCTTCCATCGGGAGTGAGAATCACTTCGAGCTCCATGGTGCGAATCTCGACGAGCAGATTTGAAGTTTTGTTCCTGATCATCAAAGAGTCAAGCAATCAGCATACGTTCGCTTCTCCAAGTATTAGAGAAGCCATTGGTCGGAAAGCTCCCACAGAGGGGGAACCTCATTGACTGTGGTCACTTGATGAACTTCAGATCAAGAGGAATTGAACTCAACTTTGATTGCTTCGTGCCAGCGGGTCGAGGCTGTTAAATTTAAACCATCGTTTTCTCTATCCCCTATTTTCAGAATCAAGAAATGTTAAATTGGTCAACTCTAATCATCTGTGAATCGCCTTCTTTGCTCCCAAGCGCAATCGTACGGTCAACCTACGTTGGTATTGCCTATTTTTTTAGAGATCAAAAAAAAGGAAAAACAATCAACTGAAGACATCAACAAAAAAAGTTCGAATTTTTGTATAATGATGTTTTTTTTTTTTTGAGTCTTGACAAGATCATGTGTTAAATGGATGAACCTAAATCTATTCTGTAAGACGGTTGCGGCACGGTTTTGTTTATCTTGATCGCTTTGGTTTACTTGAGCATCATCATCATCATGAATGGTGGAGTCTGCCATTTCTTTTTTTTTTTCGCTGGTCACGAGGGGATCGGCTTCGTGTGATTTGTATGTATTGAATATAGTGTACAGATTCGCTGGACGTCTTTCTTCTGTGAAACGATATGTACATAAAAAACCAACGATTTCCAGAGATCAGTTTTTGCATGCTTTTCTTCTCCTCTTCTCGATCTCATTTTTTTTCATTTTTTTTTGCGCATTCTTTAGAACGACGAGCACCGATAAAACGAAACTCACCGGGCTAGGTTTCCTGCAAGGGTACGAAGGTCAAGAAAGAAGAAGAATGCAATCAAAAGAATGGATGAGGAATATGGTTAGCTTAATATAAGCGGGAATGTGGTAAGCTGAAGAAACTGTGCTCTCACCAGAAGCAGGGTAATGGTTGTCGATGCGTGGTTTTTTTTCCTTGGGTCTGCCCGAATGGTTGAGGAACTGTGAATACAATATGTACGCAGGAAAGAGACCTACGAAGACAAGCTCGGGTTGAAAAATCTCAGAGAAGAGTGTTTTTTTTTTTTTCAAGTTTGGTGCATACACTCATACACACAGCCAAAACGCGACTAGGATGTTGAGGCTGTGTATGACATCACAACGTCGATCTTTTCTGGCGGAGTTCAACGCTGTGTTCTCCGCATCAAGATCCAAGACACTAGACATGGGCTGAGCCACAAATTGACACTGCTGGGTACACTCAGCTACAAACAATCCATCCGCACAACTGTATCATCTCCAGACTCCAATCCAAAAAAAGAAAGCAGGATGTGAGCTACATAAATAAATGCACAGCTGAAGGTGACTCCCTGTTGGTTCTGAAGCCACTTGACGTGCATAGAAGGTATAATTCCCCATAAAAAGCCGGTCTACATACGTAAGATTTTAACAAGAGGAATTGTCAGGATCCAGTAACATCTGATGTGATTTCCCTTCCCCCTTTTTTTGGACGGGCGCGATTGATTGGCCCATGTGGCCTGGCAGGAAGAAAAAAAAATTGACTGGATGATGGATTAGTTTTCTTAAATCCCCTAATTTGATCCTCAAACCAACCATACCCTTCATGATCCAATCTGTAGAACTTCTAGAAGGGTTGATTTTACATTACATACAACAAAACGGGTCTATTTTTTGATCCCTCATCCCACTCAGAGGACCTATCACTTTGAAAGGAAAATATCTGATCTCTTGAAATCATTAATGATGCATCATCAATCTCTTCAACCCAAGTACTACAACAAAGTCACCCAAAGATATCTACAACAAGCAGAAGGAGCTGTGTCACATACGTTTTTAAGGAAAAGGATCACTACTTTTTGTTCTTCCTTTGCTTTGAAGTGTGGTCTGGATACAAATCAAAAACAAGAGAATTTGTGTATGTGTATGCGTGTGATTTCATGAGGTGAGGGTGATGGGTTAAGAAGATGTACAGTATAAACAATCAAAGTTAAGAAAAAAGTTTATAAGCGACGTAAATGTGGGTTATTATATCTGTCTTGACATTGGTAATGAGTTACTTCTCCACTGGAAGTAAGCGTACACACATCCAAATCCAATCATCAAAAGATAAAGAAAAAGAAAAGCAAGTGATAAATTTAGTTCGATGTTTTTGGTCCTCAAAGAAACGAAAAAATAGAATTGATAGAAAGAGACTTACAAAGGCGGATGAACAGCAATAACAGTGTTACCTAATCGTTTCCCGCACCCTATACATCTATATAACATTCCACAAAGAGAAAAAAAAAGAAAACGATGACCAAGGAAAAGAAAAAAGAAAAGTAAGGTCGATTAGTGATTGAGTGACAACAAATGAAATGGATTAGAAAAAAAAATAGATGACAAAAGCTAAAAGGGGGAGAGGTAGAGGGAGGAAAGTCAAGGGCCCAAGAAAAAAAAAAGAAACGAAAAAAGAGTAAGAGACGAACAGTCGTTTAAGGTCGATTTTAACCCTACGATTAGCGAGAACCTGAGCGGCCATGGCGAGCGAAGCGCGTCTAGAGAGGAGGGAGTTTCTGAGGACGAGTTGGAGCTGGATGGAAGTATGGAGATGGTCGAGCGCATGGATGAGGAACTGGTCGAGCCGGTTGAGCTGGACGAGGGGCGGAATCAGCTCGACGATCGCTTCGATCTCGACCACCTTGTGTCCATGCTCATTGATCATCTTGATTCCACTTTCCAGGAGCTCTTTGCTCGTCAATCTCGGCCTTCCTTTTCGTCTCTTTTTTAATTCTTCATTCAACTTCTCCTCTGACTCATTCTCTTCTTCTTGCTGTTTTTCTTCTTCTGGTAGTTGTTGTTCTCCTGATTTTTCTTCTTCTTCTTCTTCCTTCTCTGATTTTTCTTCATCCTCATCTTCACTCTGTTTATCAACAATAGACACATTCGGCCTGAGGCAGATCTTCAAGAGACACAGAAACACACTTCCATCAACCGCCCCATTCTTCTCGTAAACCCGTTGACAGTATTCCTCTGCCAAGCGGATATCATTGAGTCGTTCCACATAGATCCGCAAGGCGGTCTCGTGTTGGCCGATTTTCCCTAAGGTGATCGCCCGTGCTTCCCACATTGAATCTGGTGGCAATCTTCCTAACACCCAATTTGGGGAATAACTGCTTGAGTCCTCGAGATGGTCCAACAGTTTCTTGTAGATCTCTTGTCCACTCTCTTTCGAAATTAACACAGTCCAAAATTAGTCAACTCGAGACAGGAGAATGACGGGAGAAAGAGAAGAGAGACCAACCTAGGCTACCCAAGCCGCGTAAACGGTTAACCTCGAGTAAATAGATCTGGATCAATTTCTCATGAAAGCTAGAGTCCTGAAGACGTAAGGAGCGGACGATGAATTCGAGATAGAGTTGGATAGGAGTCGAAGATTTAAGGTGGTCGAGGAAGGTGACAATGAGGGGTTTAGGCAGGGAGTCAACTGCGGATAGGTCGGCGACAAAGATTTCTAGGCCGGCTTTGATCAACTCCATCGCCGATCCTGGCCCTCCTTCTTCTTCTTGATCTTGGCATAGCGAGAATACCCATTTCGAGCTCTCAAGAATCACGTCGATATGCTTCGATCCTAGTTTTTGGAGGTAACGGACCGTCGGCTCGATCTGTGTCATCGCGTCCTCCTCATTCATCGCCATTCTGTATCAGCAGTGATGAAAAAAAAAGAGAATCTCATCTCAATAGTCAATCGCCAAAAATGCCAAAAATGTTGTATAAAATATCCATTTAGGCAAAAGGGGGCCTACTTTTTCAACAGTTTGAGAGCCTTAGCATGTTGTCCTTTACCATGATAAAGATCGAGAAGCTCATGATAACGCTACGGACCCCCAAACAAGGAGTTAGTAGAGGAGATCAAGAGACAGCGAGCCATGTGAAGCAGACCTTAGCCTCCATAAGCAATCCTTCGACGAGTTCGACCTCACACCAATTAGGGAGTCGACAGAGAGGGCCAAGCATGGTGGGTCTAAGAGCCAGATAAGACTTGAAGAGGGCGGTGTCGATGACTTTGGCGACATGGACGAGCTGTTCAAAAGATTCGATCTCCGCGATCGGCCGGTCCTCCAACTCGACTGACGGTTGAATAATATCGGATGGGCTGGTGCCGGGCCGGTCTGTCACCTCAGCGCTCTCGGGACGCTCCTGGATTGCCGCCAGCGCCCGGTTCACTTGTTGTCTTCGGTCGGTTAGGTATCGGATTAAAACCTCGACTGAGGGTCGGAAATGCAGATCCTCTGGGCTCTTCTCTAAGAAGAGTGGTCTGGGTCAACAACGAGTAGATCGAAGGATGAAGTGAATGACATTACCTTCAAGGACTGTTCTCTGGAGACTGGGTTCTCCCATTTTGGGTTTGGTAGGAGCTGCTGAAGGGCCAGAGAGGATAGATCGGCGATCGTCATCAACCACATTCGGGTTATTACCTAGATGGGAGATGCTACGTGGGATCGAGCCGATGTCTGAACCTGCTCGACTGAGATGAGGAGGGTAAACCAACTCGGATGCCGGGCGGGGACCGACAAGGGGATTACTACGATAACTCTCCGCACTTCGTCCCCCAAATAACTCCTCCCATTCTTCCCGTTTTTTCCCTAACGAGCCCGATATCTCAGACGGATAGAGTGCAACTACCTTTGCCGGATTGATCGACAAACTGATGAAGGTATCGATTGCGCGATCGTACTTGTATTTGGAGAAATCGATCACCCCACATAACGCGTTCAGTTTCTTCAGCAATTGGGCCTGGCAGACAAAAACAAGAAATTAGCAATTCATTAAAAAAAAGCTGAATCCTTCCAAAAACGGTCCCGATGTCAGAATAAATTACTTTGTTGGGTAGATGACTTTCATCTAGTCCTTCCATCAAGCCTAGTGCCTCTTCGTATTCTCCCAGTTCAATCAATTGCTGGATTTGATCAGGCCAAGGTTTCATCTGTAAACATTCGAGCTGATATTGGAAGTTGTTTTCGATCGGATTCCATTGCGAGCCGATGAGGAAGATGGGGCCAGAATTAGGAGATGCGGTTAAGAGTTGACGGTTTGGAGGGCGGGAGCTGAAGGGAGGTTCGAGTGAAGGTTTCTTTCCAGGGGATGAGGTTTGAGTAGTAGAAGGTAGTGATGATTTGTTCTCTGATTCCTGAGTTGTTTGATCGGGGAGTGGAAGTGTTTGAAGATGGGAGAGGGTGGGGATGGAATGAACGAAGAGAGATGTGCTAGTCGAGCTGGTGGGTAGGAGCGAGAGTAGATAGGGCGATCTGACGATAGTCTCAGAGGGTGGGATGGGGTAGAGGATGCTGGATGGGATCGTACTGGGGCCTGAGTGGACTGTTTGAGGTCGAGTGAGTTTGCCTTGAGGGTTTAAGAAGGTGGCTATCTGTTCCTTGATACCGATCAGCTCATCGGTTGGTGGGCCTAGTCTGAGGACCGAGTTCCGTGCGACCTTATGAGAGCCAGCGAGGCCGAGACTGACGAGACCGGTTGTCTTGAAGGCCAAGCTGGAGAGTCCGCTGACCTTGGGGGATGAATTTGAGACTGCGATCGGAGAGACTGAGTCATTGCTGAGTGATCGGTTGTTGATGAGATTGGCGATCGGTGACGGGAATGGGTCTGAGATCTGGTGAGTGATAGGTTGTTGAGTGTTGGAGGGTATGGTGAGTTTGATGGTCGCATAATCGCCAGTTGAATAGCCTAGGAATAGGTTGAGAGGGGTTGCGAAGGTGAGTGATCGAACCTGATGAGGCAGATTGATCTCCTTGGGATCGATCCATTGGCCATCCTTCCAGAAGAATAGGAGCAGTCTGCGTTTACATGGGACGGCTAGGATCGAGAGTAGTACTGGGATGTGAGTTTGATCTTCAGTAGGTGTTGTTTGGATGAGTTGCTGGTCGTCATTCTGCCTGAGGATATTGGTTTGGAGGTAGATTGATGAAGCTTGAGATTTGGTCCATCGTTGGCAGTTTGATTGCAGTTTGAGTTGGTTGAGTTCATGGAGGGTGATGTTGCCCGCTGAGAGGATGGCGAGTGAGTTGATTTCCTTGATGAGACAGAGTGAGTCGATTGGGTTTGAGTTGGCTAGTAGGTTGTTGAATGACTTGCTGAGAGTGGCTTGGTTGGTGGTCTTGATTGAGTAGATGTAGAGTGATCCAGCTTGGGTTCCGATGTATAGTTGGTCGGAGTGGATGAGCAGTGAGCTTGGTCTTGAGTTGATGGTTGTTGATAGGTTGCTGATGAGATTGGAAGAATGCTCGAATGGACTGAACATGACTTGACTTGTTCATAGTAGGAAAGAGAAAAAAAAAAAAAAGAGAGAAACCCACATAGAACTACTTGGACAGACCCCCGAACGCACCCACGGGATCACAAGCACCCCCCGTCGGGACATAATACCACACTACGGGGCCCCGGGGGTGCTTTTAAGGCTCCATTTGGCCACCCAAAATGTATTTGCAAATCCTAATAATTGGATTTAAGACTTATGTATCAACCTTAATCTAATTACTACCTACCAAGCCTTGTTCATTTCAAAACAACCTGCAGGCTCAGCCATATCACACCAAAAACAAACTTGGATTTGGCTGATTAACCTTGCCCTCACAACTGTTTCTTCAAGGCCCCATTCTATCAACTTAGGCTTAACTTGACTGGACCCTCAGAATTTTTGGTGTTTTATTCCATTTTTCAAAGGAAGACAGAGTTTCTTTGTGGGAGTGCATATATCCAGCCCCTAAAGCACTTGGGTGATGAAATAATGTCCATTATGTTCAAGTATGTACATATGATACACTGTATTTCAAAGTAACACATTGTATCATCATTTTCAGAATCTAGTAACAAAAGCAAAAACAACAAGGTGTCAAAAATGTTCACACATACACTGAAATAAAAAGTCAATTAACTGTGTAAAGTTGACATGTGATATTACAAAGGTGTTGGAATTCTCCGCTCTCAGTTCCTGGTGCTCAAACTCTATCTCTTGATTCAATCTGTTCCTTTTTTTTCTCCCCGCTCCGCTCTCTCTCTTCTTTGTCCGCTCCGCTCTCTATCTCCCGCGATCTCCGCTCTTTCTCTCTCCGCTATCTTTCTCTTCCCTCTCTCTTACATCCATCCTTCCCTCTCCTTCTCAAATCTTCCAAGTCTCCATGCAAACAACTCGTCTCATATCAATACCCACCGAACACACCAAAAAGCCTCGCAAGCCTCGCAACCGACTCCTCAAGACCTATCTCAACCATAAGTCAACCCAGTCTCGCATCAATATAAATATGGTCTCTCCTCTCACCGTCTCGGCTCTCCTCTTTCCCCAAGCAGTCTTTGATATCAGTTTCCCGACCGATCTCATCTCTCTCCACTACTAACCAATCCCCTCGCCTTTACTGCTCGGCCTATCCTCGACAACTCTCTCAAAAACCCTCATCATTCCCATCATCTTCGCTCTCCGACTTCGTTTCTTTTCTTCTCTCTTTCTTTTTCTCCTTTCGCTCCTATCCCTTCTCGCTCAATCTTATCGACGACGAACTCATCTCTTCCCAGCATCTATTCATCCACCACTCATCCTCGCTCCGCCGATACTCTCTCTAGAATTCCTCATTTGGCTGTTGCCAATTTGGTGAGAAAAGACTCGATCAACTTTCACTCTGCTATTCTGACATAAAACATTAACCATTCTCATTCCTCTTTCTGAACCTTGTCTAAAAACAGTGTCTACTACATATCGCTGTTTGATCTAATATATTTCAGTCTTTCTGTTCTGTCTACTTCAAAAGACAAATCCTCTCGTGGTAAATTTTCCTCTTCTTTATTTCTTGTCATTAATTGTTGATTCTTCATCTTTGTCTATCACTGTTTCAAAACCTAACTTTGTCTGTTTTTATTTGTTGTTTAGTTCTGGTTCTAGCTTCAATAATAATTCCTGTTTTTCATCACGATTAACAGTCGAATTTGAATTCGAACGAACTATACCTCTTAAAATCAATGTCAACTTCGGAACTCCCAAAAAACGATCCCGTCAACCAGAACACCTCTTCACAGAACAAAGAAAGCACAATGGAGAAGATCAACTCCACTATACTCAAAACGGCTCTTGAAGCCATTCCTAAACTCACAGCAGATAATTACACCCTCTGGAAAAATCTTGTCGACAACATGCTCGATATCCAAGGTCTCCAAGAATCTCTCACTTCAGACACCGGCACTCTCACTGAAAGTCAAGACGTTCAACTCAGAACGATCATCACGTCAAAAATCGACTCGTCGATCCATCCAAATGTCATCACCCACGAGAATGCAAAGAAAGCTCGGGAAATATGGAAGTCGATCATCAACTACTTCGCATCAACTCAGCCCGCCAATCGAGCTCGAGTTTTCAATGAATTGTTGGACCTCAGTTTCAACACTTCTGACATTCAGTCCTTCATCACCTCGGTCAGATCCATCAACTCTCGACTTTTTGAGATCGGCATCGACATTCCTCAAGATCTAGTTGCCTATATCATCTTGAAAAAACTCCCCTCGGCTCTAACCAACGTCAGCCAACAGATCACCCATTCCGACAAACCCCTCACCTGCGCCCTCGTCCTTGATCATCTCAAGCTATACAACAACGATCAGTCCGCAACGGCAAATCGAGGCTCAGGCACTCGGAACGATCCAATCGCTCTATACTCCGATGCGTCAAAAAAATGCAAGAAGACGGCTCACAACGTCTTATCCAACCATCCAGAAGCAAAATGCTGGATGTTGTACCCTCATCTCAGACCGGCCAATGAAAATCGAGCGAATCGAAATGAATCCATGGTCAGCAGCTTTCACTCATTCCTCTCACATTCCCTCATCTCAGTTCATTCTAGACTCAGGATCCTTCCGCACATATGGTTTCAAGATATTGGACTTTATTCTTTTTCTATCGACCTACACAGAAAAAGGACTAGTTCACACCAGCTCTGGAAAAGGATTCTCTCTCAATTAAAAGGTCGAGGATCAATCAAGCTAATCAATGAACACGGATCTACTATTCTACATCACGTTTTATATGTACCCGATCTAGTTGTCAATCTTCTTTCAGTTCGTTGTCTAGTCTTAGAAAACTATAGTGTGGAATTTGCAAAAAACTCTTTTTCTATATTAAAAAACAATGAAATCAAAATGAGCGGTCGCTATACCTCCAATCTTCCTAGTCTCACGTTTACAAATCTAAGTCACCAGTCCCATTTTTCCTCAGCTGAGAATCTACATAGATCATTGGGTCACGTAAGCTATCATCGACTGAGACACAAGCTAGGAATACCTCTCAAGTCAGAAAAAGTCTGTGAAGCGTGCTCTCTTGCGAAAATCACACGTGCCTCATTTAAATCAAAACACCCGCCAGCTTCAAAACCATTTGAGGAGCTACACTTAGATTTAATCGGACCTATTTCGCCTAGCTCAAGAGAAGGTCATAAATACATCCTAACGGTAGTAGACAGTCATACCAGATTCTGCTCGGCCATCCCCGTGAAAGCCAAGAGTGAAGTAGCGACGGTGTTGTCTGACTCCATTGATCTAGAAGCGAAACGGTTCGGATATTATCCGACCGTGCTGCATTCCGACAGAGGAACAGAATTCATAAACGCTACGTTGAAAGAGTTCTGTAACAAACATCTCATCCGATCTCGTACGTCCGATCCCTATACCCCTCAACAAAACGGACTTGCGGAACGACACAACCGAACAATTCTAGAATCATTGAGGACTATCCTGAAGGATTCCTCTTTTCCTCTTCGTTTCTGGAGCGACATTGTCAAGGTCAGCACTCTGACACTGAATCAAATACCGGTGCATAAAAGCAAGAAATCGCCCTTTGAACAATTCAAAAATCGATCTATTTCCATTGATTTCTTTCGTCCAATAGGCAATCGAGTCTCATATCTGATTTTGTCACCAAAAACCACTTCAAAACTCATGCCTAAGGGAGAACTAGGCACGCTTCTCGGATATGACGACGAGATTCAATCATACAAAATTCTCAGTGATAACGGAAAAATCATCGAGACAAAGAGTGTACGATTCCTCGATGAAATGAAGACCTCTGAAGACTGCGATGAAGAAGAACTTGAAATAGTTGTGGAAGTCAGTCGACCGACTGAAGAACCTTCTTCCGATGACGACTCCGATCCATCAGATTCCAATGAAGATGATGTGAGGCCTGAATCGAAAGAAGTTCAAACCCCTATCGAGATTGACTCCGACTCTTCCTCTGACACTTCCTCCGATTCCTCCGACGACAATGACGATGACATTGAAACCATCCTCTGTCCCAAAGAATCTAATCTCCGTAAGCTTCGAGATCGCACCAACAAGGTGAAGCCGGTCAAATACTCTCATCTGACGACGGACCCTGCCTCATTCAAGAAGGCAATGGCCTCAATCGACAAGTCTAAATGGACCAAAGCGGCAGATGAGGAGCTGAACAACATTGAAGCACACAAGGTATGGGAAGACATGTGGTCTAGACCAGACTCATTTCTTCATACTCTGTGGATCTTCAAGACCAAACCTGCCACTCTCTCATCGAACGAAAGAAAGAAAGCTCGACTCTGCATTCAAGGTTTTGCTCAACTACCAGAAGACTGCGGTAATACCTTTGCTCCCACCGGAAAATTCACGACATTGCTCATTCTACTCATGTTTGCTGTTGATAAAAATCTCAAACTTCGTCAATTCGATGTAAAAAGCGCCTTCTTGTACGCTCCACTGAAAGAAGAAGTATACATCAAAACTCCGGAGGGATCAAGCAGGAAGGCTCCCTATCTCAAGCTCAACAAATCCTTGTACGGTCTCAAACAAGCACCCGCGAACTGGTACAATACTCTAACGGAATGGTTTGAAATCATCAATTTTCGTCAATCAACCTCGGATCCGTGCCTATACATTCACAACGATCTGAATTCTTACATATTTTTTCACGTGGATGATCTGGTAGTTGTAGGAAATGTGGAAGCGTTTGAAGCCCTGTTCATGAATCGATTTCCTAACTCCACGGCTCATGATCCTGACTCACTACTGGGAATGGAAGTCAATCAACTAGACGGAACGATTCGACTTTCTCAACCAAAACTGATTGAAAAAGGACTTCAACTACTTGAAATTTCCGACTGCAGACCTGTCAAGACTCCACTGTCAGTAGCGGTTCAACTAAAGGAAGCAACGAAGGAAGAAAAAGCCGAATTCGAGAAACTCAACAAGAATTATCGATCCTTCACCGGAATTCTCAACTTTCTAGCCTGTCGAACACGACCAGATC